GCGTTCAGCAGTTCTGGAACATTTTGAGATATCGGGTCAGCTTGGTGTGCCAGGGTTGTAATTGGGAACACTTGCTGTGTTTAAATGTAAGAGGTGCCATGATGTCTAGTTGAGAGGAGAGAGTGAAGTTGTAGAGTGAGAATGCAGAGTTAGGGCAGGTGAGATTTGAAATGGGTAAAAAGGAGAGTTTGGAGTTGGGTGGAGAAATGCTGGAGAACAAGGCAGTGGAGGTTTCTGCAAGATTGGAGAGTTGAGGGTGGTGAAATTTGGGTACGGGGTATGCCGATGTCAAAGGTCAAATAGAGGAAATGGAATATTGGAGAGATTAGAGGTAGTACAGAGATTGGTGAAGATGAGGTCAAGAGTGTTTCCTGTTGCTGAAGTAGACCACTGTGTGAGGCCGAAGGAGGACGTTACAGAGAGCAAACGGGAGGCATCAGGGCAGTTGAGGTTGTTGATTGGGATGTTAAAGTCCCCAAGTATGAGGGAAGGAGTGCTAAAGGGGGGTAGCCAGGAAGAAAAGTGTTCAATTAGATAGCTTTGCTCACTCTCTCACTGTACAATGATGGACTTTAAATAGTTTTGAATGACCTTATAACCCTTCCCAGTTTGAGGGGCAGCAACAATTGCTTCACTAAGATTGCTGATGTCTTTCCTCCTTGGGATTGTGTTAACACATACCTAATAGCTCCAGACCACCAAACTAAAACTAAAACTTTGGCTTTTATAGAGGTGGTCACATGGGCAGATGATCAATTAATCAAGGACATTTGATTCCAAATCAATCAATTAATCAAGGGCTCTTAATTCTTATGGAAGCCATAAGGGTGTACTTTTGTTTTCACGCTTGGCTTCTGCTTTTTGCCTTTATTTGTGTTAAATAAATCATGACACAGTGTCACAGTTTACCAGGGAGTTGGAGCCCAGGTGCAGGAGATGGCACAAGGAGAAGGCAAAAAACAAAGCGCAGTACGGATGAAGAGGTAATCGAAAGGCAGAGTCAGACGAGAAGCAGAAGTCAGGGCTGGCAGTAGAGTATCGTAGTCAGCAGGGCCGGCCTTAGGGGTGTGCGAGCTGTGTGGCCGCTCAGGGCGCCTTGGAGCAGGGGGTGCCCTGCGGCCGACACAGCTCACACATTGCAGGCTGCCCGGGTGGAAGATTTCATTATTTAAAAAAAAAAAAAGGATTGGGACGGGGCTTAGTGTGTGGCGGGGAGCTAATTGACAATGGGGGTGGGGCCAGAAGTGCCGGACCAGGCAATTGCTGCATGGGAAGCAGGAAGGAGTCCCTGCTTCCCCAACAAGCAGAATCCAGGAGCTGCACTACTTCCATCTCCATAATGAATAGAGGTAACAGTGTGTGCTTGTCTGAATGTGTGTATGTGTGACTGTTTGCCTGTGTGTGTGTGTGTGTGTGTGTGTGTGTGACTGTGTGCCTCTGCCTGTGCCTATGTGTGTGTGCCTGTCTGCCTGTATGTGTGTGGCTGTCTGCCTGTGTTTGTGACTGCCTGTGTGTGTGTGACTGTGACTGTCTGCCTCTGTGTGTGTGACTGACTGCCTGTGTGCGTGGCTGTCTGCCTGTGTACGTCTGTGTGGCTGTCTGCCTGTGTGCGTGGCTGTCTGCCTGTGTACGTCTGTGTGGCTGTCTGCCTGTGTGCGTGGCTCTCTGCCTGTGTGTGTGTGTGGCAGTATGCCTCTGTGTGTGTGGTAGTCTGCATGTAGCGGTGTGTGTGTTACACTGGCTGGCTGTATGTGTGTGACTGTCCATCTGTACCTGTGTGTGTTTGTAATTGTATGCCTGTAACTGTCTGTGTGTATGTGTGTGTACTGAATATTTATTTTTAAATCAATATTTATTTAATAAATCCCCTATACAATCACTACACTTCTATACACACACTATACATGGATGACGGAGGGGGGATGGGACGATTTGCCACACAGGGCGCCTAAAGGCCTAATGCCAGCCCTGGTAGTCAGTAAGGCAGGCAGAGGTCAGCAGAGTAAAAGCAAACGACCAGATACTAGGCCTCAGGCAGAGCTGGCTTTTAAAGCCTGCTGATTAGGAGCAGCTGACCCTAATTGGTAAGGGGTTACAGGTGGATTGTAAGGAGTCAGGAAGCAGACAAATGCAGGTAGATATCAAAGTGGAGAGCAAGGTAGATATCAAAGTGGACAGCAAGGTAGAGAATTTGACTTTGAAGCCTGCAGCTGTGAGTTCAAATCCAGCCAGGTCTCTTAAAGGGGTGGTCTGTAGGGTTTGGGGTGCACCATGACACACAGTGTAATATGTCATGTTTTGTATTTACCTAATTTTAGAAGCTACTAATGATTGTTATGATGTCCTGATATGTAAAACCATAGATTTAAATGAGGGGGTGTACTTTCTTTTTACCATGACTGTATACTTTAATAATTTGTTGCTTTACATTATTGTAGACATTGTTTATATAAGGATTGCCAAATTTCAACACACCCTGCATTTTTGGGGATAATAAATGCCTTTTTGAATTTGTTTGTTAATTTCTGCACAATTTCCATATTGGTATTAACAATAAACTAAGTTACTTAAGGGTTAACTGGTAGCCTGGATTGGAATAATGAAAACTGTGCATTTGACTTCTTTTCCATGTCAACTTCCCCTTTCTGGGACTCTTCCTCTGTGGGATTTCACTTTATCACCCAAGCAGGGAATGCCTCTTGAGTCTCCTTTCACAGTGCAGGAACATATTTTGGTACTCCTTCTTCTGTGCTAGTTCCTTTAGCCCAAACTTAACTGGTGAAAGTCAAAAACGTCTGCTATCCAAGGTGCCTTAACAATTCCAGAAATTCTTTAATTCTTTTGCATTTGTTGCATGAAATCCTGTCTGTGTGCCATTAACCAACTTTCTTCTGACGAAATACTTCAGCAGCACAATAACTCCATTGTGTTCTTCAGAATCTCCAATAACGTTTATTCTGAGGCATAAGACATTACGGTAGAGCAAACAATAAAGATGGAATATAGTCCTTCTTGGCCAAATTACAATATTTTACAACAGGTGAAAGATAACATCAACATGAGCATATTTTATGTATTTTAACTAAACTAATTAACTTTGCATAATTTGTAATGCATTAAAATGTTGAGAGATAACCATAGCCAGAGGTAATTAACTCTTTACTATTTTTGCATGAGTTTTAGCAAATTCATTGCTTGCAGGTTCCTTAAAGTCATGCAATGTACCCTGCATGGAGATTAGGACAAACTGGGGAACTCAGCAGGCAGTAGATTTCTGCACGGCAAGAATATATGGCTCAGCCAAACTAATTTCCCTAAAAAAGAAACATTTTCAAATATTGGCTGAATATCAGTACGGCAGAATTTCGGTACTGAAAAGCTGATTTGGGAACCAGCTCAGACAAAGCAAAATGGCTCGAAAATAGGCCAATCAGTGTAATGCAAAATATATACATAATATAATACTATGTTTGCCTTTTGCAGTAGATTGATTGGAGCATTTTCCTGCCATTTGGTTCACAGTTTAGGTGAGAAAAAATAACCAATAAAGGAAAAAAGAGAAGAAGCAGTAAAAACAGAAAAAAAATACATTTATATATTATATATTATACATTAAATATATAATATTTAAATGCATATTTTTTTACAGCTCCTTTATATTTCCCTCTGTTGCTCACTTCTTGCTTGATCTGTGAATAAAATCAGCATTAAGTGACTGACCCCTACCCATCAATCATGCCTTTTCTTGGCACCAGGAGTGGTGATTTGGGTACATTTTGGCTCAGTGTTGAGGGATTTGACCGATCACACGATTGGCCCAAATTTGGACAAATTTCCAAGTCTAGGAAGCAATTGCAAGTGAGACTTAGCTCATTTGAGCAGAGCTCTTATCTCCTCCTCTCATGAATGCCCAGTGTGCCTGCATTCATTTATTTCTTATTCACGATTCATTGTGCTTTATAAATAAAATTGTCAACCTGCATTTTATTTCCTGTTCTGCTATTTTCACCTAAATGTTCAAGGCACTTTTCATTTTAGTTATGTTTATTTACCAGGATCAAATTGTGCAGGGAAATTTTTGCCAGCAATTATCCATCCATCATCAGTAAAAGCAGGATGACATGTACATTTCTGGGTGCACTATAGTCCCACCCTTGTACACCACACATTTATTCTTTTTAGGATTATTTTGTACCATTCATTGCTAGCTGTGTTTTTTGCTTAATTTCTTTACTACTTTACTGAGATCAGAAGAAAAATATTTAAAGAGAAAGTGAATTAGGGTGTGCCAGCAATAAACGGTGTGTGTCATAACCCAGTCCTGTAGGAAAAAAGAAAATTGATCTTTTATTTTATTCTTTTCAGTGATATTGGATAGGAATGTCAATGGAATATAATTAATCAAAACACCTACAGTTTTTCTTTTACTGCAGGTATTTGAAATGATGAAACGTATAAAAATCTTAAATAAAAGTGTGTATGTATGTGTGTGTGTGTGTGTTATTATATCTTTAAATAAAATGGACAAAAATAGAGTGACATAAACTATCTCAATAATTCAGCAATATTAATAACCAATCACTAATATGGCTATTGTCATTTTGTACCAAGATGACTTTTTCCTATTTGAGGCAAACTGAAGTTCATTGTTTTTTTTTTTTTTTTCGTTCTTTTGTATCATTTGTAGCAACTGGTTGTTTAAGAGTTGTCTTTTTTTTCCCCAGCCTGTTTTACATTGTTTCCATGTAAAATTTAATGTTGTCTTCGTCACTGAACAAACGCCAACGCCTCTGCATATGGCAGTGCTACAGGTGTGTGACTACCACAGGGATACAAGTTGCTCTGTGCGAGAACGCTGGGCTGGTCTCTCCTTAACATAAACGCCCCCTGGTGGAGCTTTATAAACGATGCAACCAGTGCATTCTTCTCGCATTCAAATATGAACTGAAACGGAGCAGGTTTGTTCCATTCTGGTACATAGCCGACACTGATTGCAAACTGCCTGCAGCATGCTGTGGAACCTGGAGGAATATTTCCTATAACTACAGGACCAGGTATGTCTCCCCGGTAACAGATGAACATATTGCAATGTTCTGGACATAGTTAAGACACAGGTCAGGCTGATTTAGACTGAGATTACTTTTTTAAATACAGCTGTGCGATTTGGGGATATTATGCATTCTTAATGTACATTAGTAAGTTTAAATGAAATTAAAGTGTATGCACTTAGAAAATAAATACACTCTTAACACAACACAAACAAATTCATCCCAAGACACTCATTCAGTGTCTGGAATTAAACTTTCAATTCTTTATACCCTTTTACCTAGAGAGTTAATATGTGTTTGGAAGAGGAAGTTATAATATTGTACAGATACCCCCCAGCTATGTTGAAATGACTTAGCCCAATATGATTATAAACTGCAAACACTTAATTACATCCTCTGCACGTAGTTATTAAGAACTCCTGTTTGAACACTGAATGATACACTTTTTTTTTATATAGCATTATAGAGAATCATACTCCGTACATGTTTTCAAGGAGAGCCTATATGACATTATTTTGGTTTTAAGTCCCCGAACACTGTGATCCTGCATTATTCAGCTCCTTAGCAAGTGAAAGGCTTGGGTGTAAGATCTAATCTAGAAAATTGAGAATTCTATGCTTTACCAGGTTGTTTAGTAACTTCATGATGAGAGGAGAAAAATCTTTTATAGAGTGAAGAAGAAATAGATGGTTCATTGATCCCAAACAGTGAAAAGGAAAATTAGAAACAGAGTTCTAAATTATATCGAGCTGTGAAAAGATTTGGGCACTGACAATTTAAAAAAAGCTCACATTTGATCATAGATAGGACGTACTTCAATACAAGTAAAAAAAATCAGTGTGTTCATCCTAGCAAAAAAAAAAAATCACCTGAACTTTATAAATATATAATAGAATGTTATCTGTCTACAGTTTCATACACTTCATGCATTTAAGGCAAGCTGTGTCCCATGTGAATACACCTGTGAGATTTATATATCTCTGTAGGTAGAACTGGTGGCAAATCTTAGATTGCATTAATAGCGTATTTTCTCTAAGAATTTGATGTTAGACAGCTGAGCACAGTCTTGAGGGGGGGGGATCATGTATTTGCTATCTATATACACTCTTTTCTCCTTACCTAATTTTTTGTAAGACAAAGGTGCCTCTCTTTAATATATTTTACATTTTAAAGGTTCATAAGGTGGCTCACTGGACTATATGATATCATTATTTTATTTCTTTTGATGTATTCCTAATATAGATGACAGATATTTTCATACAAGAAACATATGCCGAATGAGTTTACCATAACATAAATTAAAGTTAGAGTTATATTTAATGTGCCAAGCTACCTGCATATCATACAATGCACAGAGCTATTTGCCATGCACATGGCTATCTGTTGTCCACCGTTAGTGTTATCTTATTCATTCTTGCAATATCGCACATAAAGCTCCACATCCTATATTTAATATGCATAGTTTTATTTCATGTGTCTAATGAGCATTGCTATTTACAGATTTTGGCTTCTATCTATCTATCTATCTATCTATCTGTCTATTCATCCATCTATATATCATCTATTTGTCTGCCTGTCTATTCATCCGTCCATCCATCCATCCATCCACCCACCCACCATCTGCCTGTCTATTCATCCGTCCACCCATCCATCCATCCGTCCACCCACCCACCCACCCACCCACCATCTATCTGTCTGCCTGTCTATTCATCCATCCACCCATCCACCTATCTGTCTGCTTGTTTATTCATCCGTCTGCCCATCCATCCACCATCTATCTGTCTGCCATTTATTCATCCGTCCGCCCATCCATCCACCATCTATCTGTCTGCCTGTCTATTCATCCATCTGTCTGCCCATCCATCCATCCATCCATCCATGTGTCTATCCAACCATCAATCCATCTATATATCATCTATTTGTCTGCCTGTCTATTCTTCCATCCATCCATCCACCCACCCACCATCTATCTGTCTGCCTGTCTATTCATCCGTCTGCCCATCCATCCAGCCATCCATTCAGCCAACCATTCATCCATCTCCACCATTATATTAGCCTGCATAGCTATCACCTTTCAGAGAGCAATATTATATTTATTTTCCAAATCTCCATGGAGAGGATGATGGTCATGTTTAGTTCATAGATATCATTAAGTATCTTGTCTTTTCCTATAATGCACATGGCTGTTTGTCTTCTATATAACCAAATATTTAGTTTATTTTGCTCTAAAGTCTTTTCTCTTTGTGAAATGTACCCATCTTTTTGCCTGTCTTTCTATAATGTGTGTTCATTTCCCTTCATGGGATATAGACAATATGCCATACAACCTTCCCCATATAATGAATGCCATCACCTATCTGCCCTTTGCATGGGATTATCGTCACAACTATCAGCCTGCTCTCCAGAGGGTAGAACTAACTCTCCAATATTTGCCTGTTCCATGGAATAAACAAACCCTCTGTATGAAATATGCATTAATCCGTCTCCCTTGTGTAATGAACTATCCATATTTCATATCACCACAATACACAGAATATAATGTACAGGGATAAATGTAAAGTGTCTATAAAAGAATGTCTCAATGTCAATGATATACTAAAATATACAACTAATAATTTAAATAATTAACCCATTATTGTTAATACTATTTTGAGCCAAACAAAAATAACCCACCAAAAATAAAAGTCCAGTTTTCTTGAAATGTATCAGACAGTTACAAAGGAAATGCAAAATAATATGTCTGTTTGAACAGGGACCTACAAAGCACTTCCGGGAAAAAAAGATAACCATGATAATCTAGATCAAGATTTGTGATATTTGTAATGGCCAATGTTATACTCTACTCTAGAGTGCAGGGGGCGATGGTAAACAGAACATGTTTGAGCAAGCTACAAATCAGCTTCCAAGAGGCTGGGTGCTCCAAACTTCACTCCCATGTGTCAGCCCTCACTGGGCAATAACTGCTGGAGGATGCAAATTGAGTGGCTTTATTTATTGCAAATAGTAGAGTGTGAAACAGTAGTTCTTTCTTGCGTGGACGAGTAGCTGAAAAAAACTCCTTTAGTTAGTTTAAAAAGAAAAAATATATGAAATATGGTGAAAGTAAAGGAACCACATTTAAATCTGTGTCTAAACCATTATCTCAGACCAGAGTGAGAGCCCAATTTTCCTTATTGTATTCTGGGTTTGAGTAAAACAGATTATTGGGGGCACAAGCGGAACATGCATCTTTATTTTTTGTAGTTTGGGTAGTCAGATCCTATATAGTCTTATCCCTGCCCTGCACTCTCTTTTGCATGGATATTTATATTTACACTCCATATACTACTTTATTTGGGGAAATAAATTATAAAAATACTATTTTTCTCCAAAAAAAAAAAAAGGTTTTACTACTCTTCTGTACTGTCTGTTGAGTTTTGGAAGAGCATTCTTGTAATGTTGTCCAGCATTTTACAGACAATACAAGCAGCAAGTGTGCACAGCACTCACACCAAGCAATGTAAAACATCTCACAAATACGACGTCATATATTATGCACTTCTTCATGCACATAAGTGGAATTTCAAGTAATTTTTTTTCTGGAGTCTTTGAGAAGCAGGACAATGAGGGAATAAATTGTAAAAGCCGACCTTTCCTGCTGGATACAGGACATTAAACGCATATGTATTATTTACAAAGGAGATAACTGTTTGCAACTCATAAATGATTGCTGTATGCATTATACATCAGGATGCATGATAAAACCTGTAAAATGTGTAAACACAGAAACACCCAAACTGTCCCAGTCCGGACACATTTAAATTCATGCTTCATATGGGGGCAATTTACCAAGAACCAAAATAGTATCCTTTTACATAGGGAATCCAATGCAAGTACACAAGATTGCAATAAAGCCTGATAATTTAATAAAATAATATAAAAACAACCTAGCTCTCAAGTATACCTCTTTAGTATAGTCATTAGCTAGTCCATTTTTGTCACCCAAATTGGCTGACCCCTCTTTTCTACAATGCATTCTTAGTTTTTTTCAGTGAAGTCAGAATGGCTTATCTAAGTGTGATTATTATAGAGAAACAGTGCATTACAACTCAAAGTAATATCTGTTTAAATTGCAGCACATATGGTACAAAACATAATAGTGACTTATAATTTTCATGCTGCGTAAAAGGCTATCAGTAGTTTATGAAATTACCTAGCCATTGCCCTGAGTCCTGCAGGCTCACACTCTAAAGTAAGTATCCATCTTTGGCTGTCTGAAATGTTGGGATATATACATGTTCTGTATGCAGGGAGAAATGTGCATCTAACATATGTGTTTGTCAGCTGTGCTCCGTGAGGTTCACCAGCGCTCGTGCTGGCTGTGAAACAAGGATAGATTGTCTGCGTGTGCTGTTCTGATCCTGTAATTGACTAAAACCAATAACTACAGGAATTAATGCTCATTCAATGCAATACCCACAACTTATTACTGTTCCTAAGTGTATGTATTGTAAACCGTACGCATTAATCCTAAATAGGCTTGTTTTTCTTTACTTTTTTATAATCAGTATTTTTTTTTATCAATGCTAATTACATTCAGTACACAGATTTCAAGCCAGAATAATGCTTACTATTATTAGTAATTTTGTCTAGGGTTTAAGAAAGCCCCTTCGTAGATCAAAACAGACCTATTGACGTAAGATTTAACATATTGACATATTTCAAATTTTATTTTAACTTTTACTTTTTGAAATGCACTAGCTGATTTGTGGACCTATTATAATTAGCATTTAATAAGTTACTGATGACATGCTGTAGAGTACACAACACACCCACCATTGTATCCAAACCAGCACTGTATCCTAAGACCTCAAGTAAGGAGCCAATAAAGCTGATTTGTATGCATAAAGAAAAAGCCACAGATTGTGTCTATTTGTGAATAAATAATTAATATTCAGAATAACAAAAATGTAAATACATAAAATATAAACGAATAACAGTCAAACCAAAAAGTTGCATAAAATCACAATATAGATTATTTGTACCTTCAATGTGCTATCAGCCTGGGCGCTGGACTTTTGATGGTTCTTACCAGAAGCGCTCTTTAGCTCTTTATTCAATGATCCACTCTGTAAACCCAAATCCAGATTCATGCATCACCTGCGGCCCCATTGGCGCTGTATATTCAAAGTATGACATTTTCACTTCTAATTACAGTGTACAATAAAAAGCAAGTTATTTCATTGGAAAAGATAAAAATACAGCAAATATCGGCAGAAATTAGGGACAGAGATGAAATGTATTTCATGTTATCAGAGCACTTTCTTAACAGTTTACACAAAATGACTAGTGCCAGCTGCCAAAGATGAACAACCAAAACAATATTACCATAATAACATGTCATCAATCCCACTCATATTTGGATGGAAAACACTCAGACATTGAATTCTGCCCAAATATGGCTACAAATTATATTTCTCATGTTGAAAGGGATTTTTCTTTCTACCTGTGTGTTTGTCTATCTATCTAGTGACTGTATCCCATTAAAACAGTCAGTATAATGATGGAGAAATTACTGCTTAAAGCTCATTAATAAAACATTAGATATCAAAAAGGTTCAAAATGAAGTATCATTTTAGGTTTAATCAACCATATGGTAATATTGCATGTGTGTGGATTGTACATACATTAAGTATTTTTACAGTGTGCTCTCACCTTTTATTCTACTAACTTTTGTACACTTTATTTTGTGTGGTTGGGTGACCTACACCAGGTGATACTAGCACCATACTTAATTTTGAACCTTTTTTATATCTATTGTTTTATTACTATTTATAGTTACTAATTTAAAAGGTTATTTGAAGGTTGTTTAAATATGTCAATTGTTAATATGAGAAAAGTTTGGCAAAAGGATATGGAAAAAACATTTCAAGTTAAGACTGGAAATCAAGAAAGGGGATTCTTTATAAGTGATAATCTCGATGTAATGTGCCAGCAATTAGAAATACGTCTGATACATTACATATATTAATGGGACGGGGTGTAGGGAGGCAATTGCCCCCCATTTTAAAAATGACCGCCTGCGGAGACGGCTCTCTAATTAAGCAGTTTAGGCGGCCGCCTAAGGCCTCGAGACTGCTTAAACCGCCTTAGAGCAGACTGTGTCGGGTCCTCGGTCAGACCAAGGACCGCACCCTTGGCCGCTAGTCTGCAGTTCCGCAGTATGCAGAGCTGCAGACCATGTGTCTTGTGAAATCTGGCCAATCTGACCTGGTATCACTGCAGAGCTGCAAAACCGGATATCCCCACCTGACCACAAGGGAGCCCACTGGATTACCAGGGAACCCACACTGGATCACCAGGGAATGACAAAAGTATTTAGTCCCCCCTCCCTCTCACCATCACCCCCCCTCCCTCTCACTATCACCCCCCTCCCTCACACTAACACCCCCCTCCCTCACACTAACACCCCTCCTCCTTCACACCCTCACCCCCCCTTCACACCATCACTCTCTCCCTCTCACCATCACTCTCCTCCCTCACCATCATTGGCCTCTCACCATCACCCCCAATCACACCATCACCCCCTCCCACTCACCATCACCCCCTCCCTCACACCCATCACCCCTCCCCACACCATCACCCCTCCCTCACCCCTCCCTCACACCAACACCCCTTCACACTATCATCCCCTCCTTCACACCATAACACCCTCCCTCTCACCATCACCCCTCGCCTCACCATCACCCTCTTGCTTCTCACCATCATCCCTCCCTCACCCCTTCCTTCACACCATCACCCCCTCACACCATCACCTCCCTCACACCCATCACCATCACCTCCCTCCTCTCTCAACATCACCTCCCTCCCTCTCCATCACCCCCTCCCTCTCCCTCCCTCTCACCATCACCCACTCTCAAAACACCTACCTCACACTAATACCCCCTCCCTCTCACCTTAACCCCCCTCCCTCACACCATTATTCCCCCTACCTCTCCCTGTCACCCCCACATAAACCACATTGTAACACATTTGTCTTGCTTCATAACATCAATATCCGTTAGAAAAGCAGAAAGAGGTGGGTATGGATGGTGAGCTGATTCGGTGGTGCAATGGGCCACTTGACTGGATTTTACCACCAGGCCTAAGGCTGCCAGCACTGGCGTACATATAGCGGTCACAGGGGTCGCAGTTGTGACCGGGCCCGTCACTGCAGGGGGCCTGGCCGCTTTGCAGACCCCTATGAATGGGTGCGATAGGTATGGATTTTCAGGGGGCCCGGTCAGCGCTGCAGCGCTTTAACAGTGCGACCGGGCCCCCTGTGATGACATCATATGCTGGGAGGAAATGACTCCCCGGTCACTCCTCCTAGCTATCACTGAGAGCCCGCGTGGAAGGAAGCAGAGGAAGTTAGAGTGGGAACTCTGACTCCCATCAATCTGAGCCAACACTGGACCCCATCGCCTGCACCTAAAAGGTAGGAAACTGGAGGGTGACTTAAATATTATGTGTGTGTGTGTTTGTTTGTATATATATATGTGTGTCTTTGTATGTATGTGTGTCTTGTGTGTGTGTCTGTATGTATTTGTGCCTGTCTGTTTTTATGTATGTGTGTATGAGTCTGTGTGTATGTCTGTCTTTATGTATGTATGCGTGCCTGTCTGTCTGTATGTATGTGTCTTTGTATGTATGTTTGTTGTGTGTGTCTGTCTGTATGTATGTATGTGTGCCTGTCTGTTTGTATGTATGTGTTGTGTATGTAACTGTCTGTGTGTGTCTGTCTGTTGGGGGGAGGTGTTAGAGGGGGGGAAGAGGGAGGGAGGGGGCCACATGGATCAATTTCACACCGGGGCCCCATGGGTTGTGTGTACGCCACTGGCTGCCAGCTCTCCCCTAGTGTGCTCTCACCTTTTATTCTACTAACCTTTATACGCTTAAAGCTCATTGCCTACTAGATATCAGTGCAAATCTTTTGATCAGTATTGTCTGTATAATATCAGTTGAACAAATTGTAAACCATAGCAGGTGAGGATGAAATTGAAGTAAACCTGTTAAGAGAAAATCAATGTACCTGAAATCACTACCATATACATTGAATAAAATATATAAAATGAAGATGGTGTATTCAGTGTAAAATATAAAGATTTACTCGCTTTTCCTCTGTTCCAGCACCATTTTGTGGGTGTTACTTTTTGTGTAACAACCACCTGCTGGCTATCCACCATTCAGCCTCAGCACTCCCTGTCCTGTTCTTTAATTCACCTTGCTTGGGATGCACTCCAAGTAGGGCAAACCTCGACAGTAAAATTTGTACGCTGGCTACATTGCAGCGTGCGGGTCATCATGTCACTCCATTTTCATACTCCCTTTTCCAGCTCTAGAAGCACCGGCTAGGGAGTTTCCATAGCAACTGCAGCGCATGCTATGGTTGCTATGGTAGAAGAGCATATGGTCCTATGCCCAAAACAGTTTCAGTGCCCATAGTCTGTGGGCAGAGGCTGGCAAGCAGGCCCCTCCAAGTACAAGTGGTGAGGTTACTTTTGCCACAGATAAGAATAGGAACATTTAGAACAAGTTGGCATTTCCATGAGGCATTTTGCGTACAAGGCAGTCATTATACCAAGAAAATAAAGTAAAAAAGGTACATAACAGAAACAATTTAACACAGTAGTTGTTCAGGTCATTAGAGGTGGGTTGTTACAATTGGCCCCTATATGGTGTGCGAACAGTGATTGTCGGGTTTGGGCGTTTAGAACGTGGCCCCGTTCAGTGTGTCCCAGGAGGACTGGGTTATGTAGATAGTCTGGTATTTGTGGACATGGTGCTTTTGGGGGGCCATTACTAAAATGCATGTTTATCACATTCACCTCGTAGGAGCTTGGCTCAGGTCATTGTCCAGAGTGGGAGGCACGGTGGAGACTGAGCCAACGAGGGGTGATCCTTGATCAGAAGTAGTAGAGGATGGGGGGATTACAGTGGGGTGAGAGAAGAAGAGGGAGAAGAAAAGAAAAGGAGATGGGGAAGGTGTGAAAAGACAACAAAAAAGGAAGGGTTGGGTGTGAGTAGGGTCTGGCAGTCCTTATCTCCCATTGCTTTGGGTATTTAAGAGGGGAGGTTATATTCCAGAATCTATGGGTCCCAGATTTTACAAAAGTGTTTTGTGGTGTAGTGTACAATAGCTGAGAGTTTGTCCATCTCTAATGCGTCTTCCATCTTGCCCTTTACCACCTCGAGTAGAGGAATGCTAGGGTTTCCCCATCATTCTCCATGTTGCTAAGGTATTTTTAGATACCATTTTGTTTTGTGCTCTGGTAATGTCACTTTAGGGTTTGGAGAGTAGCCACACCCATGGGTCTAGAGGGATGTCAGTGTGTGGGAGATGCAAGGTTAATTGGGAGATTTCTCACCATAACAGAGTCAACAATGGGTACTCCCACCACAGGTGGAGATAGGTTCCCTTTTGGCCACACCCTTTCCAGCATAGGTCTGAGTCTGAGTGACCCATTTGTTTGAGTCTAAGTGGGGTGAGGTACCAACGCAGCAGAGTTTTATAGGCCTGTTCCTTGTGATTTACACATATGGAGAGTGAAGCCATTGCTTCCCATATGTCTTTCCAGTCAGTGGGGTCCACCAGGGGGGCCCAGGTCCCTCTCCCAAGCCGACACGTCGGACAGTGCCCCAGGGACCACACCCACGGTGAGGTGCGAGTATATCATGCATATCTGTTCTTTTTGTATAGGGCATTGCATGCAGGAAGTTGTGAGGGCTGTTGTGCCTGCTTTGGTGTTAGAGGGGTTCTCCAGGAAGCTGCAGATTTGGAGGTAGCGGAAGTTTTCATAGGTGGTGAGGGGGTGGCTTGGGGAAGTTCAGAGAATGGTAACAAAGTATTGTTTTCAAAAAAATTATAAATTCTGTTGAGGTTGTTGCGGTCGAATCGATGGAAGTCCTGAGGTGTCATGCCGGGTTCAAATGAAGTGTTCCTTAACACTGGTGTGATAGGGGAAGGGTCGGAGTTCAGGGAGTGTTTCAATGCCATTTTGTCCCATATTTTTACGACTGTGTTAAGGGCTGTGGTTGCTGGGGGCATAAGGGTCTGTCAATTTTTGATAACTGTAACAGGAGCCCTCTGATTTCCCAGTGGTTATGGTGTTTATCCTTTTCTGCAGTGGTTATAGTATTTCCCCTTTCTGTGTAATAAAGGCCACTTTGCCCCTGGGTTATGGAGAGGATTAATTGCCAGTCTTTTACCTTGGAACTATGGCCCCTGTGACTTATTTGGTTCTAGGACATTATTTCTGCCTGCTGGGACTTTTACCAATACCACTTCGACCTGTCAAAGTAATTTGAAGTGGTACTTCGAACCATCGAGCAGCCGAAGTACCGGACCACCCATAATTGGAAGTATGCTGCTTGTTAACCTAAGTTGTGGTTAACCGCAGCTTAATTGACGAACGACTGGGTGATCACCGTTCGTATACTTGTTTAGTCGAAAGCGGCCAGCTGTGTTTTTTGTCGTCAAGTGCGTGGAACTAAAATTAGACAGTCAACGGCATGAACACCGCTAGAACTTCCACCTCTAGCTAGCTTCGACTAAATCCCCACGAACAGAGCGCCGTTCGGTAAAAGTAATATACCGAACACACTTCAACTCTGACTTTGTGCACTAACAGTCCCGTTCGAATATTCAAAGGGCATTTTAATCATTAGAAATAGACGTGGCAGTGCTCATGACATTCCATAACACATGCTGGTACAGAGTGTGAATCCGCCATAGTGCATGCTCTGTTATGGTGTGCAGGTCATAACAATAGAAACATAGAAACATAGAATGTGACGGCAGATAAGAACCATTCGGCCCATCTAGTCTGCCCAATTTTCTAAATACTTTCATTAGTCCCTAGCCTTTAAAAATGTTTAAAAAATAATAACAAAACAGAGTACACAATGGGGGTTGCAAGAATACTTGATGCCATAACTTGAAACTCCAGCATCCTCCATCTGCATGGTCCAACTTAAGTAGGATAATGCATAGAGATCTGTGTGCTCTGAGCAGAAACATTCAATTAAAACAGGGGGGTGGGGGTGTAGGGAAGTAGCGCTTAACAATTGAATTCCTTGTGTGGGGTCCAATGGAGCCAATATAAGGGAGAAAACAAAATGTTAAGCGCTGCTTCCCTACATCCCCCATTTTACTTGCATCAACGACCAGAAAGAAGAGACTCTGGTTTGGGAAAGTTTTAGCTGCTGCACACATAAAGAACAAGCGCCAGAAATCTCACTTGCTGCTATATCTAGAAAAATTCAATTAACTTGTACTCATCTTCCTCTGGAAATACTCCATTTCAGCACATTAGAAGATAGGAGATATACATACCTAAAGTTATTCTTCATCTGTGCTGATATCATCGCTGCTGCCATGGAAGATCAGTTCCTGTCTGCTTCATCTGCCTGGACTCTCATCAGTTGTGTAATACTACTACAAATGAAACTTGAATTGCTGTTTCTACTGCCAAAAAGAAGTAATGAAACACATCTTTCCTTCAGCCATATGATGCTACCCCATGCAGAAAAAGCTAATTGAGAATTTATATACAAAAGGAGTTTTTAATATTCCTGAGATTACTGTGTACTGGAGGAAGGAACTTGAGTTGCTTAGGCTGTATTGGCCAACAACTCCCACCACTGATGATGTGACAGCCCTCTAAACAAATACACAACCCTCTACAACTTTATATACAAATGTAAAGATTTCTATAGTCAGAGATTTCTAATCAAACTGGGCAAATAACTAAGGGGCACCTGTCAAGCTCCAATAATGCTCAATCTAATGAGCATAAGATTTTAAGTATACATTGTGTTACCAGTTTTGCTAGCACATGTATAGATTAGGAGAAAAACTTATTTTAAAATATTTTTTTTCCTTCTATGTTGACCAAAACCAACACGCCCACACAGGGGTTAAGAGATGGGAAGACCTGGAACATGATCTCTTCGGCAGGAACTTCCTTCCTTGTACATATGGTTACTGTGACAGCCACCCCTTAGTAGTTGGGGTATTTACTGCCTAGATGTCCTTTTCCCCAATCTGAATGGGAACTGTGGAGTCCAAATATGACATCCTAGTATACTGCTATGATAAACAGGTTCCTTAGAGCTCTGAGAAGAGCTAGTGATTACAGTAGGTCTAGCATTTCCCTACAACATGAGACGAGGCTGCAAGTTGAGGGTAAGAAGATCTGAGAGTTTAATGGCACAGGTTGGATTTTTATACAATTCCTCAGGCCAGGGGAACACCCCCTGGACCTGATGGAGCACCAAATTACAAGGTGTACATACCAATAAAAACAATGTACAATGTCTGACACTCCCACATACAGCACACAATCCCTCCCCTCTGCTTGGGAGATAATTGAACAAGATACTGTAATTAACTCATTTATCCCCAAACAGAAAAAAACACATTATTCAAAAAGTACAGAAAACACCCCAAAACATCACATATCCCCAATGTTATATCACCTGATAGCCCTGATCTGGGTGACCAACATATCCAAAAATCACCCAGATCAGAGCAGGGGTTCAGAAAATTCCTGGAAGTCTCTTTTGACTGACCGCACGCATGGTTTCATGCCCAAAATAGTTCCAGAGAATTAGGCTGTGGCCAATACAGCCTAAGCTCCTCAAGTCCCTTTCTCCAGTACACAGTAATCTCAGGAATATTAAAAACTCCTTTTGTTTATAAATTCTCAATTAGCTTTTTCTGCATGGGGTAGCATCATATGGCTGAAGGAAAGATGTATTTCATTACTTCGTTTTGGTAGTAGAAACAGCAATTCAAGTTTCATTTGTAGTAGTATTACACAACTGATGAGAGGCCAGGCAGATGAAGCAGACAGGAGCTGATCTTCCATGGCAGCAGCGATGATATCAGCACAAATGAAGAATAACTTTAGGTATGTATATCTCCTATCTTCTAATGTGCTGAAATGGAGTATTTCCAGAGGAAGATGAGTACAAGTTAATTGAATTTTTCTAGATATAGCAGCAAGTGAGATTTCTGGCGCTTGTTCTTTATGTGTGCAGCAGCTAAAACTTTCCCAAACCAGAGTCTCTTCTTTCTGGTCGTTGATGCAAGTAAAATGGGGGATGTAGGGAAGCAGCGCTTAACATTTTGTTTTCTCCCTTATATTGGCTCCATTGGACCCCACACAAGGAATTCAATTGTTAAGCGCTACTTCCCTACACCCCCAGTTTTAATTGAATTTTTCTGCTCAGAGCACACAGATCTCTATGCATTATCCTACTTAAGTTGGACCATGCAGATGGAGGATGCTGGAGTTTCAAGTTATGGCATCAAGTATTTTTGCAACCCCCATTGTTATGACCTGCACACCATAACAGAGCATGCACTAAGGCGGATTCACACTCTGTACCAGCATGTGTTATGGAATGTCAGGAGCACTGCCACGTGTAAACACCCCCGGGGGATGATCAGCCCCAGATACTGCTGCCCACAGGGTAATATCCCATTGTACCACCCCAGGTCTGGAAAACATTAAGACTGTGACATTAAGACAAGTACAAACCCATACAAAGGGCTTCAAGCCTGGATCAATTTCTGCCTCCTGCTTAACTCCTGCAGTACTCTGCTAAAGACATCCCAGCACCCATTTCCTCCTAACTGTAAATTATATTTTTAATATCGTAAAAGTGATGAGTGGAGCAAAGAGAAACACCAATATATAGACAATATGAGAATAAAATACAACCTTATAGGGGAATATATCCTCCAACGGGTATTGTTGTATGTAGGGAAAAAAAGAGAATATATGCAGTAATAGTGCAGATGGTAAATAACTGCAAATAATTCACATATGTTATAACCTTATAGCACTTAAATATTACAGAAATAATGTGTTTCACATAAAAATGACAAGATTTTTTATCTGCTACATGCAGAGAGAAATTAACATAAATACAAATACATCAATAGAAAAAAGAGAGCAATCTCTATAAAGAGAGTGATTAGCCCCTTACTGGAAAAGTTGGTGAGTCAAACAGTCTGAGCTGTAACTCACTATAAGAGCTTATGGTAATGGGATGGCAGACAGACTGTGGCGTGTATACAGTACTCGGTCGGATCCACAACTTCGCGGTTATCCTTGCATCTCTTCTGGGTTCCGTCTGCAACAAGCTCCTCCCCCTTTCGTGACGTCAATGCGTTTCCCCGTATTCCGGCTTCCTCAGGACGTATTCATAACCATGTTGGTTATGGGCATATAAAGGGCAAAGTCCCTTCTGATAGGCTCTAATAAAATTTGCATAATTGCTTCTTATTAAAATCCGCATGACATCAGGTCATGAGGATAATCATACCAAATCAAAACAATACATATCAGCGCTTTAGTAAAACATCATAGATCATTAATCTTCACACATAAACAAATCAAGTATAATTCTTAAAATGACACACATTACATCAATCAAAACTCAAATGAAACAATCCATACCAGCATTTTGCATATATATAGTAGCTGTCCCAGGACAATTTATCATTGGGCTTCATGTATAAACAGGTTAAGTATAATTCTTAAAGTGACATTGTGCAAAAGGTATTACAATTCCTATCATCTATTCTAGATATGAAAAAACAATATATGTACATAATCACATATATATATAGCAAATAATTATACAAATGCAAATACAAAAGTACAAATTTATATAGACAACCACTAGCTTCATATTTTAAAAAACGTATATCATTAAATTCCTTCTTATTATAAAAAGAATAAAAGAAAAAAAGAAAGGTTAATTTCAATATGGCTGGAAGTACATTATCAATATAGAAATTTACAATATAAACATTTAAATTTAAACACACCAATGTACCTCCACCTTGCTCAAACTCGAGAGAATAATAAAAACCATATACAAAGTTGTGATAAAAAACAGAGAACCCAGATTTAGATAGCCCAAGCACACAGTATAATAGTCATAAAGAATTGTTGTTGTGCAAATACATATTTAAAACATATTTATAGAAAATAGAGAAATAATAAAATATAATGAAGTAATAAAATAGTAAAATAGGAGGTGTGGAGATATCATATATAAAATTCATCATATAGAATCATACTACTATTCCAGAAATCATAATATATTTCAACAATAATAGTAAATATAAATATATATATATATATATATATAAATTATTATTGAATCTCAAAAAAAATGTATAAAATTTTTTTCAATAAATTTAATCTTAAATTTTTTTTTTACAAATTTAAAAAAAATCTAAAATATTTGTCAAAAAATTCCCCAAAAATTCCTTGTTTCAAATTTTTTTTTGTTATTTTAAAAAATGGCATATTTCAAAATCATTATTAAGGCCATGTGGAGTCATAGTATTCAATTCAAAGATCCACTTCATTTCGGCCTTTTCTATTGATCTATTGAAATCTCCACCTCTCCATGCTTTATAAATTTGTTGGATCCCTATAAACCTTAATTGTGTGGGATCTGCACAATGATGTTGTTTAAAATGTACCGATACTTGATGTAGTGCATATTGCCTCTTAATATTGTATATATGTTCAGATATTCGGATTCGTAGGGGTCTCGTAGTACGGCCTATATAGTGTAGTCCACACGTGCAAATGAGCATATAAATTACATTCTTCGAACTGCATGTGATTCCTTCCTTAATCTTTTAAATCATTCCATTCACAGTAAATTCTTTTATATGTTGTTTTTTTATTTTGTGTTTTAACACATGCACTACAGTATCCACATCTAAAAAAAAACTTTTTGTTGATTTAAAAAATGACTACCCTGTTGCTTAGGTTCATCTAAACCATTACTTACTAAAATCCTTTTGAGATTAGGAACACTCTTATGAACTATCTTTGGTGTATCGGTAAGGATATTATTTAAAATTGGATCATCCATAAGTATCGGCCAATATTTTGTAATAATGTTTCGGACTTTCTGGTTATGTCCCCCTGAATATTGGCAGATATTCATTTAATATCCATGAATAATCTGTTTTGCTAAAACAAAGCATCTTGTCTTTTGTACAGTGCTGTTATTAAACATTTCCCTATAGACCATTTGGTAGAGGATGTGTACACATTTGTATAATGTTATCATGAAGTTGAGATGTTAAGAAACAATAATAGGATGTATCAGAAATATGACCAAAAATTATACAAGGAGGGGCGTGGCTTGGCCGAAACCGCTGATGGCCGCATAAGCCGAGAGCTCTGATCGATCACCCAACCTAAAACACGCATAAACCGCACCAGCACAACTACAAACCATACCTGGTAGCCCACTAACAGCCCAAAACCGCGATGCACAGTCTAAAAAAAGTCACGGGAGACCACTCTTACAACTTTCTTCCCGGCCAGTCAGAAATGCGCTGAGACACAAAATGGCACCTCCAGCGGCACGCGCCAGATGCAGGAAGATAGAGAGGATGCAGCCTCGGATCCCTCAGCCTCTTGCTCAGAGGACACGGCTTGCATACTCGCCCAGATGAAGGCGACCGGGACTTCCTTGCGGGGGAGATGGAGCGCAACTCCAGAGAGCTGAGATCTCTATCTCTCAACTTCTGTCCTTCACCGCGGCCCGTGACCACCTCCACACGCTCAAGCGCACTCCCTTACCGCGACTACACTTCATGTATACCACCGTTACCTCTCATAAGACAACATGGGTACTAAAATAATTTCACTAAATGTCAAGGGATTAAATTCCCCCCAACAACGCAGACTATTGTTTAAAGAACTTAAGAGCCTCTGAGCTGACATAGCATTTATTCAGGAGACCCACCTTAACCGCGTTAATTCCACCTTACTTAAAGATAAACACTATCGCAACGTATACCAACCCCCAGCCCAATGCAAACACAACGGGGTCGCCATATTAATCCACACACACTGTCAATACATTGTGACAAATACGCTCTGCGACAACAAGGGGAGGTACATTCTTTCCTCTGGTTCCATAGGCTCTCGTACCCTCCACCTCCTCAACATCTATGCTCCTAACACTGCTGACACCGGCTTCTGTGAGAAGCTGGGCGACATTATAGCCCCCCTAACATCTGACTTACTCTTACTGGGGGGCGACTGTAATGCGGTCTCATGCCGGGCAGTGGACAGGAGCACCAAACCGGGTGGACAAAAATCACAGGGCAGGGGGAGACAAGACAAACTATTTAAAGCATTCATAGACTCTCATAGATTGATCGATGTGTGGAGAACGCACCACCTAAGCGAACAGGACTATATCTTCTATTCCACACCACACGGCTCTTACTCCAGGATAGACATGTTCTTAACTAACTTGAGGCTGCTCCCGAGTTTGTGCACAACCGCAATTAATAATATCACCTGGTCCGACCACGTGGACATAGCAATATACCTTAGAGGCTTACTCCCCATGTCACCATGGTCCTGGAGACTAAACTCGTCTCTACTAAAGGACGAGACGCTCCGCAAAGAGGTAGCAACTGCCTTGACCCACTATTTTTCCGAAAATTCTACGCCTGATATAGACAAGGTCACATTATGGGCCGCACATAAACCAGTCATACGGGGCACTCTAATCCGGGCGGCCTCATACCAGAAAAAGCTAAAAAACAAATCGCTTTTCTCCCTACAAAAATCCCTCAGGAAGTCCAGACACAAGGCCATCCACTCGGAGGAAACATTGACTGTCCTTCAAAGCACTCGACACCACATTAAAAGAATACTGCTAGATGACGTCACCTGGCAAATTAAATGCTCCAGGTGCTACTTCTACGAAAGAGTAAACAAAATAGACGTCCCGCTGGCCCGATGCCTACACCCAAGGCAATGCTCCAAACCCATTTCAGCCATCTGGACATCTCCGGGGCTGTCGTATCCTCCCCCACCACACCTGAGACAGGATAATACGGGTGAAGATACCAAATTGAAGGACTTCCTTAGTTCACTTAAACTATCCCCCATCTCGCCAGAAATGAAGGCAGCATTAGCAGCAGAATATACAGAGGATGAGATTCGGGCGGCGGTGGCGAGCACCAGGGGGCAAAAGGCATTCGACAGAGTAAGCTGACCATAACTATTTAACCTATTGCAACATTGGGGATTTTCTACAGCCATAGTGACCATGGATCAAGCTTTATACTCCAACCTCCAAGCACAGTTGGGACTACCGGGGGCCTGTGACCCCCCCCCTTCCCTATCCGCAATGGCACACGACAGGGGTGCCAACTTTCGCCGACCCTTTTTGCCATCTCGATAGAACCACTCCTACATCTGATTCGCAATCATAACTCCATCCATGACATAGGGTCAGAATGTTACAAAATGGCTGCCTACGCAGATGACGTTCTTATATCGATGCAAACCCCCTCGCTATTGCTACTGCCTCTGCTCCGCCTATTACACGAATTCGGGGAGATATCGAGTTTTAAGGTCAATTACACTAAATCCTGCGCTATGGCATTCCACATACCAGACTCGGAGGCAGCCCAACTTACACTGACCCATAGCATATCTCTAAAACAGTCCTTCAAATACCTAGGGATCACCTTAGGACAGACACACTCCCAGCTATTTACATCCAACTACACACCTCTCTTACGGACGCTGAAACTAGAGATAGAGAGCTGGCAGAAAAGCCCATATTATGGCTAGGGCGTATACACTGCATAAAGATAAACATCCTGCCTAGGCTGCTGTTTCTATTCCAGGTACTACCCATTAAGATAACCAAAGAAGACCTAGCTACCCTACAGTCCACAATAGACGACTTTATCTGGCAACGGAAACGACATAGAATAGCAAACGCCTACTGAACCCCCCTCCTACTGTACTACTGCGCTGCACAGCTGTCACAGTTAGTAATGTGGCATGCCCCTCCAGGTGAACATAGGTGGGCAGACATAAAGGCGCGATTAATGAAATACGATATTACAGACCTATACATGTGGCTGGAAAGGCCCTCTCGGGCTCTATTACGGACAGCATGCCCATCGATTCTCAATTCCCTAGACTTATGGGACCACATGAGGGAGAAATTTAATCTAGCAAACACTCCTTCCCCCATGACACCTGTATACCGCAATAGACAGTTTCTGCCGGGCATGATACCACAGGAATTTAAAAATTTATTAAGAGCAGGACTCCAGAGATACCACAACCTGTGGCAAGGGAACACTATACTAAGCTTCGAACGCTTACGACAGGAGACCCCACTCACTTCCTCAGCAACAAGGACCCCTACCACTTTTGAACACCTTTGCAATGAATGAAAATACCGCAAAGGTCTTATCTCCCTTCTATACATCCATCTCAGCGAACATGACCTATATAGACAAATGGGAAGCGGATATAGGAGAAACCCTAAAGGGCATAGAATGGCAAGAAATCTGGGAAACCGCATCCAAGGTCTCTGTATGTGTCCTATCACAAGAACAGATGTATAAGATACTGTTCTGGTGGCATGTCACCCCAGTTTTTTTACACAGGGTAGGTTGAAACCCAACAGATTTATGCTGGAGAATGTGCAGCCAAAAGGGGACCTACTTCCACATGTGGTGGGACTGCCACATGCTGCACAGTTTCTAGAAGGGAATTAGGGACCTAACCTCCAAGTTCTTACAGATACCTATAACCTTGTCCACATGGACTTTCCTACTGTCGTGCCCCATTGAGGTCATCCCCAGACACACAAATAAACAACTGGCTATGATAGCTCTGGCAGCACAGAGAGTGCCCTCCATACAAGAGATAATTGGTAAAATTAAGGACAATCACGCCATGGACGAGCTCACTGCCAAAGTGAGGAACTTGGAATCCAAATTCACCAGAGTTTGGGAGCCCTGGTTGGATTACTTAAATACAATTGATTAGGGGGCCGCATGCAGCGGCGATGGACACTCCAAACTCTCTTCCCCTCTCCCTTCCTTCTATTCATTTCGGTACTGTCCTTTGGGCTGCCTGTGGAGTCCACTCCGAGCATAGCCAAGTGGAGACCAAGACAAGGGGGGAGGGGGAGGAGGTGCCCCACCTCTGGGGGGCATGGAAGTAGGAGAGAGAGAGACATAAAAGGGGGAGGGGAGAAAGAGAAATGGAAGGGAGGGGAAAAGACATTGACATGGGGGAGTGAGAGATATGGAAGGAGGGGGACATGAGAGGACATGGAAGGAAGGAGGAGAGAAACATTAAAGTGTAGTGCACTCTGGTACATTGGGTGCAATATCTAGTGCTGTGGGAAAGGCTGTTGGGCAAATCTGGTGGAAAGGGCAGTAAGACTGAAAAGTTGCAGAGAACATGGTGTGAAGAGGAGCGGAGGCAGTTCAGTAAAGCAAGGTAAGGGAAAGCAGGTGGAAATGTGGACTACATATTAGTTTCAAGTTGCAATGTGAGACACTCAAACATATCTTTACAGAGAGCTATATATGGAGGACATGGGCATCTCAGAAAGCCCCATGCTTTCACGTCATGGGCTTCTGTTTAGGTAACCTGATTTTTTTAAGGAGAGAAGTTAGTAAGATGGTAACGCCAAAATAAAAACCTGCACCCAGGCGTCTGTGACCCTAGGATAGGCCTTGTCAGGCTGGTTATGTTTTTCTCTACTCTCCCATGGATTGTTGTACTCCCCCACATTTATAAGTAATGGAGGAATCATTGGAGATATTGGCAGCGTTTTTACTTTAATAAGAAGATTAAAAGACAAATAGATAAATAAACTACAAAACATGAATTTAAAGCTCATATAGAAATAGTCATATAGTGATTTAACTATGTGCAAATTTCTATTAAAATATGTACTTTTTGCAAAATGTTTGTAATTAGATGCACTTGTGCTATGTTCAGGACAATAGGACCCTGCAAAGAGCACTGAAACAGTGCTCTATGCAGGGTCTACCCTCAATGTGCTGGTCTTGGAAAATTGCATTATTTTGCGATAATGTAAAGTATTATAAAATGTGTCTTATCTTAACCAGCATGCTAACTTCTTTAAAGGAACACTATAGGCACCCGAACCACTTCAGCTTATTAAAGTGGTCTGGGTTCACTGTCCTTGTCCCCTTAACCCCGCAAAGGTAATTATTGCAGTTATTGATGATCTGCAATAATTACCTTGCAGGATTAACTCCACCTCTACCAGACAGCCACTAAAGGCACTTTCAGGTGGTTATGCAACTTTTGGTTGCTCTGCATGAGGACATCCAGGGTCATCTAAAACCACATAGGAAGGCACTGTGCAATGATTTCCTATGGGGGTAGTACTAATGCAAGCTGAGGGACATAGTTAGTGACAAAAGGATTATTAACCCTTTACATGCGGGGGGTGGGTGGAGGAGCAAGGGAGGGGCCATTTTAGGTCACTACAGTGCAAAGAAAACAGCTTTGTTTTCCTAGCACTATAGTTTCCCTTTAAGAGTTTACAACTGAATACTTTCCTCTCTTTTTACATCAACTCTTCTCAAGCTCTTCAAAAGCCTTGCACACAGGATATCATATAAATAATTTGCTAATTTCTTTCATATTCTTCCTTAAACTTACATGTATGAAATCAGAATTGGAATCTGCATGGTATACAATATACATATAACGTGTGCTGTCCAAGTCCGTTTAATGTCACTAATACATTTTAAAGTCTTTTCTCTTAAATCACATTTTCTTACTTACGTGATCATATTGTTTTGGGTGGTTTAGGTGGGACTGCCATGTATGAAAAATAACAATTTAATCTCCTAGTAACTGATTGTGAGTTCCATCTACCATAACAATCTAACTGGTGCTTTTCCTTATAGGTATTCGAACTTCATATCAAAAGAGAAAGTGATGTCTATATTCCAAGAAAACTACTCAAGTCTGGAACTTTCTCAGTTTCAAAGGGATCTCCCTCACAATTTAGACCATGGAGAGACAAACAACCAAAACCACACCAACCATAACTTGACATTCTGTGATATTAACCCCATGGATTGCAACCTGACTACAGAGGAGCTTCTGTTCAAGTACCTGGGCCCCCGTAGGTCTAATTATTTCATCCCCATTTGTGTGGTGTATCTGCTGATCTTTACAGTTGGTGCAGTAGGGAATACTCTGACTTGTATTGTGATTCTCAAACACAAGCTCATGAGAACTCCTACCAACTACTATCTGTTTAGCCTTGCCATCTCCGACTTGCTTGTACTCCTCCTGGGAATGCCATTGGAGCTTTATGAGCTTTGGAGTAACTACCCATTCCTGTTTGGGAAAGGTGGCTGCTCCTTCAAGACATTACTGTTTGAAACGGTGTGCTTTGCGTCCATCTTGAATGTAACGGCTCTTAGTGTGGAGAGATTTATCGCTGTAGTGCATCCTCTTCGAGCAAAGTATGTGGTGACCAGGAATCATGCCAAGAGAGTAATAATAACTGTGTGGGTTATGTCTGTTTTATGCTCAATTCCAAACACCAGCCTTAATGGTATCATGCACCTGAATGTGGTGGGCCTTGGCACAATACCTGGCTCTGCTGTCTGCGCTGTGGTGCGGCCTCAATGGATTTACAACCTCGTCATCCAGATTACTACTATTGTCTTCTTCTTCCTGCCAATGGGGACTATCAGTGTTCTCTATCTTCTCATTGGCCTCCGTCTCAAAAGGGAAAAAATGCTCCAAGTTTTAGAGGCTAAATCTGGGGATGGAGATACTTACCAAAACGTGCGACTGCAGCAGGAAAAGATTCGGAGGAGACAGGTGACTAAAATGCTGTGTAAGTTTCATGTTAACAAGGCTAATAAGATTAAAATGTTACCAGATTTATAGAGAGTCACAAAGTACTTAAAAGGAAAATACACAATATTTTGCAAGAGAGGTAAATATATTACTCTGTTGATAGTTGGAGCATGGTTCTTACAAAGTCTTCATGGCTTAAAAAAGAATAATTAACATAAGCATGTTATCCTCTTGGTAATAGAGCAGCTTTAGAACAAAGGTTTTTCCTTCTTATTACATGTAACAGTCTTTAGTAGTAAAATCAATAATGGAAGCAGGGTGCATGAAATGTCTAACCCAATCTCAAAATTTAATCTCTAATATAAATATATATAAAAGAAGAATTGGTGTGTTAAATATTCTCATTCAGGGGAAGAAGGTAGCTTATGTAATCAGTAATAGAACAACATCCCCAACAAAATGATAAAATGGGGTGATCTTGGACCAAAATATGATTATTGTTTACATATTATATTTATATAAAGAGGGAATTATGGAAGGAATTGAACTATATGCCGAATATTTTACACAGTTTATTTGGAATGTTAGTTTACATTGTGAAGGTATAGCATTCCTATGGGATTCACAATTGTTGTTCCAGTGACTAAAAGTATATTTATTTTACCACTAGGTTAACTCAGTAAACTCGGAATTATGGAGAATAGCACATATTACACCAAATAGCCGAGCACAAAATGTAACTGGAATCTACATGGAGAATCTAAGTCAGATGTCCAGAAATTACTTATCAAAAATCAATCAATAAATAAATCTGATAAAAATGGCAACTTACTGGTGTTGTCCAGGCCAGCTATTTGGCTCCTAATGTTTTTTGATAGTAAAACTTGCAGCTGCATTTTACTATTTACTACTATTTACTGTTTGACAGGGGAAACACTGTAGCTGCTAAAATGAGTTACGCTTGGAAGTCATTGAAAACATCCGTGATATTTACTATCACAGCAAGAAGACATACATGACATTTACTGTCACAGCTTGCAAACTCATTTATAAGTGTAATCCTAGTATAATAATTGGCATTATACTTTAAATTATAGCTGCAAAGAGTGACAGTTTGGTGCTGTTTGCATTTATTATTGTTTCAAAACAATAAAAAAAATAACATAAAGGGACAAAGGACCAGGTTGTCCCAAATACTTTAAGCCTTTTTAATCTTATAGCCAGAGGAACACCAATCACCTGTGTATGTTTCCAATTCAGCTGGGAATCCTCTGATCCTAAAAAAAGACTCTCTACATCAGTGGTTACGAGTACCCAAAGGACATCTTACTGGCTGAAATTCAAGGCAACAGAGGCTTTTATATAAGCCCTTGCCATCTGGAATCGCATCAGATTATAGTGATTGTTTGGTTTTGAAAACAGTACTACTCAAAGTACACTGAGGGTACACTTCGCCTCATGTGAGTCTGGCTTGGCAAATTTAAAAAAAATAAAAACAGTTTTTTATCAACCATTAAAAAAAATAATAATCAGATTTATATATCCTTGGCTGCATTTCAAGTGCAATTCTACCATATTGATTCCACCATCACCCCACAAACATAAGTATTAGAGACCCTGGAGGATTTAACCCATTCACTACCTTTAAAGGACCACTCTAGGCACCCAGAGCACTTCAGCTTAAAGGACCACTATAGTGCCAAGAAAACATACTCGTTTTCCTGGCACTATAGCGCCCTGAGGGTGCCCCCACCCTCAGGGACCCCCTCCCGCCCGGCTCTGGAAAGGGGAAAAGGGGTTAAACTTACCTTTTTCCAGCGCTGGGCGGGGAGCTCTCCTCCTCCTCTCCTCCTCCGTTCCTCCTCCTGGGCTGAATAGAATAAAGAACATATCAATAAAACAGGTAATGTTGTAAAATAATAGAAAATGATATCCCAACAAACAGTCGCATATTATCTAGTATGAAATCTACGATAAAATAAGGGAAGGCTACGTGACAGGAGGCTTCATATTTTGCTTTGTTAATGCTTTGATAACAAAGAATAAGAAGCGTGAAAAACTACATGAAAATAAAATGTCCAAGAAGTGTCTTCCCTGGACCAGACCACAGACCTAAGAGTATCAGAAAGAGAGGCTCCTGAAATAAAGGCAGATGAAGGCGCCCCCCCCCAGTGCCCTAAGTGAGTGAAGAATCCTTGCCGACTAAGAATAAAAGCCACTGAACACAGCATGCTAGAGTCGTTGTAGAGACAGGTTTGACACAGGAAACGAGAAGTTAACAGGAGTTAGAAGGGCGGAGAAGTGCCGTAACCGAAGCATAAACGAGAGCCAAAACAACGCAAAGTTTAGGTTATCCCGAAAGAAAAAATGGTCAAGGAATCAGATTTAGTGCAACAAGTAATCCGAAATGTGCCTTTGGAGAGAAATGCATCAACATCGCTCAAAAGTCGGAGATCCAATGAAAGAGACTTAGCAAAGAAACAGAAGACATTTTGTCAATAATTGTCATAGAGAAAGAGAATTGTGTCAGGCAAATTTCTCAAAAAACATAGGACTAGGTCATATTTGGAAATATTTAGGTAGCGGAGGACATGCTTAGTGGACATCCCACATGAGTGTACAAACCAGAGGGCCATACCGAAAGGGATCCCAGAAATCAGAACATGAGCTGTTGAGATCATGGAGAGCATGACATTAATAGAACGGTATGGACTATCCAAAGCAAATAAAGAGAAAAGAAAATTCTAAATGGACGGTATAGGAGCTGTAAAAAGATTTAGGTCCCAAACACACGTTAGCCCAGGAATGGCAAGCTGAAAGGCAACATCGGCTAGTACCTGGGGTCCAACAATAATTCTCAAGCTGTCTCAGATAGTTTGTCAACATTCCAGGATCGCTTTGAAAGTGTCCAAGCCACCAGATGTAGATGGTCTTGGAGGCTAAGAGGGTGTGGATTCATGAAGTTGATCCGAATCTAGGCAGGAGAAACCCACAATTGTGCAGTAAGGCCCTCATGCGACCAGCAGGATGCCTGAGGGGAGATTCTAGAGTATTAAAAAAAACCATAAAATAAAAAAAATGAATGGGGATAGAAATACAAAAATATAGGGACATAATTAACCAAAACATGAATGGATGTATAAGAAGCTAAAAATATTAATTTGTAACAGTAACTATAAAGTAATACATACAAGGATATTCTGATCTGTGTAGCTGTCTAGGAGCAGCATTGAAAGAGGAGGAGTTTCAGTGTGCATGCCTATTTGTTGGTATTACTGATTTTTGACTGACTCTCTTGTTACTGAGTAAATACTTTGCTGCTCGGAGTACAATAAAGGAAGGAAAGAAAAATATGAAGCCTCCTGTAATGTAATCAAATTTAGCAATTCATTCCATAACGGAATAACACACATGTAAGGTTGTACACAATAACATATTTGATTGAACATTTGTTAATAAGATTATGTACCATTAATTTCTGATTATGTGGATTTTTCTGTCTCAGCTGTCTTTCAAATTAGATGTCCATCAAATTAGTAAAGTTTATTGGTTACATCAACAGACGTGGTGAGGATGATGCCATGCAGTAAGGGAGACTGCTGAAGTATCAGTGGAAACCATGGATCCTAGACAAAGTCATATATTGCAGCAGGGCTATAAATTCTATTTTTAGGGATTATTAAATCACATCATAATTTTATTCACTATCCAACATATTATAAACAGAATTACTCTTAAATCCCGCTAGTGTACTTAACCTTCCATCACCTCCTGTCATTAGTACTGAGCCCATGCACCATCTAATTGATGTTGACATGATGGATGGGTTGTACTGTCTGTGTGCACTAGAAATGTGTGCGGTGGATAATGTATACTTCTAATTCAGATGATGGGAGTGCTTCTATTGATGTGTATGGAAATTTGTTAAACTACTAACAATTTGGGTGTCTGGAGTCTCTCTTGAAGGTTGTGCAACTTTCCAAATAACCTAGCGTTCTTTGCTTGAGATATTACAAGATTGACAGACATCTTTTTACAACAAACAGTATCTGTCATTCAGGATTTGCACAACCTGACATGAGTAGATACAATGTGGTTTTAGATGCAGTATTGTACTGGGAAACCATGGATGAACCCACAAACTAGAGAAGAGTGGTGTGACAAATGCCAAGTATGACTTTCCTTGTGTTGCGATTTACTAACCGATTATAATCTAGATCCCATAGAAGCAGCATCTGGCTAAGCAGGCTAGCAAATACATTTTCACTTGAGATAGATATTTTCTATATCTCAGAGCCAGCTCTCTAATTAGGTGATTTAGGCGGCCGCCTAAGGCCTCGCGGAGTCAGGGGCCTCGCGGCCGCCTAAATCACCTGAGGGCAGACTGACATGTCGGGTTCTCGGTCTATGACCAAGGACCCGACACAGGAGGGGACCTGGCAGCTTGCCCTTTGTGCCGCCGGGTGCGAGGCCCCTTCCTGTCAGTCCACCCGGGGAGAGAGCCAGCCTCAGTCTGCAGCTCCGCTGGGTGTGAGCTGCAGACTGATGTCTCGCGATCTGCAGCCAATCAGAGAGTTGCCGTGGCTTACCATGGCAACGCTCTGAATGAAGATCGCAAGACATTCCCCATGTGGTCTGCAGCTCTGCATCCGGCGGATCCAGAAAGCCCACTGGACCACCAAGGACAGAATGACCCACCAGGAGCCATCCAGGACACCGGACCACCAGGGACAGATTGACCCCACCGGACCACCAGGGGAAAAGGTAAATTTTGACCCCCCCTCACCCTGCCACCCCACCTGTCACCCCCCTAACCCCACCTGTCACCCCCTTTAACCCTGCCACTTCACCCTGCACCCCACCTGTCACCCACTGTCAACACCCTGTCACCCCCCCTCACCCTGCCACTTCACCTGTCACCCCTCCCCACCCTATCTCACCCCTGCCACCCCATCTGTCACCCCCTCACTCTGCCACCCCACCTGTCACCATCATCTCACCCTGCCACTCCACCTGTCACCCCCCTCACCCTGCCACTTCACCTTGTCACCCCCCCACCCTGCCACTACACCCTGTCACCCCATCTCACCCTGTCACCCCTCTCTCACACTACCACCCCACCTGTCACCCCATCTCACCCTGCCACCCCACCTGGTGGCCACCCAGTAACTCCACAGTATGTCCCCAGATGGTTCTTAACCCCTTAAGGATACATGACGTGTGTGACGTTTGGTCCTTAAGGGGTTAAAGGGCCAGCAGCAGCATAATAAAAGCATAATAAAATACAATATGTCCAAATCAGCTCCTAGAAGGGCAATACATCCCAGGGCCATAGTCGCAGGGCAGGAGGCTGGCAAACAGGTCCCTCCAAAAAACAGTGACCTCGCCACATATCTCCCCTTTGGGGGGTAGACTAACCAGGTACCTGACCTTCTGTTGGTCGGTGCCTGAGTTAGTCTGACAACCCACCCACAAAACAGTATCCACAGTATAACCCACCCACCAGAATTGATTACTACACCTGGGGTAGTGGGTCGCTTGTCCATGTCCAGGAGCTCCACCACGGCTCTGGGGTTTACTAGCCCTCCGGATCGGTGGGCTGCTGAGTGGGCAGAGACCAGCGGTACTCTGCCCTGATGCCAGCGCTACCACGGGAGTAGCCTGGTTGGAGCCCAACTGAGGAGAAGGGGTAGTAGGCTCCTCGCTCTGGACCTGGTGTTGCTGCTGGAGGGGAAGACATACTGTCTCCCCTTTGGATAACCAGCCCTGCTGCTGGGGGACAGGACCGACCGTCCCTACCCCTTGTGGTTTGGGCACAGAGACCACGGTCCCATCTGCACCGGTGTGGGGCTTATCATCCCCCCTTGGTGGGCTAGGCTGCCGCTGGGGAGGGGGAACGAGGCTCTCCCCTTCCAGTAGAATACTCTGCCGCTGGGGAGCAGGACCAACTGTCCATACTCCCTGTAGCTTGGGCGCAGAAACCACGGTCCCATCTAAGCCGGTGGGGAGCTTAATGTCTCCCCTTGGTGGGCTATGCTGCCGCTGGAGAGAGGGGGTAACAAGCTCCTCTCCCTTACACTTTCTCTGCTGGTGGAGAGGGGGACCGACTGTCTCCCCTTTCAATATATTGTCCCGCTGCTCCCAGCCGGACACACTGCTGCTGGGGAGGAAGGACGGCACCTTCGGTTCCCTGGGACTCACACTGTCACTGGGGAGAAAGGACAGTACCTTCAGCTCCCTGGGACTCACTTGACTGCTGAGGAGAGGGACCACCTGTCTCCTCTTCTAAGAACACACACTGCCGCTGGGGAGGAAGGACGGCACCTTCGGCTCCCTGGGACTCACGCTGCCGCTGGGGAGGAAGGACGACACCTTCGGCTCCCTGGAACTCACACTGCCGCTGGGGAGGAAGGACGGATGGTATGCCACCAGAGGGCCTGGTATGCGTTGTCTTGCCAGATCTCTTGCCATACCAGGGTCTCTAGTCTTGTCACCCACTAGATACATCCGCATCGCCACACGCTTCTGTAGCCGCTGCTCATCACTGGGGAGACTCTCACCTTGCCGCCACTGGGCATCTTCCAGGGCATCATACCAGAGTTCCTTTCTGTCTGCATCCCTGTAGTCCGCGGCCGCCTCCTCCTCCTCATCATGGAACACTGTCCAAAAACTAGCCGATTCCATCCTGCTGTAGCCAGGGGCGCTGTACGGATACTAGCGTTGCCCTCAATTTGTAACTCCAAACATTACCAGTGTCTCCGAGCTGCTTCTCCTCGCACTAGGATGCCATCCCACCGCTTGCCACCAATGTAACGGATCACCTGGCACCCCGACTGGGTACCTCCGTTGAAGGATGCTCCTAGCACTTCCTGAGGGCTCCAAGCACTCCAGCCGACACCATAACCACCGTAGACTCCTTCAGAGAGCAAGACAGGAACAAGTTCTTACAAGAGCTCAGTGACTATAGCAAGGGAATATGCAGAGCATAGCAATCCCTTGTAGCAGATTCCCCCAATAAGAGACAGGATTCAGATTGAGGGTGACGTAGAACTGACTGTACTGGCACATACAGCCACTTTTATTCACAATCCACAAACATAGTACTGCCCACAGGGTTTTGAAATACAGCCAAACAATCCGTACAATACACACAGACACTCCCACACAAAATCCTCCCCTCTGCCTGTGATATGATTACTGAACACAATGGTTAATGTAATTATCACAGGCAGAGAAATACAGTATTATAAAACATATCACAGGGACCCCTAAACATGCAATAACCCCATAAATCCTCAGAACCGGGGGATCTGGGTGAACCACATATCCAAAATTCACCCAGATCCGTTCCGTAGTTTGGAAGATACAGTTTAATGCAGATTCCGCAGAACATATACAGGCTATATGAAAAAGAATTACTGTATGATGTGTCCCCTGTTGTAGACACACACTCTCAGGCACACACAGGTAGACAATGCAACGATGTATACAAAGACTAGTTCTCTATATCCAGTACTGCAAGCCCGCCCTTCAATATATCTACAGCTTCTTATACACATACAAGTCAACTTGCCAAGACTAGAGCCGCCACTGCTATATATAAATGATTTGTAACTCCCCTGTCTTTGTCCTTCGCCCCAAACATTGTATATTTTACCCCCAAAACCTTTCTTCTCTTTCTTCTCGACAAGCCAAGCACTTTGATTTCATGTCTCATCAGTTATAGACCAAAGTAAGGCAGTATAGTTATAAAATATATTTGCTTTCTTTGAGGCTCCCATGTGAGCCTTTAACAGAAGCATTTAGCATGTAGAAAAAATATCTGGAATGTGTTACAGGAAAACTTTGTGCTCAGCAGTCATAGAGCTGAATTTGTACATACATAGAGATATACTGACAAACTGACAACAGAAACAGCTGGTCATATTGTGGATTATATAAAAGCTGCCTCTATTCTCCGATTTTTGTACATAAGTTGGATAAAACCTTTTTTTATATGGCTTTGATAGCAGTTATTTCCTGATGAGGAAGAGCCACTAATCAGGGAATTGAGGGAAACTTTGCAGGCGAGTAACTTTTTTGTTTTTTTACTTATTTCTTTTTGTTTGTTTTTTTGCATGATTTTCTTCATGCATTATTTTTATATTGTTTTAAAAAAAAAATTGTAGGTGCTCCTAATTTTTCAGAGTAGCCAACCATGCAATCCATGCAGGTGAATGGGGATAGGGAACTCCAGCTTCAAGCAATATGTATGTAGCTGGAAGCTTGGTGTTTTGTTCAGCTGTAGCCCTCCATAAGAAAGTATTTACAGAAAAAAATGTTTTGAGTACGAGAAACTATTTGCATTTCATACGGTATTCAGAACTGGAGACAGAATCAAGGTGTACTTGCCTTGGCGCCTGTAACAGACATCTCTGTGTAATGAATACGGGATCCGAACCTGCCACCTACCACAAGGGAAGAACTCTGTTACCGTATCTCTCAGAGGGGGTCCTAGTGACCACAATGCCTAAATAGCGCTATTTAATATTTCCAGAGCTTTACAATTGTAAGCATATTCTATCTGTATACTTACTTCTATCTTGTGTCATTTTACACTATGGATTCTTTTTTTACTTTTTTGAAGCCCATAAAGGTACCTGAAGATTATATCAAATAATATCACAGATTACATTAGAGCTGTTCCTCACTGGCTATTTTACCAATATCTTTATTATGTTCTTTTGTTGTCTGAGTACTATTCACACAGTGTTAATATATACAAATTACCCACCATATATTTTAGCTACAACACACCATTTCTGTTGTTGTTATTATTGTGTATATATAACAGACTTTTCCAGAGTTAGCCTGGGTAATTGGCAAAGGCATTATTCTGGATTAAGTTTATTGCAATGCTTAGTGGCATTCTTTTTGGTCTATCATCAACTAGAAAATAAGCTAAAACATACAAGCAAGCGAGCAAGCAAACAAAGAAACATATAAAAACAAGTTTCACCACTGGGAATCCTACTGCAACGTAAATGGTAATTCTATATAAAATAAACTTTTGGCAGTATCAGAATCCTCATTATGTGGGTTGTTTCCTCTTCACCTTCAAGAAAGCTTATGCCTTTGAAAAAAAACTTTTCATACCAGCCAAGCTTTGGGAGTTGTATGAACTATTTAGTACTTGTCAATGAAGCAATAAACATCCTAGTGTGATGTTCCTGGCTTACCCGTATTTGATTTTAGTTAAAAGTACTAAACTTTGTAGCAGAGCATTTTTTTGTCTTCATATCCTATAACATTTAGGCGATGTATCAGGGCATACCATTCACCTATAGCAGGGATAATAAACAAAGGGGTCAATTCTGCTGCAATTGAATAAATGGAATAAAATAAACTATTAAAACTGGAAAATTAGCATGTGAGAAATTCTGCTAGGATGAAATTTATTGCACAGTAAACCTACTATAGAATTCAAAAGAACCTGCCAGAATATTCACCATCCAAATGCCAAAAAAGCTATTATACAAAAAATATTTCTGGTTCTTAGGGCAAATACATTACAGGTAGATGGCTAAGATAAATACTCAGCTCTGAACCATGTATCACATGAGATAAACCTCGAAAAAAATGAGTCAACATGTGCCAAGTGAGTAGTAAATGGATTAGGATTACAATTAACTCACTCTCACTGCACTGGGGAAAAAAATAAGTATAATAAAAAATATAAAGCAACCTAAACACTAATGCTAAATACCAGTTATATTCCAAGTTACACAATTCAAGTTAAACATGCTAAATGATCGAAAGTGGCAAATCTTCCCTATAAGTAGTACTTGGACAGATATTGCTGTTTTAAAATAGAACACACAATTCAAGGATACCAACACACATGGCTCCATGGTTGTCAGAGGCAATAAGCACATATTGTAGCTAAGATTGGCAACAAACAGTATTAGCCTTGCACTTCCCACATGGCAGAGAGACCACACAAGGCTTCACTGCTGCTTTTGCCAGTTATCCCTTCTCCCAGAGCTATAAGCCATTTTCCTGACAGGTAAGGGTAAAGGTGCAAAGACATAGGACATTATCAATTTTACAGACAACAACATACTTGACACCTTGAACAAGCAGTTTGCCCCTGCTTCCTGACGGGGGTTCGGTCCTCATCCATTTTCTCTAAACTATTTATTTTTTCTAAACTAGAATATACTTATCTACTCTACAAACTTCATATCTAATGCATTTCTTAATACACAGATAAGACTATATAAACTAAATAGGTACTAAAATGTGAAAGAGAATCACTACATCTATAAGCTCTCACCTGCACTGACACATATCACACAAAGATGCTTATGTTTCCGGTGTATTAAATTTGATTCTTCTTATTTTTTTTAAAAACTTTTTTTAATGTCATGTATAGTTTTGAGTGTCGCTTCAAGTCTCAGGCTTGGGGGATTCAGTGACATGTTACTGTCAATTTAATGCAATAAACAGCTTATTTGGTTGGAGACTGTAATGATACTGTAAGTAGATTATCCCCCCCCCCCACTCCTTTTACGCTAAAGTGAAGCAAATCCTTTATAAGGGCCTGAAATTAGTAATTGTAGAACACCAGCTACTCCAGTGTTTGCAATAATTCATTTGATGGAAGCATTTAGTCAAACAAACATAGCAGTGGAAGAAAAAAAAAATTCAAGTCAGAATTTGCATATGTTTCATCCTGCAGGGACTTGATTTAACTACCCTAGGTGAAAAACAGTGCCTTACAATAACATTTGGCATCATCACACCCAGCAGGATCACGCCAAACGCTGTTAGTATTTCTCACAGAGAAGCATTGGATTTTATGCATCTCATTGAGAAGTTGTTTGTTTTTGGCAGAATGCTGTGATTGACATGCATGCAGCAAAGGTCTTCACAGCTTTTTTAAGAGAAGAATTAAACTGGAACAAGTTCATCACAATTGATGATCTCAGAAGAGGCTGAACTGCTGCTGACAGAAGAAGACATAAAAGGAACACTCCACTGAAATTAATGCGTTTTTTTTCCTTTTAACAGTTTAGTATATATATTTTTGTCTGCATGTTTTTTGGGGGTATATGAAAACACAGCTTGTAAATGCTGCACACCTGTTGTCTGCATCCTTTCCAAGCCCTCCCTTTTTTCCCTGGCACAATCTTTCAGGGACCAGTTTGGGCACCATAAAAACTTCATCAAAATATTAGCCTAGCGCTGGCTCACCTTAAGGATATAAACTGTTCTCGAATGGCATAACTCTAACTCCAACATCTGTGTTCCAGCTCTGAATCTCACTGCCCCTCTCTCCTTCCATGGGGAATAGAAGGACAATATCTTTAATCCAGAAGGCTCTTTCAGAATCGAGCAGCCACGCCTCTGAAAATATTTGTTCCTTTTTCAAGCCAGTTTTATGAATGAGAAGTTACTGCTTGGCTAAGATTGTCAGTCAGCTGTGCTCCTGGCACCATAACAACTTAATTTCAATTATGTTTATGATACCCATAATCCCCAGTCTGTGCTGGGGATTACTCCAATCGGAGACTTTTCAGTGAGATTGAGGCTTTCTAATGCTTCTCAAGGAACTATAGTTCAGCTCTGTGGAGCTAACTGAAGAGTAAGAAAATCTCCCTGACTGAATGATTCTACTCCCTATTATAAAAGTAATGATTTCTTCAGAAATCCGCACTTTTAAAAACTGCCAAGAAAATGACAGGCTGCAGACACATATAGCACTTCAAGAAACTGAAGTGCTTTATACGTGTGGAGTGATACTTTAATGTAGTTGTCTTGGTGCAGAGATGCTGTCCTTTTTTTCGAGCAATTGCAATATTTACATTCGACTGAAAACACGCCTCTTGTAACTGTCCGACAGCAAAAATCACTAAACTGAACTAGAGATCATGAAGCACAATGTTCTCACGAAGGGAGGATCAGACTGCTGAGCAGAGACTTTGATGACGGTGGATTACAGGCAACTTTAATGTTTTTAAAACTTTAGAAAGAAGGGGGAGCCTAAATCTAAAAAAGAACTTCTATAACTTAAATATATTTATTATTAACGCTAGAGTGTTCCTTTAAAATAAAACTGGCAAAACTGTCATAAAAAGATAATTTAAGGGAAAAATCCACAAGCATATACTTCAAATGTTACATAAATTCCATATGACTCTCAGTATAACATGAAAATTTCATAAAGAAAACAAAAGTGTCATGTTTTTGTTAGGTAGGAATTTATGCAATAAAATGTGGTGGTGAAAATGACCACAAATGTATCAGGAGTAGGCACCCATCTGCACTCCAGATGTTGCGGACTACATCTCCCATAATGCTCTTACAGCCATAATGCTGGCAAAGCATCAGGGGAAATGTAGTTAACAACATCTGGAGTGCCGAAGGTTGCCTACCCATGTTAATGTTGTAGATCAAACAAATTTCTTTAAGAAGTATTTTCTCCAAAAGGCATTCACAAGTTATTGGTATTGCCTCCATTTAATAGTTTCACCTGAGATTGTTAGTATATTCCACTGAGCATATTCTAATCATATTTGACATATGACACTGGTTTAAAAACAAGTGTCATGACATTACTTTAGATATATTATATCCGTGAATCTGTTACATTTCTCTCATTCAACATTCAAAATGTAAAGGACATTGCAGGTTTACAACTTTCAGTAGCTTCTCGTGACACCTAAAGAAACATTCAACAAGTTACTTTTAAGGTTTGCAAACCCTTTTTCCTGGCTAATCATGGCAGCATCACTTATGGGTTAGTGCCACCCTCAGCCGTATCAGGACAGAAAACAATTAAACAATTAACGAGGCTGTAGGCATAAAGGGTTCCTCCTTCCTCCATACCTCAGTTTTTTTTCTGTCCTCAGTCGGACACAGGAATTTATTCTGCAGTCAGGTTTTATTTTTTGGCAACCTCCCACGTTTACCGTGGGCTTACCAGATGAAGTTCAGCCTCTCTTCATCTGAAGAACTCAGTAATCAGGCTGCACAGGCAGAACTAACTGAGTTGTTTTTTACATTCTTTATTTTTACGTTATAGAATCACAACATGTATATCCGTTACAGTTTAACAGGTTACAACGAGTTAGTGGGACAGTTTTGTGTATAACAGCATTGAAGTAATTTCTGCATTTTACTGATAGGCTGTTTTCGTATTTATAGCTCCAACATAGTAATAGGCATTCTTGTGTGTTGTGTTGTGTCGTTAGTCTTGTATTGGGTTAGACCACACTGTGTTTGGGAGTGTATGGGGATTGCGGTTGATCCGCGAGGTTCCAGCGTGCTGTCAAATAGCCTGTTCCAACCTATCAGGGTTGTCCTTGTGGGGCAGGGGAGGTCATGTATCACCATGAAATTACCTGATCCACCTCGTTTGTAGGTATAACTATGAGGGGAGTTTGGCTCAGTGAGAGATTGCCTGTCTCTTACGTATTGGGTCTAGTGTTTCCTACGGCACCCTGGTTTGGTGGAGGTCAGTGTCGGCGTTCATTGCGGTTCTTCTTTTCCCCAAGCATTGTACTAAGTAGTGTGCCTGTGTTACTAGTACCAAGCTGGTGAATACAGTACTACGTCTCCAGTCGTGTTGTGTCAGCCTGCGCGTTCCGACCCTCGGAGGATACCGTAAGGAGCTCTTATTGAGGGTTCCAATCTGGTTAGTATCTGTGCTATGTGTGGGTTCAGGCCGTAGTGGGCCTGGTGGGGTTGTGTTCAGTCCGAGTTCATGTGGAGGCCCATTGTGCTGCCCCCTGAGCCGTATGACCACCCACCAATCTCCCTGGGCAGATCTGTTTTGGGGTCTCTCGGGTTAGTTGTCCATGATTCGTCTTCGGACGTGGCTGGAGTGTGCGGTGTGTTCCTGTGGTGTCTTGTTATGTAGGTGCGTGGCGTGTAGGGTCTGCGTTAGGCGTCGCGTTGTCACCATAGGTCGTTGGTTTGTGTCACTCGTGTGGTGGACGTGTCCGTACCAGTCATGTGGGCGTAATATGTTCCCCGCTAATCGTCTGGGTGGCCTTGCCTGGGTCTTAGTTGTTATAGTATGTCTTGGGTCCAGCCGGACGTGGTTTAAGTGGGGTTTTATCTCTCAACTGCGGCAGTCCGAACTAACTGAGTTTGGTGTGTGCGGTTTAGAGACTGTCATACGTGAAGATTCTGGATTAAGTATCTGGATTTCAGGAAGGCACTATTCAGGGGTTCGTATTTCTTTAATTCCCTAAACTGAATTTGGTGCTGTATATATACAAATGAGTATATCTGTTTTATAGGGGTCGGTTTTCCTTAAAAAAACCCTGATGCATGTTCCCCTTCTATGATGTGGAGTGGGCTTATTCTCCACAGGAGGCAATGGGTTTTGGAGAAGCTTATCTGAGTAATCTTCTCTTGTGCTGCTATAAGGCTGCTGACTTCTATAAGTCTGGATTACATCTTACCTGTTATACATGTTCTGTAAGCAGGTGCTGTATAAGTTTCTTCTTTCTTCTGACCGCGCAGCTATTCGGCATCTAGACGCTCTGCTTCTCACGTCACAAAATGGCGCCGGGGGGCGGTTCCGGCGTGCGCATGCGTGATGAAGGAATTTAGGGACTTTGAAAAAATTTAGTAGTGAAGTCTCCGAGCATGCGCAGATTGGCGGGTAGGAGGATTTAAAGGTACATGGCGTGAAATTCAAACGCTGCTGTACCTTGTTGCTTTGGTGTTTTCTGTGTGAATTGTGCTGCCAGGATCAAATTACTTCTGAGAAGGTAAGAGGATTCTAATATTCTTTTTTCTTAGCAGTCTTCTTTTTTTATCTTCTTTAAAAGTCTTCCTTCTTCTTATAGCTATGGCTTCTCCCTCTGCCTCCATACATTCTGATAGAAGAAATAGGTGAGCCAAGATTAGTAATTTTTTTCCCTTCTTTTAAGGGGAACAAAAAGAGTGCCAAAGGGGCCAGTAATATATATATACATGGCCTTTACATAATTTCAGCCCCATCATACTACTGGAATCCTCTCCTAGGAAGCATAAGGACAAGACAAAGAGATGCTTAAATTGTAATGGGATAGCTATGGAGGAAAAGAAGCTGTGCAGGTCCTGTTTGGTGGAAGTGGCCAGAGAGGACAGCAGAAAGGATTCGCCTCATGAAGAGCTTAAACAGTGGATCTCTCAGGCTATAGCGGAAGGAATTAGATCCTCTTCAGGGAAGGGCCAGCAAGCAAAGCGCTCCAGACAAGAGCCCGGGTCTTCTGAAGCTGAAGATAACTCTGATGTCCAGTTTTTTTCTGACGAAGAGGAGGAGGAGATAGACCATTCATCAAGATCGCTGGATTCTAGATCCGTGGAGAAGTTGATTTCACTATTAAGAAATACTTTAAGGATCCCTGAAGATAAAGCAGAGGTGCGTAAATCAGACAGGTATTTTGAAGATCTTAGGTCAAATAGACCTACTTTTCTGGTTCATGCAGCTATCAAAGAAGTCATCTCTCAAGAATGGAGTAGGTCAGAGAAGAAAGCTACTCTGAAGAGTAAAGCTTCCAGGGTATATCCATACTCTCAGGTGGATTCTAAAGCTTGGATGTCCATTCCTAAGATTGATGCGGCTGTTATCCATATGGCCAAAAAGACTACTCTTCCAGTAGACTCAATGGCTTATTTACGCGAACCCATGGAAAAACAGTTGGATGCGGATTTAATTAAGGCATACCTGGCTCTGGGGTCTGCTTTACTTCCAGCAGTGGCATTGACAACACTTTCCAGAGCCTTAAAGGTTTGGCTACAGAATTTGGAGGAAGACTTAGCAGCGGGGGTTCGCAGGGAGCATCTGATTGAAAGTCTGAAAGATTTCCACTTGGCATCAGAATTTTGCTTAGAGGCCTCTCTCGACATTACCAAGATGGTGGCTAAGAGCATGGCTCTGACGGTAGCCTCCAGAAGGGTGTTGTGGCTACACGCTTGGGGTGCGGACTATGCATCAAAAGCATCTTTATGTGCTCTTCCCTTTCAAGGGGATCTGCTTTTCTGCAAAGTTCTGGAGGAGGCCATCCATAAGGCAGCTGATGGTAGAAGAGCCTTTCTTCCCCGTCTGGATCAAAAACGTCTCCGATTCATGGGTACTGTCAATTATAAAAGAAGGATACCTCATAGAATTTTCAAGTATCCCACCACCTACCTTCAAGCAATCTCACGTGGCAAGAGGGATAAAGGAAGTAGCTATAATGGCTTGTATCAATGAACTAACCCTACAAAAGGTTATTGTGGAGGTTCTGAAGGCAGAAAAGCATATTATCAGATTCCCATTCACCCTTCGCATGTAAAGTTTCTGCGTTTTTACATATGGGGGAAGCATTACCAATTCAGGGGACTTCCCTTTGGGCTCAGTCTAGCTCCAAGGACGTTCTTGAAGGTTCTCATTACACTGATTGCCTTTCTAAGGTTGCAGAGGATAGAGATTTTCCAGCACCTCGACGATATTCTTATCGTGGGTTCCTCGGCCCAGGAATTGTTACTTCACACTCAAACTGCTATTCACTGTCTACAGGCTCATGGATGGATGCTGAACTTAGGGAAGAGCTCTCTGATCCCATCCCAAAAGATTATTTTCCTGGGGGCAAAAATAGATACTGCTGTAGCAACTCTCTCTCTTTCGCCAGAAAGAATGACAAAGATTTGCGAGAAGATTACGGATATTCAAGACCGTCAGTTCCTTTCTGCTAGAAGCTATATGAGCCTCTTGGGGTCCCTGACGTCCACGATAGGGCTGGTAAGAGGGGCCCGTTGGGAAATTCGATCTATCCAGATGGGGTTTCTACGGCAGTTCAACAAGCACAATCCAAACTGGGATCAAAAAATTGTTCTTAAGAAGTATGCAAAGAATCAGCTGAAGTGGTGCAAGAACAAGAAGAATCTGAGTCAGGGGTTTCCGTTGGAGGAACCAAACTGGTTAGCAGTTACTATGGACGCAAGCTTACAAGGATGGGGAGCTCATCTCGGGTCTCTTTGGAAACAGGGAAGGTGGTCCAACACGGAGGGAAAAATGCATTCAAACTTAAAAGAGTTGAGAGCTATTCTCAAGGCCCTTCAAGGGTTTCTTCCCTTAATACAAGATGCTTGGATTATGATTCAGACAGACAACAGGGCAGTGGCGTTATACGTGAACCACCAAGGTGGTACTCAGAGCAAGCTTCTGTTGAGGGAACTAACTCCTCTTATGTATCTGGCACAGAATCATCTTCAAGGATTAAAGGCAGTATATCTACCAGGTCCTCAAAATATTTTGGCAGATTACCTGAGCAGATCAAGTATTCTACCAGGAGAATGGAAGCTACTTCCAGAAGTATTCCAAGCAATTACCCTTCGGTGGGGCATACCCCAGATCGACTTAAAGGCTACGAACAGGAACACTCGGGTACCGAAGTACTTCTCTCTTCTTCCAGACCATCGGGCAATGGGTCAGGATGCCTTGTCTCAAATATGGGATTTCGATCTGGGATATGTGTTTCCTCCCTTTCCGATAATTCATTGCTTATTAAAGAAAATTTGGATGGAGAATCAAGTGATAATAGCTATCATCCCGTGCTGGCCAAGGAGGCCCTGGTTCCCTCTCCTGTGCAAAATGTCCTTGGAGGAACACTGGAGGCTTCCAATCAGGAATGATCTGCTAAGCCAGGGTCCTGTCTACCATCCCAACTCAGTACATCTGAGATTGGGAGCTTGGCTTTTGAAAGGGATCGGCTCCTGCAAACAGGATTGTCTGAGGCAGTAACTAATACGCTTCTTCTGTCTAGGAAGAAATATACGTCTAAGTGTTATCACCGTATATGGGAGTCATTAAGTCCTGGAATCTTGACAAAGGTCTAGACTTCTTGAACCCTGATCAGAACCAGATTTTGGAGTTCTTACAGGCTGGATTGGATAAGGGTTTAAGCCTGAGTACCTTGAAGGTGCAGTGTTCGGCACTATCGGCCCTCTATAACTACCCTTGGGCTTCAAATCCCCTGATTGCCAGGTTCTTTAAGGCTACCATATGCTCCTCCATGGGATCTTCCTCTGGTCTTGGATGCCTTGTCCGAAATTCCTTTTTCGCCTCTAGAGAACTTGGATTTCTCTTCTCTCACGTACAAAACTCTGTTTTTGTTGGCTATTACATCAGCCAGAAGAATCTTGGAGGTGAGAGCTCTCTCCTGTGCAGAGTAATATATTCAGGCTTTCCACGACAGAGTGGTTTTACGTCTGAAGTTGGAATTCCTTCCTAAAGTTGTCTCAAAATTTCACTTACACCAGGAGATCGTTCTGCCTTCTTTTTTCCCTGAACCTTCCTCGGATCTGGAGGTGAAGCTTCATAATCTGGATATTAGGGAGTACTTGATCAGGTATTTGTCGTTTTCTGGTACATTTCGTAAGACGGATCATTTGTTCATTATTCCTGAAGGCTCCAGGAAAGGTGAAGCCGCTTCCACTTCTACACTACGTAGATGGATTTCCAACATCATCACTAAAGCTTACACTCTGAAAGGTGTTTCTCCTCTGAAACGGACTAAGTCTCATTCGACTAGGTCTTTGGCTACTTCATGGGCTAATTGGGCAGAGGTGTCCCCTGATGACATATGCAAGGCAGCAACGTGGTCTTCTCCTATGACCTTCATAAAACATTATAGTCTGGATGTAGCCTCTTCTTCTACTAAGTTTGGCAGAAGCGTGTTGGCTTCTATTAGCTCAGCATAATAAAATTATATGTTGTTGCAGTTAATATGTGTGGATTATTTTTCCCAACCCTTCTTGCTAGTTTTCTTGGGTATTACCCATAAGTGATGCTGCCATGATTAGCCAGGAATACCAAAATTTTGTTTCATACTTCCCATAAATTTATTTTCCTTTCTATTTCTCATGGCAGCATCAGGTTCCCGCCCTGGGTTTTTGTTTGAGCTTTTCAATTGGACTGAGGTATGGAGGGAGGAGGAACCCTTTATGCCTACAGCCTCGTTAATTGTTTAATTGTTTTCTGTCCTGATCCAGCTGAGGGTAGAGCTAACCCATAAGTGATGCTGCCATGAGAAATAGCCAGGAAAATAAATTTACTGGTAAGTATGAAACAAAATTTCGGTAATGCTGATATTTAAAAGTGATGATATGTAAGGAAATCTTTAGAGAGAATCAAGGCTTGGTTTCAGAGATAAAAAAATAGCAAAGGATGTGTCTTAATTGTGATGGTCTCCTGAAAATTCTCTGGTCACCTGAATGTCAATTGCAGATTTTTCAAAGGCAATCAAATCTTGAGTCGCAATTTTGGTAAAAGCCACACTAAATGACTTCATAACTCTACAGGCTTGATCAATCCATTATAACAAGAGCACATGAGAATTCCTGCATTCCTTCCCTAGATTATCTATATAAACACACATAAAGGGGTATTCACATAAACAAACAGTAGAGACGCAGACAGAATAGACATTCCAAGTGGTAAGAAGTAATAAGACGCATACCACTGTTAAAAGCCTATAAACAGCAATTATGTGCATATTTTAGCCACAACTTACTATAAGCGATGAAACCAATACTATCATATAGTAAGATAATGTAAATGATTTAGAGAAAGCATTTGTAGGACATTTATTGACTGTACAGATGAAGTTAAAATTAAGGAATTGGAGGAACAGAATACATTTTATAGCTATATGAAATAAAATAAGAATACAAGAAAATGGAAAGAAGAGATAAAAAGAAGTAATACACATAAACATGAATTTTAGGGACAGCAGTTTTTGCTGCTGAGAATATAACTGAGAAGTTAAGTTTAGCACAATTAACTTAAAATTTAAATTGTATTGCATTTGTGTTCATTTTCACTGCAGTTAGAATTTTAATGTTAAGGCACAAAATAAAATTATGTTCATATACATATCTGAAAAAAAATAAGAGCCCACTCCATTTTTTTCTTAAATCAGCATCTCTACATGTATGGAAGTCATCAAGGGAGGGCTGGCAGCCTTAGGCCTGGGGGGGCAAATACAGTCAAGCAGCCCATTGCACCAAGAGGAGAGTATAAACACCTTTCCCATGTGATTGAAAGGCTGGGCAGTCACCTAAACAGACACACTCACTGACAGGCACACAAACACTTGTTGATTTGACACACACTAACAAACACACATTCACTGACAGCAGGGCCAGATTAAGAGCCCAGTGGGCCTGATGCTGACAATTATGACGGGCCTAATTACAGAATCTAAAAAACACTAAAACACTCCCAAGCGTCATGTATCTGATGGAGATGGTGCTGGAGGAAAAGAAAACAGCAGCTATAAGAAAACACATACCCTATGCTAATCTCTCTCTAATTTATGTTTTCATCTTTCAAGTAAATCCATAACCACTAACAACAGTGTTTAGTCAAACAGGAAGTCAATGGGCATGATAAAAGGGTGTGCCACTGATACAAATCACGTAACCTGCCAAAAGGGGTGAACATGCCCAAAAAGGGGGCATGTCTGCCCAAAGAATTGGAAGGCCAGTCTGGCAGGAATGCATGTCAGGCTGCCTGCCTATCGTGCAAGCTGGCCAACTAAGGGCATGCTATGCAGACAGCACCCTGAGCTTGGCATAAATGCATCTAATGATGCGCTCACTCAATGCTTTCTAAGGACTGTCCCCTAGCACTCGCTGGTCCACTTGTCTCCTTACCTTCTTACTAGCAGGCAGAAGCTCCTGGTATATAGTCTGGGACAGAGAAAAGCTGTATGTAGTGAGTGTAGAAGAAAGGGAACATGCCACAGTGTTAGAAAGACTGTCAAGATTACCTTAACTAATTTCATTGTCAGCCAGTCCACACAAGTTTTGTTCCCATACTTAAGAGAGAGTATGTGAAAAGTAGTTAGGGTTGCCACCTTTCTTGGAAAAACATACCAGCCTTACTAATTTGCATAATTAATTATGTATGGGTGACATCACATGATGTAAATTACAAGGAGTGACATAAAAGAAAATGCTGTATAATCATCCAAAAACGACTTGGTTCGATTCTGCTGTATAGATGAATTGCTCCCAGTGTCTCAAGTCTCCCACTCTCCCAGTATCCCCATGTCTCCAGTGTACCCATGTCTCCCAGTGTCTCAGTGTCCCCATGGCTCCCAGTGCCCTCATGACTCAGTGTCCCCATGTGTCAATTACCCCAGATCTCAGTGCCCCATGTCTCCCTGTGTCCCTCAGTATTCCCCTGCGTCTATGTCCCCATGTTTTCCAGGGTCCACATGTCACTAGGAACACAGGGAGACCTGGGGACACAGAGACACCAGGGACACTGGGAGACTAGGGGACACTGGCTGGGACACATGGGGACACTAGGAAAATAGGGGACACTTGAAGACATGGGGATACAGACACCAGGGACACAGACACTAGGGACACTGGCTGGGGGGGACATGGGGACATTGAGATGTGGGGGAACTGGGAGACATGGGGACACTGATACACCAGGGACACAGACACTAGGGGCACTGGCTGGGAGACATGGGGACACTGAGACACTTGGGGGCACTGGAAGACATAGGGGCACTAGGAGACATGGGGACACTGAGACACTGGGAGACTACGGGACACTGGGAGACTAGGGGGCACTGGGAGACATGGGGACACTGAGACACCAGGGACACTGGCTGGGGGACATGGGCACACTGGGAGACATGGGGACACTGTGTCCCCATGTTTCTCTGTGTCCCCAAGTGTCTGTGTCATAATGTCTCCCAATGTCCCTTAGTGTCTCAGTGTCCCCATGTCTCCCAGTGTCCCAGAGTGTCTGTCATAATGTCTCCCAATGTCCCTTAGTGTCTTAGTGTATGTCTCCTTGCAGCCTTTCCCCCATCCCTCACTTTTCTGAGCAGTGGGCTGTCTCTGCAGGGTGGGAGTTGCTGTCTGAACTCTCTGTAGCTGCTCCCCTGTGGATCAGTGAGTAGAGATAAGCAGGTAGGGATATGCTGGAACTTTCTATCCCTGCCTCTCTCCACACACAGCGACCTCTATTGGCCAGTGCTGGTATTGCATTGTAATCTCTGTTTATACTGAGAAAAATACCAGCTTTTGTATTGCCAGTTTGACTGCAATATCGGCACCGGCCAGGCAGCCTCAAATTCTGGCTGTGCCAATAAAATACCAGCCAGATGGAAACCCTAAGAGTAGTGTTTAAAAAAAAAAAAAAAGTTTTTTTTTTTTAAATCAATGTGCCTATTCCATAGGCCTGGGCCTGGAGCTGCAGCTCCATCAGCCCCTATGTTAATACGGCGCTGACTGACAGGCACACGCACACACTCACGGACAGACAGACAGACACACACTCACGGACAGACACACACACACTGGCTGGCACACACACACAGAGACATACTTGCACACACACACACACACACACACAGACACACTGGCACACAGAAATACACACTGGCACACACACAGACAGACATACTGACACACACAGACATACTGACACACACACACATACAGACAGACATACTGACACACACAAAGATATACTGACATACACATACATACACACACACACACACACACACACACACACACACATTACACTTTTAAAGCCAGTAGACAGGGCCTGCCTGCCCCCCTGTGACAAACTCCCCTTTTCAAGTTAGTTTGCCACGAGTTCTTGGAGGGGACTACTTGCCAGCCTTTTACCCTGTGGCTATGGTCCCTGCAACGGAATTGGTTAATCTACTTTAAACAGGCTCTGTTCGTGCAATTGGGACTATGTTTTGGGCTGTAGTAGGGGGTTAGGGGCTGTAGTGGGGGGTATGAGCTGTAATTGGGGGTTAGGAAATGTAGTGGAGGGACAGGGGCTGAAGTAGGTTGATGGCTACAATTTAGGAAAGGGGCTGCGGTGTGGGTGATATGGGTTGCAATTGGGGGAGAGGAGTTGTAGTGGGGATGTTACAGAAGCTGAGAGGGGGGGCAGGATCTGAGAGGGAGGGGACAGGAGCTGAGAGCGGGACAGGAGCTGAGAGGGGGGACAGGAGCTGAGGGGAGCAGAAGCTGAGAGGGGAGACAGAAGCTGAGAGAGGGGGACAGGAGCTGAGAGGGGGGCAGAGGCTGAGGAGGGGAATAAAAAAAAAAAAAAAATAAAGCGTATTCCCTCCCTGAGCCTTACCTTAAGCCAGGGAGGGGGGGGTAGGAGCAGGAGTAGGAGCCAGGAGCAAGAGCAGGAGCCAGCAGGTTTGCAAGAGCAGCAGTCAGTGGAGTCGGCCGGCCTTTCCTGATGATGTCAGGATGAAGGGGCATGACTTCCTCTGTTCTTCTCCCAGATTCCCCAGCGGTCCTGGGAGAAGAGCAGTGAAAATCACACCCCCTCCTCCTGACATCATCAGGAGTGCCGGCAGACTCCACTGGCTGCAGGCTGCAGGGAGAGAGGTAAGTTGAAAAATCCAAGTCCCCAGCCAGAGGCAGGGGATTCTGATTTTTCTTTTTTTTTTGCTGGATAAGGACGGCCCTGGATTTAGGGTGGCCTGGGGGGCAATTGCCTGCCTGCCCCCCTGTGACAAACTCCCCTTTTCAAGTTAGTTTGCCACGAGTTCTTGGAGGGGACTACTTGCCAGCCTTTTACCCTGTGACTATGGTCCCTGCAACAGAATTGGTTAATCTACTTTAAACAGGCTCTGTTTGTGCAATTGGGACTATATGGCATCTCTACATGTATGGAAGTCATCAAGGGAGGGCTGGCAGCCTTAGGCCTGGGGGGGCAAATACAGTCAAGCAGCCCATTGCACCAAGAGGAGAGTATAAACACCTTTCCCATGTGATTGAAAGGCTGGGCAGTCACCTAAACAGACACACTCACTGACAGGCACACAAACACTTGTTGATTTGACACACACTAACAAACACACATTCACTGACAGCAGGGCCAGATTAAGAGCCCAGTGGGCCTGATGCTGACAATTATGACGGGCCTAATTACAGAATCTAAAAAACACTAAAACACTCCCAAGCGTCATGTATCTGATGGAGATGGTGCTGGAGGAAAAGAAAACAGCAGCTATAAGAAAACACATACCCTATGCTAATCTCTCTCTAATTTATGTTTTCATCTTTCAAGTAAATCCATAACCACTAACAACAGTGTTTAGTCAAACAGGAAGTCAATGGGCATGATAAAAGGGTGTGCCACTGATACAAATCACGTAACCTGCCAAAAGGGGTGAACATGCCCAAAAAGGGGGCATGTCTGCCCAAAGAATTGGAAGGCCAGTCTGGCAGGAATGCATGTCAGGCTGCCTGCCTATCGTGCAAGCTGGCCAACTAAGGGCATGCTATGCAGACAGCACCCTGAGCTTGGCATAAATGCATCTAATGATGCGCTCACTCAATGCTTTCTAAGGACTGTCCCCTAGCACTCGCTGGTCCACTTGTCTCCTTACCTTCTTACTAGCAGGCAGAAGCTCCTGGTATATAGTCTGGGACAGAGAAAAGCTGTATGTAGTGAGTGTAGAAGAAAGGGAACATGCCACAGTGTTAGAAAGACTGTCAAGATTACCTTAACTAATTTCATTGTCAGCCAGTCCACACAAGTTTTGTTCCCATACTTAAGAGAGAGTATGTGAAAAGTAGTTAGGGTTGCCACCTTTCTTGGAAAAACATACCAGCCTTACTAATTTGCATAATTAATTATGTATGGGTGACATCACATGATGTAAATTACAAGGAGTGACATAAAAGAAAATGCTGTATAATCATCCAAAAACGACTTGGTTCGATTCTGCTGTATAGATGAATTGCTCCCAGTGTCTCAAGTCTCCCACTCTCCCAGTATCCCCATGTCTCCAGTGTACCCATGTCTCCCAGTGTCTCAGTGTCCCCATGGCTCCCAGTGCCCTCATGACTCAGTGTCCCCATGTGTCAATTACCCCAGATCTCAGTGCCCCATGTCTCCCTGTGTCCCTCAGTATTCCCCTGCGTCTATGTCCCCATGTTTTCCAGGGTCCACATGTCACTAGGAACACAGGGAGACCTGGGGACACAGAGACACCAGGGACACTGGGAGACTAGGGGACACTGGCTGGGACACATGGGGACACTAGGAAAATAGGGGACACTTGAAGACATGGGGATACAGACACCAGGGACACAGACACTAGGGACACTGGCTGGGGGGGACATGGGGACATTGAGATGTGGGGGAACTGGGAGACATGGGGACACTGATACACCAGGGACACAGACACTAGGGGCACTGGCTGGGAGACATGGGGACACTGAGACACTTGGGGGCACTGGAAGACATAGGGGCACTAGGAGACATGGGGACACTGAGACACTGGGAGACTACGGGACACTGGGAGACTAGGGGGCACTGGGAGACATGGGGACACTGAGACACCAGGGACACTGGCTGGGGGACATGGGCACACTGGGAGACATGGGGACACTGTGTCCCCATGTTTCTCTGTGTCCCCAAGTGTCTGTGTCATAATGTCTCCCAATGTCCCTTAGTGTCTCAGTGTCCCCATGTCTCCCAGTGTCCCAGAGTGTCTGTCATAATGTCTCCCAATGTCCCTTAGTGTCTTAGTGTATGTCTCCTTGCAGCCTTTCCCCCATCCCTCACTTTTCTGAGCAGTGGGCTGTCTCTGCAGGGTGGGAGTTGCTGTCTGAACTCTCTGTAGCTGCTCCCCTGTGGATCAGTGAGTAGAGATAAGCAGGTAGGGATATGCTGGAACTTTCTATCCCTGCCTCTCTCCACACACAGCGACCTCTATTGGCCAGTGCTGGTATTGCATTGTAATCTCTGTTTATACTGAGAAAAATACCAGCTTTTGTATTGCCAGTTTGACTGCAATATCGGCACCGGCCAGGCAGCCTCAAATTCTGGCTGTGCCAATAAAATACCAGCCAGATGGAAACCCTAAGAGTAGTGTTTTAAAAAAAAAAAAAAGTTTTTTTTTTTTAAATCAATGTGCCTATTCCATAGGCCTGGGCCTGGAGCTGCAGCTCCATCAGCCCCTATGTTAATACGGCGCTGACTGACAGGCACACGCACACACTCACGGACAGACAGACAGACACACACTCACGGACAGACACACACACACTGGCTGGCACACACACACAGAGACATACTTGCACACACACACACACACACAGACACACTGGCACACAGAAATACACACTGGCACACACACAGACAGACATACTGACACACACAGACATACTGACACACACACACATACAGACAGACATACTGACACACACAGAGATATACTGACATACACATACATACACACACACACACACACATACACACACACACACACACACATTACACTTTTAAAGCCAGTAGACAGGGCCTGCCTGCCCCCCTGTGACAAACTCCCCTTTTCAAGTTAGTTTGCCACGAGTTCTTGGAGGGGACTACTTGCCAGCCTTTTACCCTGTGGCTATGGTCCCTGCAACGGAATTGGTTAATCTACTTTAAACAGGCTCTGTTCGTGCAATTGGGACTATGTTTTGGGCTGTAGTAGGGGGTTAGGGGCTGTAGTGGGGGGTATGAGCTGTAATTGGGGGTTAGGAAATGTAGTGGAGGGACAGGGGCTGAAGTAGGTTGATGGCTACAATTTAGGAAAGGGGCTGCGGTGTGGGTGATATGGGTTGCAATTGGGGGAGAGGAGTTGTAGTGGGGATGTTACAGAAGCTGAGAGGGGGGGCAGGATCTGAGAGGGAGGGGACAGGAGCTGAGAGCGGGACAGGAGCTGAGAGGGGGGACAGGAGCTGAGGGGAGCAGAAGCTGAGAGGGGAGACAGAAGCTGAGAGAGGGGGACAGGAGCTGAGAGGGGGGCAGAGGCTGAGGAGGGGAATAAAATAAAAAAAAAACTAAAGCGTATTCCCTCCCTGAGCCTTACCTTAAGCCAGGGAGGGGTGGGTAGGAGCAGGAGTAGGAGCCAGGAGCAAGAGCAGGAGCCAGCAGGTTTGCAAGAGCAGCAGTCAGTGGAGTCGGCCGGCCTTTCCTGATGATGTCAGGAGGAAGGGGCATGACTTCCTCTGTTCTTCTCCCAGATTCCCCAGCGGTCCTGGGAGAAGAGCAGTGAAAATCACACCCCCTCCTCCTGACATCATCAGGAGTGCCGGCAGACTCCACTGGCTGCAGGCTGCAGGGAGAGAGGTAAGTTGAAAAATCCAAGTCCCCAGCCAGAGGCAGGGGATTCTGATTTTTCTTTTTTTTTTGCTGGATAAGGACGGCCCTGGATTTAGGGTGGCCTGGGGGGCAATTGCCTGCCTGCCCCCCTGTGACAAACTCCCCTTTTCAAGTTAGTTTGCCACGAGTTCTTGGAGGGGACTACTTGCCAGCCTTTTACCCTGTGACTATGGTCCCTGCAACAGAATTGGTTAATCTACTTTAAACAGGCTCTGTTTGTGCAATTGGGACTATATGGTTTGTATACCGAACAACCGCACGAACCGAGACCACTTGGAACGTTTCTCACCGCAGTTCTCTGGAACTGTTTTGGGTATGAAATCATGCGTGCAGTCGGTCAAAAAAGACTTCCAGGAATTTCCTGAACCCCTGCTCTGATCTGGGTGATTTTTTGATATGTTGTTCACCCAGATCAGGGCTATCAGGTGATGTATATGCGGATATGTTATGTTTTGGGGTGTTTTCTGTACTTTGTGGAAATTGTGTGTTTTTCTGCCTGTGGATAATTGGGTTATTGTATTATCTACTTTAATTGTATCACAGGCAGAAGGGAGGGATTGTGTAATGTATGTGGGAGTGTTGTTCATTTTTACACTGGTTTTTATTGGCTTGCATGTTTTGTGTCCTGTGCCCAACAAGGTCCCCCTTGGCATCAACCTTGTTGGGAAACTTGTATAAAAGGCCAGTGTGCCCGATTTGTGCCAGTGTGCCCTATTCCTGCTTACACTCCAAAATTGTGTGTCGTCCAGCTATTGGAGGGAAATAATATTTGCTCCTGTCTCTGCTGTTCCAGCTTGCAGGAGATTCCCCATTCGGTTCCAAAGTTCCCAGGACTGAGTGTCATCCAGTGCCTGGAGGTGTCAGAGTAAATTTCCCCTTTGGCTCCAGGAGGGAGGTGGCAGTTCCAGGGCCCCAGTCAAGCTACGGCAACTGAGTGCAAGAAGTGCTGCAGTTTTTCCCCTGTTCCTGCTACACTCTCTGGACTAGGAGAGGTCTACCAACTGGAAGCTGGATCCTGGTCTTGGGTCCAGGGTGGGTGGAGGACAGCGAGACCCCAACCAAGCTGCGGCAGTTTGTGGGGTTTACGGTGGTTATGGTGTTCCAGTGCAGTGATTATGGTACTCGCAAGTACTATGAAGCAGCAATAGATGGAGGTACCCGGTCGGGGTGCCAAGCGATCTGTTACACCCCCATCCCAGCCCGCCTCTGGTAGTCATTCTGATGTAGTGTCTGTTGAATTCCATCACAGTAACACCTCTTTCTACTCAATGAGGAACTGACCACATGAAGGAAATCTTATTTAATGATGAAAAGTATAAACACCCCTGCAGTGGTCAACACTATCCTCTTGCTGTAGGACATGAACAGTTCTAGTAATACCTTACAAGTAACAAACCAGCTGTAGGACAAGAACAGTGCTAGTAATATCTTACAAGTTATTGGAATAAAAAAAAAATTATTGGCCTTGCCAAAATAGTTGAAAAGAAAGGGTTTAAGTGAGGAAAAGAAGGGTTCAATTCTGACTTTACTGGCAGAGGGATACAGTCAGCATTACATTTCTTCAATCCTTAAAATTTTAAAGAACAAGGTCAAGCAGCCGACATTGGGGACAACAGACTAGAGGGCAAAATGACTCTCCACTGGCTGGGATGACCACCAACTCATTCCAAAGTCACTCAACACTTACATGATGACATCAAATAACCTACAAAAAGAATGTCAAATGGCAGTGCACAGCGAGGGCTGAAGTTGTGCAAAGCTAAAAAAAAAAAAGCACTTCATTAATGTGAAGCAAAGAATATCCAGAGGTTTGCAACAAACCATAAGGATTGGACCAAAAACTACTGGAATAAAATCATCTTCTCTGATTAGTCTAATTTTCAGCTTTGCTCCACTCGTGGTCATCTAATGGTGGAGGTCTACAAACACAGTGTCTATCACCCACTATGAAATTTGGTGGATGATCGGTGATGATTTGGGGTGTTTCCGCATGGCTTGGCTAGCAAGGGTAGAATGATCTTTGTGAAGTACACATGAATCAAGCCATACTCAAGGTTATCTTGGAAGAAAACATGCTCCTTTCTGCTTTGACAATGTTCCCCAACTTTGATGATTGTTTCTACTGCACAACAATGCTCCATGCCACACAGCCAAATCAATCAAGGTGTGAATGGAGGACCTCCAGATGAAACCCTGTCATGGCCAGCCCAATCTCTAGTACTAAACACCACTGAAAACCTCTGGAAGTTGATCAAGAGGAGGATAGATGGTTACAAGCCATCAAACAAAGCCAAGCTGCTTGAATTTTTGCACCAGGAGTACCCAACAGCAATGTAAAAGACTGGTGGAGAGTATGCCAAGATGCATGAAAGCTGTGATTAAAAATTTGCATTGCGTTTTAAAAAAAAATAATATGAACCTTCTTCCTTTGCATTATTTAAGGTCTGAACACTGCCTTTTTTTTGTTAATTTGACCAGTTCTCATTTTCTGCAAAGAAATGCTCAAAATGACAATGTTTGTATTTGGAATTTGGGAGAAATGCTGACAGTAGTTTATAGAACAAAACAGAAATGTTCATTTTACTCAAACATATACCTATAAATAGTAAAACCAGAGAAAATAATAATTTTGCGGAGCTGTGTGTCTGCAAACATAGGTCTCATTCCATGCTCATCACATTGTGGTCATTGCACTTGTTTATCATGAAATGTATAGGGCTACTGAATCTGATGGCGCTATAGAAATAATAAATAATAATAATAATAATGAAATCCATGAGTTAGAGAAACTCATCAGTTTATAGTGACACCCTCCCATGTTGACGGAATCTGTTGGCGCTAAATAAATGGCAATAATAATAATAATAAAGAGAAGAAAAAGGAGAATAGAAAAATCTAAATATCAGAAAACCATAATCAAATGCACTTAAGGTCTGCAAAAACCATGATGACTCATGTTAATTTGGCCACGTAGAAGAACAGCAGAACATGCATACTTACTCATATCATCTGCTGCAGTTGTAGCCACGTCACAGAGGGCTCCTTGCCCTTTCATGGTTTTTGCAGACCTTAAGTGCATTTGATTATGGTTTTCTGATATTTAGATTTTTCTATTCTCCTTTTTCTTCTCTTTATTATTATTATTATTGCCATTTATTTAGCGCCAACAGATTCCGTAGCGCTTTACAATATTATGAGAGCGGAGATTTAACTATAAATAGGACAATTACAAAAAAACTTATAGGAACGATAGGTTGGAGAGGACTCTGATCAAACGAGCTTACATTCTTTGTAGGTATAACGCCAGCCTTTTTAATATTCAGTAATATGTATTTCTGTCTTTATTGTTGCTAACCTGTCCAGCTCCAGTTGAGTCTGCTGTACACCTTCTAAATTAAGGTGAATACAAATGCAGTGTGTATCCTGGTTTGAGACCACCTTTTCAAAGATTTAACAGCCAAGTGGTGTGTAATATAGAGCGAAATAACAAATATATAAATATTTTTATAGGGTGTTAATGTAATCTTTCAGAACAATAGGTTCTGTCTTGAAGATCTTAAAATACTTTTTTTTTTCCCACGGGCGGTATATGTCATGTAATACAGTTGTGCCAGAAACCTCGTCCACTAATTATGTATTATCTGCCCACTTTTTTCACTTTCATTCCATCAACTGGACACTAAAAAAATGTAGTCTGTGTCCCCTTCTTGAACCCATATAAACTAAGGTGAAACAGAGAGGTGCAGAAAGAAGCTATATGAAGCAGTCAAGTTAATAGAATTAGTTGATATGTTAGAGAGCTTGATATTAATGCATTATATATTTTTGATAAACTCTTTACAAGCTTGTTACACTCCTTATGGTGTATTACCTTTAACTGTGTCATGTAAGCTTTGTTTCTATAAAATGTGTATTATCTGTTGAGAAGAGTCATTCACTACCCAATCTCCCTGCAATAAATAAAAAAGTGAAATAGTGCCTGTGGGGAATTTAGGAGGTGAGATCAAGTGGCAAATGCGTATTTTATCTTCAGTATTGTCTTCTGTAGGGTGCAACAAGGTCACTGGATAACTGGATATTATACTGCCATACATAAATGCCAGATGTATTGTTATGGTGGAAAACTATAACGTATGACAGGATTAGTTTCATAGTTTTCTTTTTTGTTATTATACTGACTCCTTCTCCTATAAAAGAGATAGTATATAAAACCTGGAGGTATTCTGCATGTAATAACACGTGAAAAAGAAGAAAGCATGCTACATTAATAGGTGGCATTTCAAAGACAAATCAAAATACATACAATTTAAGAAGTTTCTGGAAGCTACAAGTAGAAATAGCTATATTAATTGGAATATCAAAAAAAGAACAAAAAGGAAAAGTAAAGTTTAATGGAATGATTGCAATAACAGACTTTCTAAAAAGCATATACCTATTCTTGATTTACGCATGTGTTTCACTGTAAGGCTACTTATTAGTTGATCAATTTAAAGGTTAACTCCAATTGAGGATTGGAGTGATCCCAGGGGCACCAGACCAGCGGGCACCAGACCAGCAGGCCCCTGGGATCACTCCTATCCTCAACCTGGAAACCTTGAAAATTCCTGGAAGTTTCCTGTACCCAAAGAAATCCTTAGGTGGGGATCAATCCACCCAAGCTGTCATCATAGAGCAGTGGGCCTGCTCTTATTTTGTAAGTACATTTCTTTTATTATTTTACTAATATTGCCATACAGTGAGCACTATTGGCTGTTTCTTTTATCCCGAGAATTGGATACCATTCACGGAGAGGAACCTGCCTTATATCCCATAAGCGGGGATTAAACCCCTGTATGCGCTTCACTCCAGAGCTGGACATTAGCTCTGGTAAATGTGAGTTTTATACTATTATTTTTACGTCTATATCTGAATTTTACGTACTACACCATTGGTTGTCCCCTTTTTTTTCTCTTTTTATCTTTCATAATAAGTGAAACCACTACAATAGTAGAAGACCTCATCAACCAAGGACACCTGTAAGGATAAACCATTTGGACTTTTTTCTTTTCCTTTTAATTGGACTTTATTTTATGTGCACAGCCTTTTTTATTGTTTTTATTTATCTTGTCTTAAAGGGTTTGAGGGATTCCCCTTTTTTAAGGTTGCTGCCCAATAGTTATCTAGCGCTGTCTCATTCTTCTTATTTATTATTAACGTGAACACTGTGTTTTATCTGAAATTACATTGTTTACTTGAACATTCTTGCAGGGACTGACTATACTCACCAGAACAACTACATTAAGATGTAGTTTGTGGGGTGACTATAGTGTCCCTTTAAGCTTATTACTTTGCTCCTGCTCCTGGTTTTTTATTAATTGATCTGGCTACCTATTGACTATGATTTTTCCAGTATTCCCTGTGTACCAAACCCCGGCTATGTTTGAACACAATTGTTCCTATTTTGTGTACTGGGCCCAGGCGACGTTTGGCATTGATTTTGTTCCTCTTGCTGTATGCCTTTTAGTCCTGGTTACTCTAAGGTCTGGTAATACGCCAAACTTTGCATTCTCACTTTGCCTTTGTTAGGATTACTGCCTTGTATCTTGCCGAGTATTCCAACATATCGTGACATCTGCATTATCTGGTCTCCACACTCTTGGCAGTGATCAGTGATGATGACTGGCAGTGGCTGGCTGTTGGCTAAGGTTGAGTCCTGTGGTGCAGTTTGATGATGACCTCCACTACGTGCACCGTGAGGCTCTGTGACAGTGAAATCTTGCGGGAGGGTGGCCAGGTTTTACTGAGTTATGCAGCACTTGTAAGAGAACACTGTACTGTGCAGGTTCATCTAAATTTTTTGTTGCCAAAATTGTTTAAGTTGTAGAAAATAATCCATAGCTTGCCCTCAAATCGGAAAATTTGTCTCTAAGACTGGTCCAACATCTATGGTTCTGATGAGCTCAGAAACTTTCTCAGATATGGAGTTAAGTGTAATTAAAATATATTTTAAGTAGAGTAATAAGTACAATGTGGTACAATTCAAACTTTAACACCAAATAAGAGAACAAGGTATGCCATGCCCAGTGAGTATGGCTAATTACAGCACTGGACAGGTGAATTTGGTTGTATGGGAATGTACCATTTGTCGAATTACAGGAAAAATTTGCCAAGTAAATTCTTAATTTGAAGCCAGGCAGCCAACTGTGTCCATCTGCCCAGATGTGAAACTTTACCCCCAGAGGACATATGTGTATTCCTCTTCCCAGACTGGGTGGCTACATATATATGTGCTTTTTGCTTAGCAGACCTTAGAACCTTTTGCTGTGCTAAATGACAATTAGCAGTCAGGAGGCAATTTCTGCTAAGTGTCATAACCAAAAAACATTAATAATAATTCAGAGGTTGTTGATCGATATTATGCAAATATTATTAGACACATATATACCTTTCAAGACCTCAAACAGGCCTTTGAACCATGGTTTAAAATTGAGTCGGATGTAACTCACATCGATAAATTACAATATTCTATGTGGACAGTCACTAGGGATTCTCTTATTAATTCTTACTTAACAAATCCAATGACTTTGACACAAACCCTAGAGGACTGGTTAGAAATTAAGAAAAAATTTGGGTTTAACAATCTTATTCCAAAGACTTGTAGACTTGATATAGTGGAAACCCTTATTCAAGACTTATCTTTAAAAAAGTGGCCCAATGTTGATAAATTAACAATTGCTGACATCATGCAGGGCGATAATATAGTGTATTTTCAATACATCACAGATAATTTTCATATTCCACGCAGATAAATTTTTACCTATCTGCGGTTAAAAAGTTTTATTCATAAAAATGTTATTAAATCTACTGCCTCATATGCAAAAGAAATGGAACTTATTTTTGGTTACCGCTCTATTAATAAGGTTAAATCTGCCACTTCCTCTCTCTTAGATTGTTTTAAACGGCCTCCCTTTAGATTGATTAGGACTTGGGAACATGAATTGGAACTTGAAATTTCAGTAGACGACTGGCATTCTTCTTTAATTCAATTAAACAAGCATGTACATTGTGTAAATTTGACTGAATGCCACTTCAAGGTTCTACATCGATGGTATTACACTCCGACCAGATTAGCTAAAATTTATGATGCCCATGATCCTGCTTGCAGGAGATGTGGCAGTTGTCAGGGTACATATATTCATATTTATTGGTCATGCCCTGTAGTTAGACCATTATGGACATGGGTATTTAACATCTTTACCACTATGACAGATCATAAAATTAACGAAAATTATGTTTCTGTTCTTCTACACCTAAATTGGAACCTTAAATCACATAGAGATATTTGTTTTGCCACACATTGCCTAGTCGCTGTTAAAATTATCATTGAGCATTTCAAAAACGGTTATTGATTAATCAAATTATGTTTCAAATCAATATGGAATATGAACTCATTAATAATTTGACGATTTCGTCAAAAAAAAAAAAGTCTGGTTTTCCGATTGGCTAGAAAGATACCAACATATTTTTGGCTAGACTCAGCTTTAGACAATATCTCTGTTAATAATATATAATAAATCTTTAGTTTTTAATATACAAAATTGCTGCGGATGCCTATGAAAAAATGTAAACTTTATTATAGTTAATACAATAGAGGTGGGAATGATTGTGTTAATTCAGAAACAGAAATACTGAAAATAATGTATTATTGTCAATTGTCATTTTTCTTTTTTTTTTTAAGTTTATTTGATTGCTCTGAATGGGGGTTGGTTTTCTCTTTTGTTTTCTTTGTCTTTGAATGTTGTCTTTTATCTTTGTTATTGTTTGTTATTCTAGGCATATGCCCCAAATATATGCCATCTTGATGCAATATGTTATTATGATATGCAATTAATTATGTGATTATGCATATAACTTGAACCTGTGCATAGGCTATGGATTATTGTTATATATAAAATTATGTTTCAATAAAAATCGATTTAAAAAAAAATAAAAAATTCAGAGGTGAATATTATTATTATTATGTTATTTATATAGCGCAATCAAATTCTGCAGCGCTTTACAATGGGTGGACGAACAGATATGTAGTTGTAACCAGACAAGTTGGACAAACAGGAACAGAGGGGTTGAGGGCCCTGCTCAATGAGCATACATGCTAGAGGGAGTGGGGTAAAATGACACAAAAAGGTAAGGATAGTATTACACTAATGACAGTTGCAGAAGAGGACTCAGTCGGGAGCTATTAACAGTTTAATTGATATGCTTTTTTTAAGAAGTGGGTTTTTAACGATTTATTGAAGGAGTGGAGACTGGGTGACCATCTTACGGAGGAAGGAATAATCATGCTTCTTAATATAGATATTCAGAACAGCGAGAGCATGCCCTACAAAAGAAGTCCAAACCTGACTAGTGAACCTTGCACCATTTGGGGGAACTGGGGAAGTCCACTATATTAAATCATAGATGAGATTTGTAAGATGTCTGTGCAACGGCTAAATAGCAATAAATTCACATTTGTAAGAATTTTTTGCTGCCCCAGACGTAAAAAAAGAAATAGTTTTTTCTGTGTAGTTTGGTATTTAAAACCTCTAAAAAGTACAAAAAGTGAGAAGGGGCGGTGTAGGCAACCTAGAGTTCCTACAGTTACACCTACACTCTCACCTGTACCTCCTCAGAGGAAGCTCAGAAACTTGAGATGATGCAAAGAGTGTAACGTCCATTGAAGGCAAATGAGCTGCTCACTGGGATTCATATCTAATTTGATTAAGTGGCCAGTTTCTCTATTGATACTGACCTGGACAGAAAATATAATTACTGTAACAGCAAAGGGAGTAATAAGAATTTTCTGTTAATATTTCCTTTTAATTTTTAACTGCTGGTGTAAATCATTTGTTTGCCATCTATTGTTTGTGTATGCACGGTGACTATTTTTTGTACGTTATCAATATTCCTTTTTAAAGTTCTGCATTTGCCTGGTAAAGAATCATGCTACCTGACGAGACCTATTTAAAAGTATTTTCAATTGCATATACAGATATTGTGCTAGCTTGTGTTTGTGGGTTTTAATTTAATTTGCTTGTAGAAACCAAAAGCACCTCATTTATAAACTGCCTTGTTGGTGGCAGCTTTTGATACTAGAGTTAAGGGTGGATGGTGTTAAGGGGCATGAATGAAATGAATGAAACCAGATAATCAGTAGACAAACAGAAGAGCAGGAAGCATCATAGAACCAGAAGACTAGATTAATGGATCAACTGCATGGAAACATCTGTGGTGTTACACAGAGCAACATTAAGCAGTGCACAGGGTGGGCCAACATCCAAACTAGGGTTTGAGGAGTCGATAACTTTTTTAATAATGAACCAATTTCAATGATTTTACACAAAATGAATGCTTAATGCATGGAGAATTGTTTGACTATGTACAGAAGTTACCATCTTTTAAATAAGCGCCATTTGCCAACTTGCAAAGTCAGGCTTTTTCGATTGCATTGTTAATAACATAAATGTTATGTTTCAATCTCTAGCACAAAAATTTCTACACAGCTTTTCTCCTTGAGCTGCTTAAGTGTATGCGGTTTATTCATGTACACCTGCTCCTTCAGATGTCCCCACAGGATGTAATCAGGAGATGAAAGGTCAAGTGAACACGGTGGCCAATTAATCTGGGAATTTTTTGAAATTATACACTTGCAAAGCAGTTGTCCCAGAAGGTCCATTGTGGCCCTTGCTATATGGGCGGCAGCCACATCCTGTTCCAGGACAATTTTCCACTACAGGACATAAAACGTTTTCAATCATATCCCGATATCTCACACCAATAATATTCCACAATTTTTACTTGTTCCTTTGTGAAATTACCCATGATGAATCTTCCAAGGCTCTTGTTATAATAAATACCTGCAACAAAAAAATGTAACTACTAATAAATATGTAATTTACTTGTTAAATCCTACTCTGAATTTTGGCCCACCCTGTATACCCTAGTTTCTTGGGCCAGTATGATGGACATTTAAGAAATACAAGTTACAGGGCTTTGACACATTAAAAGGTAACACTGATTATAGACAAAAGGGAAGGCATAAGTAGGTTTACTAAGTACAGTTGTGTGTCTGTGTTTTAACACTTATTACTACCATAAATATATATAATGGTCACTGTTTGTTGTGCTAATTTATCAGCTAACTCAATCGATGCTTCTGGTACAAAGAGGTGGATTACTTAGTCCATGACAGACAAGGCTAAGGGAGGATGCATTAGAACATTAGTGTGACTTAATCAACTAGCAAGGAACATGGCAATAGTCAGTCAATTTGAACTTTGTACAACTACACAGACACAATGGATGACAACATGGAATAGAAGAATATCTAACAGGTAGTTTAAAAAGGTTTGAACATGATGATGTGAAACCTGATTATAATAACATTAGGTTGTCTATGTGTCGTTTGTGGCCTTCCTGTAATGAAGAACATTACCATAACCCATCCTGGACAATCATTTTAGACTGAATCTTATGATATATTTTTCATGCACTTAGGCTTCTAATGTCTACATAGAAAAATCCATCTCCTAATAAATGGTTCCTGGGTTACTGTTAATAAATACAGGGCAGATTTAGCTCTGTTAATGGAAGCATCAATATGTCAATGGGAGTTCTTCCTGTGACATCTGTTTGCCTGGCTCTTTTTATCATTGAAAACCAATTGCTTTATTCATGACCATTCCTAGCCTCTGCAACAGCAATAAATCTACAGACAGCAAAGAAAATCAGAACTTTTTTTTCTAATATGCACTTTGTCCCCCAGTCCTCCACTCCATTCCACCCCACCTGCTGTTTCTGTTAAATATCTCTTTTGCACTGGAAGCCGTATAGATGTCTATCTGTATCTAAAATTAGTTTGCAATGACCTTTTTAGTGTTGTTTCAAGGGCTGCATCAATTGTTGGTGATTTGTAAATGAGTGATTTACAGTCTGTGATTTATAATATTGGTAATATCTTATAATGAATGCAGTACTATTTGTAGAAATAATAGTAAAACATAAAATAGTAATAAAAACCTACCTGTCTAATAAGGTGCCCTTTAGGATTTCTTTATTATATTCTTATTTTATGTGATTTATTACATGATCTAAAAGCTACTAGTGTAGTCCAGAATGCAGTTAGTGCTTTTCATAGTTTCTTTATTTTATGAGACAGTATGTAAAGAAGATCTTTCTCACACCAGTGATTTCTAATGTTTACATGCATGAGTTTAAGACGTGTGTTAATATGTAATAAATGTACTCTACAAATATGCTGCTCTGTCTGTTTTCACTAAGGAATATTTTTGTGCTTGAATTATTTTTTCATATTTTGACCATTGAGAATTATTGTCTAGGTGGAGGAAACCAAAATCGCAATGGTGAGTGTAGGGATGGACACTAAACTCATTAAATCCATCAGTGGTTATTAGATACAGTGTGGTGTCTGTTTGGTTTGATTAAAAAAAACACAAAGCATAGTCTTTAAGTAAATATTTAGTAACAGTAAAGACAGTTTTGTACACTGAAATGTTTCTATTTTCCACTTGTGGCACTAAAATAAAGAGACACTGACACTTGAGGATGGATATTTTTGTATGGGTGGACTAACAAACACTTAATTGTAACCAGACGAGTTGGACGAACAGGAACAGAGGGGGTGAGCACCCTGCTCAATGAGCTTACATGCTAGAAGGAGTAAAGTTCTGTCTGAAATTGCATTGTTTGCATATTGTCCAGTCGCCAAAAAAGAAAAACAATAGAGTATATATATATATATATATATATATATATATACTCAGGGCTGCCACCAGAAATTTTGGGGCCTCTGACAAAGCACAAGGTCTGAGAGTGTGTGTCAGTGTAATGAATGCAGAGTGTGTCAGTGTAGTGAATGCAGAGTGTGTGTCAGTGTAGTGGATGCGGAGTGTGTGTCAGTGTAGTGAATGCGGAGTGTGTGTCAGTGTAATGGATGCGGAGTGTGTTAGTGTAGTGGATGCGGAGTGTGTGTCAGTGTAATGAATGTAGAGTGTGCATCAGTGTAGTGAATGCAGAGCATGTGTCAGTGTAGTGCATGCGGAGCGTGTGTCAGTGTAGTGAATGCGGAGCGTGTGTCAGTGTCATGGATGCAGAGTGTGTGTCAGTGTCATGGATGCAGAGTGTGTGTTAGTGTAGTGAATGCAGAGTGTGTGTCAGTGTAGTGCATGCAGAGCGTGTGTCAGTATAGTGGATGCGGAGCGTGTGTCAGTGTAGTGAATGCGGAGTGTGTGTCAGTTTGGTGGATGCAGAGTGTGTGTCAGTGTAATGGATGCAGAGTGTGTGTTAGTGTAGTGAATGCAGAGTGTGTGTCAGTGTAGTGCATGCGGAGCGTGTGTCAGTGTAGTGGATGCGGAGCGTGTGTCAGTGTAGTGAATGCAGAGCGTGTGTCAGTGTCATGGATGAAGAGCGTGTGTTAGTGTAGTGAATGCAGAGTGTGTGTCAGTGTAGTGGATGCGGAGTGTGTGTCAGTGTAGTGAATGCAGAGTGTGTGTTAGTGTAGTGAATGCAGAGTGTGTGCTAGTGTAGTTGATGCAGAGTGTGTGTCAGTGTAATGAATGCAGGGTTTGTGTCAGTGTAGTGGATGCAGAGTGCGTGTTAGTGTAGTGAATGCAGAGTGTATGTCAGTGTAGTGGATGCAGAGTGTGTGTTAGTGTAGTGAATGCAGAGTGTGTATGTGTGTGTTTACTAGTGTATTTATGTAATGTAATAATGTAAATGTAATACATGTTACTCCCCCCTCCCTGCTTCTTACCTGGTCCAGGGAGAGGGGAGAGTCCATCCCTCGTGGTCGAGTGGCAGAGTGGGCCCAGCAGACTGCAGCTGTATGTTATAGCTCTTCCCTCTCTCCAACTTACGTGAGCGTGGTGTGCGTGCCATGCGGAGCATTGCCATGGTAACCTGTGGCAACGCTCTGACGGCTGCACATCGCGGGAGTTAGAGAGAGGGGTGATCTGAACTGTGCTCATGCAGTCTGCTGGGCCTTCTCTGCAAATACAGGGAGCCGGGAGCCCGTGGCTGCACATATATATAGCAATCATCGCTATATATATATGTGGAGAGAGGAAATGTGGGGCCGGGACTGCCAGAGCAGTCCGGGCTCGCCAGGCCGTGACAACCGTTATGGTTGTCACCCCCTGATTGCGGCCCTGTGTATACCATAGAGATGGATTAGTTCAAGTACCATTTTTAAGTATTATTTTTTAAGTATCCAATAAAATAGTGCTTTACTGTGTAAAGCTATTCTGGATGAAGTTGATTGCAGTTATATTCAACATAAATTGTTTAGCAAGCAGTTAACTCAGTATCCCATTACACTAGATTTATATTTTAACTCACACCATCCTCAGCCAGTATCTTACTGAGCACGATAGGAGTCAGAGACCACAGTGGCAGTACCTAAATTCTAGCTCTCAGATTGATGGTACATCAGTTCCCAGTTAATCAGATCAGGAACGTAGATAGTTAATTGCCTGGCTGCCAACAGCAGGAGCTTTGACACTGTGTGTGTAACTCTCCCAGCCATATGCAGCCTGTCCAATGATTAGCATGCTGTATGTGCTAACACCCGAAGCAAAATATGTTCAAAATTGAGATTGCCAGCCAACAAGATCGAATTCCAGCTGTCTGATTGACAGCACAGGGAGGCTGCCTTAACCACAAAAAAAAAGAATATATATATATTTGTATATATATATATCTGAAATGAAACACTTGTAAAAAGAAAAGCTGCAGGGACTGAATATTTACTCAATAATCACTTCAGTAAGATGAAGAGCTTATGGTGCTTAGTGTTACAATTTAATAGAATCGTTCTCTTCTCATAAGTCTGTTTCCTGAAAAAATAGACAAGTATACGAGTGAGTGATTGAGAATTTTTTTCTTTTATTGAGAGAATGTGAGGTACGTTACAGAAAGAAAAAATGGAAATAAAGCATGAAGTGATATGACAATGACAAAGGAAATATAAGAAAATCTGATTCATCTGTCTCTGTTTTTTTGCTGACCTAACGTGCTGACCTAACATTTCAGATAAAACTTTACTATTACTCAATCTAAGTCTCGACATATCAATGTGGAGATCGGTAGTGATGAGGTTAAAACAACAATAAGATTAATAACCAATGCAATCTTACGCAAACTATGTTCAATTGAGGTGTGTTTTGTATGGGGGGGACATAGTAGGGAAGAGACTCCCTCATATGATCCCATAATTATGATGAAAAACATGCATTATGAACTACCTTGGGACTACAGTAATGATATTGTAAATTATAACTTTTATAAGTACATGAGTGGTTAACCCAGATGGGGGAACATAATATGCAGTGGTGTGTTTTTGATGAGCTTTGTTGGCTTATAATGTAAGAGTTTATGGTAAGATGAGAATCAGAGAGAGGGAAATTTACATCTGGCTGAGATGCCCCCAACCAAAGTGGTAGCAGTGGAGGAAGCGGGTAATGGGATTCACCACCATGTATCTATCGGGAACAGTCTGAGTGCACCCAACGTAGGCAGGTTTCTGAGGCCTGTGAAGCTCCGGCTCTCAGGGTGAAGGGACAATGTTGGCGGGATCCCATGGCCTTGTGGTTGCCCCTGTAAATGGACCTGTGTTCTGGTCTACCAGTTCCAGAGAGGCGAGGGAGGTAGGTGCATCTACCTCCAAACCTAGTGTACAATTCCATTATGAGTAGTCAGCAATATTCCAGGATCTTCCCATTGATCAGCCACTCCTGCGGTGCTCAGCTGTGAAGTGATAGATCCAAGAGGTTTGCACCAAAGGAGAGTGGCCCTTTTGAGATCTTGGACGAAGGCTAAAGATGAGCCTTCGAAGGACAGTGGAGTAGTCGCAAGCGACCGTCGATCATAATTAGTAGTTCTTCATCTGAGATTGTGGTTGGGACGCCACGAATCTTGATTTGAATGCGGTACTTCGAAAGCGGTCATCCTGAGTGACAGGGCCGTCTGTTGCATTTGGAGCTGTTTAAATGAGTCTTTAGTGGTAGAGGAATCTATTTGAATATCAATAGTGTGCTTTACTTGGTCCGTGACACAACAAAAAATGGATCTTCTAATATTTACACATTTTTGAAACAAGATACAATCCTCTGATTCAATAGAGGCTGGAATTAAATTTTGTTAGCAGCAGGCAAAAGTTGCACGTAAACACTGAAGTGGATCAATAGAGAAATAAAATTAACCCCTTGAGGACCGATGACGGTTAAGGACCGTCATCAGAAACATCCCCTTGAGAACTGATGACGGTCCTGAACCGTCATAACTTTAATTATTACTTACTCGATCGCCGCCGTTCCCACGCCGGCGATCCGCACTGCTCCCGGTCTAGGGGGACTGCCTGACAGCCTAAACAGTCCCTCCTCAGCAAATTTGGCCCCTGCGGGCCATGTGATCGCTCTAACAGAGCAGTCACATGGCCGCAATAGGTGTCCAGGCATCTGACTGTGGGGGGACTGCCTGAACTGACAGGCAGTCTCCCTGCATCTGTTAAATTAAAAAAAAATAATGTTAATAAATAAAAAAGATTTTATTTATGTATTTATATGAGATATATATATACATATATTATATCTATTTATAATATATGTATATATATCTTATATATATTGTCATATTAAGTGTATTTTATATTAATATATAAATATATTAATATAAAAATAGACATTTAATTAAATTACACATGTATATATAATATATAATAACTATATAAATATATATTTATTGTGTATATATATTATTATAAAAAAATTAATAATTAAAAATAAATATAAAAAATATTCTAACTGTATTTTGATATTAATATATATAAATATTTATTCATATCAAGGAAAACAGAGATCTATCTCATCCACCACTAACTGACAGCAAGTGAGAAACTTTACTTCACCACTTTGTCAAGGGATTTGAACCCTGTAATTGTACTAGCACACTTATCACTGATTGTGCATATCCACATGTACATTATAATGATTATGTACCATTTGATAATTATTTCAACAAACATCTCCTTTTGAACTATATTTTATTCCCATCTCCTTAAATCTACCTCTTTCTCAGCATTTCAGACATCAACAAAAGCAACCGCTTAGTTGACAGTCCCCATTAACAATTCATTCAGGTGTACAGTATCCCACTTCGGTAATCTATAACATTGTCAAACCTTTTTAGAAATATCAGAATTAATTTTAATACATTTTATATACTCTGATACCATACAACTTATTATACGAATATTATCACAATGAGGAGATAGTCCAAAGCATTACAGTAATCAACACCCAAGCGTACGGTCTCAATATATATGACACCTACAACCCCATAAGGAACAGACCTTGGAGTTAGTATAACTTAACAGTATGCAAGTTGTTAAACCTTACAGGTGTCACAGTGACTAAATTTCAAATCTCTGGATACAGAGACCACTAAACTCCCAAGGATCAACTTACAGGGAGTTAATAGAAATCTATTTTTTATCATCACACTTATCATCACCGAATATACATATCCACATGAACATTATAACGATTATGTACCATTTTATAATTACTTCTAAAAACCTCTTGTTTTGAATTATTTTTAATTCCCATGTCCTTAAATCTATCTTTTTCAGCATTTCAGACATCAACAAAAACAACAAAGACTGAACGTAATATCAGAAAAACAAGGCACCACAGTCACTTTAAAAGTTAAATCTGGATATTCCCATAAAAAGGAATCAATCAGTAGAGATATAACATCCAATTTATTACAAATAAAATCACATAAAAAAACAAGCAATAGCACAGTGCATGTGCAATATTGCAAAATATACAAAAGCCAAAATTGGCCAAGAGCCCTTAGGAATAGCAGCTTTGAACAAACATGATACTAGGAAAATAGAAAATAATAAAAGTGCATGTGCTAAAGTGGAAGAGTTGTAGTTAGAAAGAAAGTGCAAAGTGCTTATCAGACTAGCAATTCTCTTCCACCACTCTTTCACAGACTGCAGACACACAATACACAAAAAGTACAAAAAATATACAGTATGCATATAAAAAAGACTGCTACACCAAAATGCAGGGTTCTTGTTGGTGCTCTACGCGTTTCGTCGCTCCGACTTCCTCAGGATCTCCATGATGGCATACCATTTGCAAAAGAACACAAGGTATTGCAAATGGGGTATGTTCAGTCTTTTTTAGTAGCCACTTAGTCACAAACACTGGGCAAAATTAGTGTTCATAATTGTTTTTTGCATTTGAAACACACAAACAAACATAAATTCTAACTTTGGCCAGTATTTGTAACTAAGTGGCTACTAAAAAAGACTGGACATACCCCATGTAACGGACCGTTTTGCACACAAGAGGTTAAAAAACGTTTAGGCGATATTCCCATTTCAGATGCACAGGCAGCTACTGCAAGCACCAATCTACCGAACTGCAAACTACACGAATCCTCCAACTCCTGAACAGGAAACACACGAACACTGGAACCAGCCGAACAGGAAAAGCATACATTTAGCTTACACTCCTGGCAATCAGCATACAATCCAATTCCCCCCAAGAACGAGACGACACTTCATTTGAAGGTCAAGCAGAACTGATTTACTGGGGCTACCTGCCTGACTTTTATGCAGGTCTCCCACCTGGTGGACACTCCCCTAGGGGACCAGATGGAAGACTGGGAAACATATAGGACATTGACCAATCACAAGCTTACAATCCCACAATGCATCACAATCCCTCCTCTCTGTCCTGGAGATAATTGGTAAGTAATCCAATTATCTCCAAGGACAGAGGCAAAACTCCATTAGCTACATGGCAGATAAAGGACAATTAAAGACATAAAATTACATACTGTTACATTTATCACATAGAACATACACATTCTACCTATCCCCATATAGCTTAGATCTGAGTGCACATTATTACCGGATGGCGCTCAGATCACATACATACAGTTCAATTGCCATGGAGCCAAAGTCTTTTATACAGTCTTTCAGTATACGGCTGGGCTCCATGGCATAGCTATCTGGGGTAGCATGGTTTAAACAGTCAAGTACCGAATGGACCGGTGTTCGGATAATTGACTGCAGGTAGGAGAAGGGAGGTCGGCGGCTCAGCGGTGTTCATGACTTTAACAGTCTGCAGAAAGGCACGAACCAACCTTTCTGCAGGGAAAAAGAATATTGTTAAACATGGGGCCATAGTCCAGTGGCAGGAGGTGGGCGGCCAGGCTCCTGCAGTGGCCAGTGGCGAGGTTGGTTCCGCCACACCCCATATTGAATATCCTTGGTTGTCTACTTTAAAAAAAAAAAAGTATGTACATGTGAGGTGTGATTCAGAGATTTATGACAGATAACAGTGTTACAATGTCACTACTGATACATTTTAAAAATATATATTTTGAAACAGCAATGTCCTACTTGTACTTATAGCCTTATAACTTGCAAAAGAGCATGTAAATACTGCGTGTTTTTTTATTTTTTTTTTGAAATCTTTATTTTCAATGACAGGCATGTGGACAGTACTTGGGCTTATGCAAAAGCCAAAATTCGTGTTTTACAGCAGTTTCACAGTGATACAGAAAAAAGAGATTGAATTGTTAGATGATAATGCTACTGTTCAGAGTTCTTCCTTGCGGTTTTGTTCTGTCAGGGTTTTTACATTTATATATAAAACAAAACAGATTTAAGTTTTAACCATAAACAACATAAAAACAGGATGTGTTGCCAACACTTTTATGTGTGGTGTATTTTTTACTTAAGGCGGTGCACACATGCGATAATACTTGGGCTTACGCAGAAGCCACTGTGGTTGGTTTTCTTTTTTTTTTTTTTTATGCAATTCACATTTACATAAAGAAAAAGTAGTGCTTAGTACAGTTTACATGCATAGTGACATTTTTAGGTCAATTCAGTGGTTTATCTGTCAAGTTAAGGTTTGCTATGGATGTATTTCACAGTTTGGTTGTTGAAGCTTACTCTGAGGTTGTGTGTCGCCTCGTTTGGTGCAGTTATATATATATGTATTAGTGTAAAAACATACAAACGGATAGATCTATAAGCAGGAAAATGAAAAACGTTTTGCTATCATGACTGTTACCTCTGCTCTGGGTAGGTTTGTTATGTGCCCTTTTACTTTTTAATTATGAGTGTTCGTTCAGGTCCCCTGTCCCCCCTCCGCATTCTCTTAGTATGGCTCCCACAGTTCCCATACCTTCCTAAATGTTTTGGTGGTGTGTCTGACTAATGAGGTTGACCTGTCCATGAGGTGGTTATCGTTTAATTTTGCTAAGACCAGTGTCAAGGGGGGTGTTTCCAGACAGAGCCATTTTTGTGCTAGTGCCCTTCGGGCTGCTAATTAAACCATGTTTAGTAGTTGTTGCTCTGGGCGTGTAAGGCAGTCTGTCAGCCTGGAGAGGAGGCAGGCCCACGGGTCCATCTGCAGTGGTCTCTGCATTATGTTTGAGCTTAGAGTGATGATTTGAGACCAGTAGGCCTGTACTGTAGGGCATGTCCACCACATATGCACGTATGTGCCCTTTTCCCCGCAGCCATGCCAGCATAGGTCTGAAGAGGTGATCTGCATATGAAATTGTTTTACTGGGGTGGTGTACCATCTGAAAAGCATTTTAAATGACTGCTCTAGGAGGGTGACACAAATGGATGAACGGGCTGTCGCCTCCCAGATGTCCCGCCAGTCAAAGCCCTCTATTTTCCCCCCTAAGTCTGTCTCCCACTGGTCCGTGTAGTGGAGTTCTCCCCACTCTTTGGCTTCCCCGCTAAGGTGGGAGTATAACAGTGAGATAAGGCCCCTAGGATGTTTTTCCTGGTAGCAAATATTCTCGAACCAAGTGAGAGGGAGGGCTGCTGTCTCTTTTACTTCTTTAGAGCTGGCAAAGTCTCATTGATGTGGGCTTGAAACATGAACAGCAGTCTGGGGAGAATATTCATCTTTACTGAATGGAGCCTCCCTAGCCATGAGATAGGCTTGTCTGTCCATTGCTCCAGGTCCCTCTGGAGTGAGCGCATTAGCAGGGTGTAGTTAGTCTTGTGTAGTTGTTCGTGCTGTGCTGTGAGTTTAACCCCTAGATACGGTATGTTGTCTTTGTTGATGGGTAGGAGGTGTCTGTCTTGTATTGATTCTCTGTCGTGGGTCAGGATATGAAACGGTAGGGCCGTGGATTTAGTGAGGTTCACTTTGTATCCTGATAGGGCCCCATATGTGTCTAAGAGGCTCTTCAGTTGGTCCATGAAGGTCTGGGGATCTGTAAGAGTTAGCAGCACGTCGTCCGCGTACGCTGATACTTTGAAAGTGTTTCTCGCTATTTTAATTCCCTCTATGTGTGGGTGTTGGCTTACGGCTTGTAGGTGCCTACCGGGGATAAACCCCACCTCATCTGGATGGATTAGGTGTGTGAGCATAGGTGCCAGCCGGATCGTCAGAATCTTCGCGTATACTTTGAGATCCGAGTTTATCAGGGAGATGGGTCTGTATTTCGCTGCGTGTTCGGCGTCTTTGCCCGGTTTTGGAATGAGTGTGATATTTGCAAGTGCCATGTCTGTGTCTGGCGCTCTGCCTGTCATGAAGTGGTTGTACAAGGCGGTAAGGTGGGGGGCTAGGTCCCCTTTGAAGTTTTTGTAGTACCCTATTTCATATCCATTGGGACCTGGGGCCTTGTTTCCTTTCAGTACTACTATAGCTGTTTCTACCTCTAATTGGGAGATAGGTTCTTGTAAGATCATGAGGTCTTCGTCTGTGATCTCAGGGAGTTTTATGTTAGCGAGGAAGGCTCGTAGTGAAGTATGTATTTGCCCCAGTGTACTCTGTGGGTGTTGGGTCTGTCCGTAGAGCTTCGAGTAGAACTCTGTGAATACCCTGTTTATGTCTCATGGGGTAGTTGCCTGTTCCTGAGTGTGTGTACGTATTTTTGTGATGGGCTTGTGGTCCCCTCGGGGGCGCAGCGTTCTGGCTAGTAGTCCATTTTGTTGTACTTTTCATAGAAGAGTCGCTTAGACCTCTGAATGGAGTGCGCTACCCCCTCAAGTAGGACCCCCCTGATTGTGTGTCGTAGTGATGTGAGTGATGAAAATTTTTCAGCTGTGGGGTTTTGTTTATGCTGTTGTTCTAATCTTCTCAGTGTATCCTGATAGTCTATAAGTGCTCGGGTGTTACATTTCTTTTTGTGTGTTGCTACTTTTATAAAGTGTCCCCTCATGACCGCTTTGTGTGCTGCCCAGATCGCCACGGGGCCCACCTCCGGTGTAGTGTTTTGTGTGAAATAGTCTTTGATTTGGGTGCGCGTATCGTCACACATCGTTTACTGTTTAGTAAACTAGTGTTTAGGCGCCAGGTCCAAGTGGCGGAGTATTTGAGTTTGTCTAGTGTGATAGAAATATCTGCATGATCCGACCAGGTGATACTGCCTATGTCAGTGTGCGTGAGCTTGGACATCCCAACTCCGTTTAAGAATATGTGGTCGATTCTAGAGTATGTGCCATGGTGCGCTGAATAGAACGTGTAGTCACGAGTGTCTGGATGCTGGAGCCTCCAGGCGTCAAGTAACTGAGTGTTAGTAAGAAAGGTGTGCAATAGTTTATCCTGCGCACCTCTCCCGTGGGACCTGGGCAAGTCCGTTTTAATGCTTCTATCAATTGCTGGGCTTGACACAGCATTGAAGTCGCCCCCCACTACTGTTATCCCTCCCCCGTCTGCGTTCATTATTGTTGTGAGGTTGTCCCAGTATGAGGGGGCTGGAACGTTAGGGGTGTATACGTTGAGGATCCTTATTTTTGTGCTGTGTAGCGTGCCTATTATTGAAATATAACGGCCTTCCGGGTCTGCATGTGTCCCTGTCACTTGGAGTGGGCAGTTTTTGTGCACCAATATTGCCCCCCCGGCCCGTTTGTGTAGTGCTGGGGGTATTGTCTGTCCTTCAGTGTTATCAGTGCTGTCTTAGGGATATGGGTTTCTTGAATTAGGACAATGTTGGTTTTGCATGCCTTCAGGTCTCTAAGCAGGAGCCTGCATTTATTTGGGGTGTTTAGTCCCTTGACATTGAGGGAAACTATTTTTAGTGCCATTTAAGGTTGGGGCCCCAGGAGAGTGGTGATAAATGGGTGTTGTCTCCTATTTGGTTATGTGCTCTGACTCCCTCTTCCGTGGTTGGGGTACTCTGGTCTGGGTCCTGGGCAGTCGTACCTGTGTTTTGTGTCATAACCTTGTCTAGGGACTACGTTTGGGAAGTACGTTTTGTAGTGAACCTTTACAGCATAAAGAACAGTAGCGTTAACAGTCAGTATAAACACGTAAACAATATACATAGACAAAAAATCAACTAAGTCTCTGGACTTACACTCTGCCAGAGTTATTTGTGGGCGTGGGGTTGCCCTGTCCGGGTAACCGCTGTTACCGGATTTAACTATTTACAATAAGTCAGAGTTATGAAGGTGTAGTGGTATATGTGTAATGTCTCGGCCTCAGTTGAGTTGCCTGTCGGGGCCCACCTGTGTGTTGGGTCTGCTGTTGCAAATGGTGGATCGGTTGGTACCGCCTAAAGTGAGGGTACGTGTGGTATGGAGGTGTTGGTGCAGCCTTTATGACTGCGGTAGCGTGTGTGCTGTGTTGTTAGTGTGTGGCATGCATGTGTCGGATGGCAAACAGGCATTTATGTTTGTTATGCTCGGTTGTTGCTGGAAGTGTACATGAGTTCAATTGCTGTGTGCTGGGGTGAGATGTGTGAAATGGATAGGGGCTAGGTTCCAGGGTGCTTGTATCTTGTTTACCCAGAGGTTGGAGCTAGACACAGTTCTCTGATATATACACATGTATATACATACATATACGCACACATACATATACATATATTTTTTTTCATACGTTGTAAAATAAACATATATATGGTGCGTGAGGGTCTTACCCCTCCTGGGTGTATTCTTGTGTGGGTGAAGCAGCAGTGGTAGTCCACCGGCCTCCTCCTCTCTATGCGGGGTCAGGGAGTTAGCATATGTTACTGTATACAATATACAAACACACTTCAGAGGAAAACAGTATATACATGCGCATACGACCTGATCTGTGTAAGTTTCTCATGCTCCGTATTGTAACTTGGAGGAGAGGTTTGGAGGTAAACGTCCCGGTTACAGGTCCAGCCCAACTTTCTTGCATGTCCACAGTTGTTTGTTAGTGGCCTTTCTCTTTGGTTATATCGGGGAATGCGTTGGAGCCAGTCAGTCTGGAGCTTGCGTAGTGTGCCGGGGGTATACCTTCGTTTACGGTTTGAGTCCATCCTCTCGGTTCCGGGTGCGGGGATGGTTACAAGTAGTCCCTGGAAAGTCCTAGTTTAGGTTATGGTCTCTTCATGTCCGCTGAGTGGACCAGCGGTCCTCTTCTCTTTGGTCAATAGTTGATCCTTCCTCTGTCTTTTGGGTGGTAAGCATCTTCTCTGATCCCTTGGCTTTCTGTTGAAGATCTGTGCTGGATCCATCGCATACCAGTCCATTATGCGTACTTCATTAAGTTTGAGCACTTTGATGAAAGGTGTCACATCTCTGTGATCTGTTATAGTGTGGTTAGCCCCTTTGAGTGTAACAATGAGAGCCAGGGGGAAACCCCATCTGTATCTGATATTTCTTGCGCGTAGTTGGTCTGTGATCGGCTTTAAGTGGCGCCATGCCTGAAGGGTGAGCCAGGAGAGATTTTGGTAAATTTGGATCTCCTGTCCATGGAACAGCAGCGGTGGGTTGGTGTCCCTCAGTTTCTTAAGTATTCGGTCTTTGTCTGTATGGTAGTGTTACCGACATATGATGTTTCTTGGGGCGCCCCCATTGTTGCTCTTAGGCCGGAGCGAGCGGTGCGCTCTATCAAGGTGGATCGGCGTTGCTACTGGTTGCTCTAAAAGTAACTTGAATAATTCTTGCAGTGATGCTGGGAGATCCTCGGCCTCTGTTTCAGGTAAGCCCTTGATTCTGAGGTTGTTTCTGTGCCCCCTATTGTCTATGTCATCCAGTGATCTTTGCAGCTGTGACATTTGTGTTTCGTGGGCGCCTAAGCGGTCTGACACAGTGTCTAGTTGTGTCTGCATCTGTTCCCTGTCTTTCTCCAGGTCTTGGACACGGAGGCCTACCTGTTGTATGTCAGATCCAAGGCCCTCCATTTTACGTTGGAAGGAGGTTTCCAGTTTCTCCAACATTGCTGTGAGATCAGCCTTGGAGGGTAGGTTCCTGAGCAGCTCTTTAATATTTAGGTCTGCCGACATTACTGATGTCTCTGAGGCTGCTGGGCTGGGAGGATTGAAGAGGCGCTCTCCCATGGTCGGCGCCATGTTTGCCGTGCGGCCGGCGTGGTCTTTGAAGTATTTTGTTACCGAGCCCGGTTTCTCGGTGGGTGCTTTCCCGCCGCTTGTGTGTGTGCTCTGCGACCTTTTGGGGTTCCCCATGTTTAATTGTGCCTGTGTTCCAGCTCGTTTGAGTGCCTGCTCTGCCAGAGCCAGACTAACATGCGGCCATTTCTTCGCCCCCAATACTGGGTGTTTTTAAACGCAGGACAAAGTTTTTAATCTATTAAGCAGTTTTTTCATTAGCTTTTGTATATGAGTAAAATATTTTTCAAGTAAAAGTATAAAAAAATATAAATTTTCAATTTTTCACCATATTTTATTATTTTTTTTAAAGTAAATTATATGACATGATACAAATAATGGTATGTAAAGAAAGCCCTTCTTGTCCTGAAAAAAACAATATATAATTTGTATGGGGACAGTAAAGAGAGGAAAATTACAGCTAAATGCAAACACCACAGAAGTGTTAAAACAGCCCTGGTCCTTAACGCACAACATGGCCAAAACAGTCGGGTCCTTAAGGGGTTAAAATTGTGACTTATTAACAACAAACAAGCGGTTGGATTATATACAGGGAGTGCAGAATTATTAGGCAAATGAGTATTTTGACCACATCATCCTCTTTATGCATGTTGTCTTACTCCAAGCTGTATAGGCTCGAAAGCCTACTACCAATTAAGCATATTAGGTGATGTGCATCTCTGTAATGAGAAGGGGTGTGGTCTAATGACATCAACACCCTATATCAGGTGTGCATAATTATTAGGCAACTTCCTTTCCTTTGGCAAAATGGGTCAAAAGAAGGACTTGACAGGCTCAGAAAAGTCAAAAATAGTGAGATATCTTGCAGAGGGATGCAGCACTCTTAAAATTGCAAAGCCTCTGAAGCGTGATCATCGAACAATCAAGCGTTTCATTCAAAATAGTCAACAGGGTCGCAAGAAGCGTGTGGAAAAACCAAGGCGCAAAATAACTGCCCATGAACTGAGAAAAGTCAAGCGTGCAGCTGCCACGATGCCACTTGCCACCAGTTTGGCCATATTTCAGAGCTGCAACATCACTGGAGTGCCCAAAAGCACAAGGTGTGCAATACTCAGAGACATGGCCAAGGTAAGAAAGGCTGAAAGACGACCACCACTGAACAAGACACACAAGCTGAAACGTCAAGACTGGGCCAAGAAATATCTCAAGACTGATTTTTCTAAGGTTTTATGGACTGATGAAATGAGAGTGAGTCTTGATGGGCCAGATGGATGGGCCCGTGGCTGGATTGGTAAAGGGCAGAGAGCTCCAGTCCGACTCAGACGCCAGCAAGGTGGAGGTGGAGTACTGGTTTGGGCTGGTATCATCAAAGATGAGCTTGTGGGGCCTTTTCGGGTTGAGGATGGAGTCAAGCTCAACTCCCAGTCCTACTGCCAGTTCCTGGAAGACACCTTCTTCAAGCAGTGGTACAGGAAGAAGTCTGCATCCTTCAAGAAAAACATGATTTTCATGCAGGACAATGCTCCATCACACGCGTCCAAGTACTCCACAGCATGGCTGGCAAGAAAGGGTATAAAAGAAGAAAATCTAATGACATGGCCTCCTTGTTCACCTGATCTGAACCCCATTGAGAACCTGTGGTCCATCATCAAATGTGAGATTTACAAGGAGGGAAAACAGTACACCTCTCTGAACAGTGTCTGGGAGGCTGTGGTTGCTGCTGCACGCAATGTTGATGGTGAACAGATCAAAACACTGACAGAATCCATGGATGGCAGGCTTTTGAGTGTCCTTGCAAAGAAAGGTGGCTATATTGGTCACTGATTTGTTTTGTTTTGTTTTTGAATGTCAGAAATGTATATTTGTGAATGTTGAGATGTTATATTGGTTTCACTGGTAATAATAAATAATTGAAATGGGTATATATTTGTTTTTTGTTAAGTTGCCTAATAATTATGCACAGTAATAGTCACCTGCACACACAGATATCCCCCTAACATAGCTAAAACTAAAAACAAACTAAAAACTACTTCCAAAAATATTCAGCTTTGATATTAATGAGTTTTTTGGGTTCATTGAGAACATGGTTGTTGTTCAATAATAAAATTAATCCTCAAAAATACAACTTGCCTAATAATTCTGCACTCCCTGTATGTACAGAGGTGTTACTGAGTTACAGTTGTACGATTAGTCCTCTTGTGTCTTTTGTTTCATTGGATCCAACTAATTAAAGTGCTGTTTTCTTCTTACTATATCTTACAATTTTTATAGTGAATTATCAAGAAAGAAAAAAAAAAGACAAAAACCTCTGATAAACGGATCCTGTAATAGGAGAAACAGCAAAGATAGTAAAAAAAATCCCTAAACTTTATCAATAACTAAGGATAAGAAATTACCTGGATTATTATATACATTGAATACCCAAAGACAAAGTTCCCTGGGGTGGAATGGAACCAGAAGACAGTACAATTTACCTAATTTTTTTATTTATTCTTATCTTATTTATTTTTATTTATTTAATTAATTTATATTTATTATATTCTAAAAAATTTTGTGTTGTATGTTAAGATTGTATCTGGACACACGTGTGATCATAAATGAACGCATGTTAAAAAAGAGAAAAGGGAAAGAAAAAGAGAGAAGGAGAAGGAAGGGAAAAAAGAAAAGAAAACGTTGCTAAAGCATTAACTAAACCGTTCACAAGAAGCTTTTATAAGTTAAGGGAAAATTCCGCTATTATGGCATTTTGCTCTGCACCTCTAGTAGGTCTCTCGCAGAATTTCAGGGGACTTAATATTCCGCAACGTAGATCACACCTCCTTAGGGAACTTCGACCAAAAAAATATCTCATTTGCTTTTCTTCAGGAAACTTATTTTTTGAGTGGAGCAGCACGAAACTAAAGAATACCCCATGGGCTATTTTAGTAATCATCCTACTGCCCGTAAGGGCGGCGTGACGATTTTATTTGAGGCTCATCTGCAATTTTTAGAGATAGAGAAGGAAGTGGACCCAGAGGGTAGGTATCTTTTTGTAAAAGGCAAAATCAATAATTGGAGATAAACATTCGCTTCCATATATGCTCCGAATCGAAACCAAGCACAATTCATACGAAAAACGCAGAGGAAATCATCATCTTTTACCGAGGGAACTTTAATACGGGGGAGCGATTTTAATGTACCTATGGATCCTATATTGGATTCTTCTACAGGACATAGTAGCATATCTCAGTTAACAATACAACGTATGCGTAGAGCTCTTCGAGATCTGAGATTGACAGATTGTTGGAGAGTTAAACATCTAGAGGAGAAAGATTACACTTATTACTCAACAGTACACCGCCGATACTCTAGAATAGATAATTTTTTCATCCAACAAGAAGGACTTATGTAGCTACGGAAAATAGAAATAGATACCTCCATGGCCGGCCTTAGAGGTGTGCGAGCTGTGCGGCCGCACAGGGCGCCATGGAGCAGGGGGCACCGTGCAGCCGCACAGCCGGCCGGGATTTAAAAAAAAAAAATTAAAAATTTGAAGCGGGGACGGATCTTCTGTGCGGCAGAGGCGGAGCTTCCCATGCAGTGGGATGGGGCTAAAAGTGCCGGATAACTGCTGTAAGGGAAGCAGGAAGGAGTCCCTGCTTCCCCCAACAAATAGTCTTCAGGAGCTGCACTGCCTGTCTGCTTCCACAATGAACAGAGGTAACTATGTGATTGTTAGTGTGATGTGACTGTCTGTGTGTGTATGACTGTCTGTCTGCCTGTGTGTGTATGTGTGTATGTATGTGTTGTGACTGTCTGCCTCTGTGTGTGTCTGTGACTGTCTGCCTGTGTGTGTGTGTGTCTGTGACTGCCTGCCTGTGTGTGTGTCTGTGACTGTCTGCCTGTGTGTGTGTGTGACTGCCTGTGTGTGTGTGACTGTCTGCCTGTGTGTGTGTCTGTGTATGACTGTCTGCCTGTGTGTGTTTGACTGTCTGCCTGTGTGTGTGTCTGTGTATGACTGCCTGCCTGTGTGTGTGTATGACTGTCTGCCTGTGTGTGTGACTGCCTGCCTCTGTGTGTGTGCATGTCGTCCTGTGTGTGTGGATGGCCACCTGCTTCTGTGTATGTGTGTGGCTGTCTGTGTGTGGCTTTCTCCATGTGTGTGTGTGTGTGTGTGGCTTCCTGTGTGTGTGTGTGGCTGTCTGCCTGTGTGTGTGTGATTGCCTGCATATAAGTATGTGTGTGTAAGACTGTATGTGTGGCTGTGTGTGTGTGTGTAAAGCTGTATGTGTGGCTGTGTGTGTGTGGCTTTCTGCATGTGTGTGTGTGTGTGTGTGTGTGGCTGCCTGTAATTGTGTGTGAGTGTGTTTATCTACCTTTAACTGTGTATGTTTGTTACTGCCTGTACCTGTGTGTTTATGCCTGATCCAGTGTATGTGACTATGTGCATGTGGTGGATTTGACAGTGTATATGTATAACTGTGTGCATCTGACTGTGGGAATGTGTGCACATAACTCTGCAAAAATATACACCTGCATTCACACACAGGTCTAAATGCATGTTTTTATCTGAATTAAATAACCATCACACACAGCCAATAAACCTAGCACAAATATCACATACAACCAATACACGCATTTCACACACTGTTAATACACCCATTACAAATATCACACACAGCCAACACATAGCATACATATCACACACAGTCATCACATTTATCACATACACAGACAACACAAACATTACATCATACATGGATGATGAGGGGGAGGGAGGGCGCTGTGAAGATTTTTCGCACAGGGCGCCTAAAGGCCTAAGGCCGGCCCTGGATACCTCGACTTGGTCAGATCACTGTCCAGTACGAATAATATTGGATTCACCTTTATACCGCCCAGTAAGCCTGACCTGGAAACTGAATGACACTCTATGGTTTGACCCGAAAGTTGTAGAACAAGTATCAAAATATATGCAGGAATACTTCGACCAGAATTGCACAAAAGGAATGTCGGATATAACAATCAGGGAAGCGCATAAGAGTACATTACAGCTGGCTACACATATAAAGAAGGAGAATCAAAAACAAATTAATGAACTAGTAGATGTCATATCTCAATTGGAAACTCAGCATAAACAGACCCTGGTGGAAACAACATATTGAGAACTCTTGGAGAATAGGAGGAAATTAAAAGAGCTTTTAAATAAGAAATATTTCGAGAACATGCAATGCTCCAAAGGATTTTTCTACATGCATGAGAATAACGGGGGACATTTTTAGCAAAGATGCTAAGAGGACAATAAACTCAAGCCCAAGTCCATAGAATAAAGACTGAATATTACCCAATCTCCATGCAAATTAATTTAAACCGTTTTATTCAAAACTTTATAACATCCATCAATCAGATAAGGGATCTGCCTTAATGAGCGATGAAAATTAACGATTCTTAGAGGAACATTTTCTCAATTCAGTCACCAAAGAGGAGGCAGATTCACTTGATGCCCCAATTACTGAAGAAGAAGTTCAGATAGCGATTAAAAATGCAAAATTAGGTAAAGCACCTGGATCGGATGGATTCTCAGTAAGCTACTATAAAAAATGTGGACACTTACTGATTCCGAAAGCTTTTAAGGCATTGATAACTGGGAAATTGTTCCACCATGAATCACGAAGCAGCAATAATACCTGTTATACCTAAACCAGGCATAGACCGGGATGTATGTGTGAGCTATAGACCAAACTCCCTCCATTATGTTGCTATAAAGCTTTTAACTAAAATATTAGCATCTAGAATTCAGCAGTTTCTACTGAGATTAGTACACCCAGACCAGACAGGTTTTATACCTGGATGCGAAGTACGAGATAGCACCCTTAGAGTGTTTACAATCCAACATCTTGCTAAAAGAGAAGGTCTGCTTTTGTTGTCAACGGATGTCGAAAAGGCATTCGACCTGGTGAATTGGCCTTTTATGTTGGCAATATTACATAAAATTGGATTAGGACGGAAATTCTTAAATTGGATAAAGGCACTTTATAGTAACCCGACTGCTAGAGTTAGGGTTAACGGGACACTTACGGAAAATTTTCAAATATATAATGGTACTAGACAGGGGGGCCGGTTCTCACCCCTATTTTTTGCTCTCACACTAGAGCCTCTCCTGGTAAATGTGCAACTGACGTAATCCAGACATAAAAAGCTTCCGGGTGATCTTCTCTTTTCTGTAGAGGAACTTAGCTCCACCTTACCCAATCTTCTAAGAGAATTGCAAATATATGGAACATTTTTGGTTTTTAAATTGAACCTCTCCAAGTGTGAGGTATTGAATGTATCCACACCTAGTGGGGAATACTCCCTTCTTAAGACTAGTTTCCCTTTTCGATGGTGTGAAAGTCAGATGAAATATTTAAGAGTATGGATATCGTCTAATCCAAGAGAGCTTTATCAGCTAAATTTTCGGCCATTACTGGATAGAATACAGATAGATTTAAAACGTTGGTGTTACCCGTTCATCTCCTGGCAGGGTAGAGTGGCGGTTGTGAAAATGAATATTCTTCCCAGACTTTTGTTTTTATTTCAAACCATTCCTATAGTGGTTTTGATGACCCTTTTCTTTAATTTACGAACTATAATATTACGTTATGTTTGGAAAGGCGAAAGGCCCAGGCTGCGATATGTCATTTTGTCCCTACCAAAATCATGGGGATGCTTAGCACTTCCAGACTTCCGAAAGTATTGCTAAGCTGTAGCTCTTCAAAGAATTAGCGACTGGCATAAGAAAACAGCCCCAAAACAGTGAGGTAGCATCTTTACAGACAATGATCTCGCATTCTAGGACACACACAACTACCACTTTAAGTAGAGACTTACTGATCACTCAGACATTAAGGATCTGGGAGACAATATGCAATGCTGATCATATTTCATCAAAACCAAGCCCTTTGATATCTCTGACATTCAATAGAGGTCTGGGGGCGGTATTCCTCTGAAAGCTTGGCTCTTCCCTGGAGCTGAGGAATTTATTCCAATGATAAGGGTACTAGGCAAAGCAAGATTGAAAATTTTAAAAGAAATGGTAAGTGATGCCCCTCCATCGACTATGCAGATTTTAAGATATTCCCAGCTGCAATATTTCTATTTAAATCTCCCAAGTCGGTCAAAGATACATCAGGAACTAACAAGGTTTGAGGAACTCTGCATGGGTGTTCCAAGGATGGAGGGGACGATATCGCAAATATACAAGCATCTTGTTGTGGGATATTTGAAAGAAAAAAATGTATTCAGATGACAGTGGACAGAACTAAGGGGCAAAACTTTTACTGATTCACACTGGGAAAAAAACATTTATTTTATGCCATAAAAGTTATGTCAGTTCTAGATATCAAAAACTAAATTATAAATTTCTCTCATTCTGGTACAGAACACTGGTATTATTGCATAGAATATATCCCTCGGTATCGGATATGTGCTAGAGATGCAGTAAAGAAGTTGGTTCAGTGAGACACTTATGGTGGGATTGCCATCTTATCACACCATTTTGGGATGCGATTAGGGCTAAATTAGCTCATATCCTTGGAGAGCCACCCCCGTTCGAGATAAACCATGTCCTTTTACATGCAACACCATTATCGCTCTCCAAATACAAGAAGTCGGTACTCCGGCATTTGATTAATGCAGAGAAATCCTTGATACCTGCCCTTTGGAAGCAAACAGCCACCCCGTAAATAGAACAATGTCTATCAAATGTGGAAGAGATTAAAGCCACTGAGGCACTACGGGCTGAACTATTGGGAGATAGAGATAAACATATTGAGATTTGGTACCCCTGGGTGGTTTATTTGTCAAATAGGGATGTTAGAGCAGATCATTGAGTAAGGGCACATAGATCAGACACGTGTGTCCAGATATGCGAATGTACAAATGTTTTTTTTTTAATATATATATATTTTTTTCTCTTCTTCTTTCTCTCTTTCTCTTTTTTTCCTTTTTCTTTACTTTTCTTTCTTTTTTCTTTAATGTTTTTTATGATAGTCTTGTAAATAATAGATTAATGATTTATATTAGGATATTAAAAAATCTTTCATAATGCATTTAGTTTATGCTGGGATGGAGGGGAATGATAAATATATCGCCACATTCTGGGTGAGGATTAGGGTGGCCTCTTGAGGCTATAGATTTAAATATTAAATATTTAATGGATCCGAGGATAGGATTTTATTTAATTTTTTTTTTTAATTCTTCTTTTTGTTTATAGTTATCTATATGTTTATTGTTTTGCTGGTTTTTGGATGTGGTGTAAGAGGGTGAAGATAAATGCTGGTATAGAAAAAAGGAAGCAAAATACTAAGGCTTGATAAATATTTGAAATAATGACCTACAAGGCTATGTTTGCTTTTATTACACTTTTTCTTTTTTTCCTTTGGGTTTATTATTTTTACGATGTCCTGTCTACATATTGGGTCCTGTGCGACCATCAGATTGCTATTTTTATCTAGACCCTCGAACATTATCCTGTCTATTTTCGTAACATTTTTTTCTGATAAAGAAATATTTACACTTAATAAAGTTCCATGAGAAAGCTGTAATCACCAAAATACCATATCAATGCCATATCATAAGACATGGTATATAAGAAATATCTGAATAATGTATAGATTTTTAAATATGGTATAAGTGACATTAACCCATCAAATAGTATGATAACAGGCAGGTTTATTAGCATGGGCATGCGCAGGAATTTTTCTGATGGGCGGCAGGGGGAGCATAATTGTAATATTATCCATGCTCGGTCCCTGCTGCAGGGCTGGACTGGGGATACAAAGCAGCCCTGGAAAAAATGTATGCCCGCACAAGAAGTCATTGTGCCATGTAGTATGTGTGTGTGTGTGTATATATATATTGTGAGAGAAAATATGGAATGGCTGTTGAGGGAAAATATATTAGGCCTGCTTTACTAAACAGCAGCCTGTGGTTTCTCAATTAAATGCCCAAGGGAGAGATGTTAGATTTGCAAAACTATTGCTCGTACTCTACAAACCATGGTAAGGGTCCCTGCTGCGGAGCATTTGGAGAGCAGGGTGGGCCAGTGCTCCAATAGCACTAATTGCTATGTAACAGCCAGACCAGGACTTGTATTTACCTTAGAAGTTCCAGAGATGTGAACTAATTTATACTCACCTGTAGCTGGTCAATTAGCAAGCAGGCTTTTAAAAGAAGGGATCATCCTGCTGCCGAGTGAGGGAGAAAGAGCCAGAGGAATGGTGTGTCTTACATGCCTATTTTTGTTATTTTAAATTGGTAAGTGGGAAAGCCACCCAATTCCAGATATTGATTACTGTGTTTAGTAAGTGATCAAACAAGAGCAAGGAATTTTGTTTTGTTTATTTTTATTTTGAAGCACCTGTATATTTTGCACCAAATAAATCCGGTTTATTACGGTTTACTGTAAGATCTGTGACAAAATCCTACCTGTAAGAGGTGGTTTGTTGCAGTATATATTATTGGTATGTGGTATGTTTATTTATCTAATTCAAAATATTGGTATTGTCAGTGTAAAAAATGAATTTATAAAGTAAGCATACACACATGTAGACACATGTAGACACAGCTCACTGACACAAGCTCATTGACACAAGCTGACAGACAAACAAAATCTCACTGATACACATAAGCTCATTGACAGACAAACTCACTAACACACACACAGACAAGCTTACTGGTACACACACACAAACTTAGTTTTCACTCTGACACTCACACAAGGTTACTTTAGACAAACTCATTGGTATACAAACACAAACTTACTACAGACAAGCTTACTGTCACACGCATGCTCTCTACAGACAAGCTCAGACACTCACACGCTCACTACAGACAAATCTCACACACACACACAAGCTCACTGACAGACTAGCTCACTGACAGATATACACATGCTCACTACAGAAAAGCTAGCTGACACACACAAGCTCGATAACACATAAGCTTATTGACACACACACATACAAGCTCACTGACACACATACACATGCTCACTACAGACAACCTTACTGACCCACACATGCTTACTACAGACAAGCTTACTGACACACACATGGTAACTACAAACTCATTGACACACACATGCTCACTATAAAAAAAGCTCGCTGACACATGGTCACTACAAGCTCACTGACACACACACGCACAAGCTCGCTCACTAGCAGGCACACACACACACACTGTCATGGGCTAAAGCTTACCTGTCACAGAAGGCTGTGGGAGACTGTGAGGTTGTCTCCATGTTCTGTCCTCTTCCTTAGCAGCGTGAGTGTGGGAGTCGGTGCTTGTGATGGGGCAGGGCTTGCATGTGGGACGTGGGGCCTGACTGCAGGGGCAGAGCATGGAGGCACGAACATGGTGGGGATTCTGAAGGGAACCTCACAGTGCTCCCTCCGTGCCCCTGGTTGCCTAAATACGGCCCCCAGCTCCTCCCTCCTTTTTTCCCTTGAGTTGAAATGTTACAGTCCGAGGGAAAATTGCCTGTGGGGATGGGGCATGATGAAAAACCTTGCCCCCCCCCGCTTGCCCCTCCATGTGGACGCCCATGTTTATTGGAGAGACAAAAGCAAGTATTCTTTATCCAGCTACCACCCTAGTGCATTAAAACATTATTGATGAGGTTTACAATTAACTCGAATTAATAACATTAACAACAACAAGTATAATTAAGACTTACTTCATTTTCCACTTAGTCAATATTGGTAATCTGAAATACCCAGAGCTAAAAAGCACCAGAAGGCGCAATGACATCAGAGGCACCGATACGCAACTTCAAGATGCACTCAAAGAAGCGATGACATCAATTACAAAAGGACGTGATTAGAAGAAACTGAAAAAATAGTCAATTAAAGCAAACCTGCTAAATGTTAATGCACCTAACCGCGCCACGGCTAAATATGAGAAAAGCAAAATTAGAAAATTAAAGAGGCGTCATAATATCCAATCATGTATGACGTGGGCACGTGACTACATGCAGTCACGGGAGCATGTAAAAATTATTGAGTGGAAAATTAAGTAAATCTTAATTAGACTTGTAAGCTAGTGTTATAAATTCAAGTTAATTGTATGCTTTATAAATATTGTTACAATGTACTACAGTAGTTGCTTGATAAAGACCTCGGTTGAGACGTTGCTGTGTTTCTCTAATGAACCTGTTTGTTATCATACTTCAAGTGCCTGGACCATCCTTCTTTGTTTGCTTAAATGTTAGGGCCATACCAATTCTTGTGCACCTTGGATTTCTAAGGACGTAGTGAGGTTCTCCTTCAATTTGTTCAACTTGTATAGACCTACCATAGAGACAAATGTTATGTCTTGAAGCTGTAGAGCTTTATTTATTTGCTGAATATTTGTGAGGGTCTGTGTTTCTACACTTTTATTCTGCATTCAATTTGTTCTCCTTTCTATCTGTTGTGCTAAATCCAAAGTGAAGTTTCCACCTATGTCATTTCCAACTGACATGTCCAATCTGTCAGGAATTAAGCTAAAACGGCTCTTGACTGCAAATTAGTTTGAAAAGGAGATAGGATTACAAGTTTTGTAACAGATATTTCATGGATGAGTTCCCCCGACATAATGCATTTTATACATTATACATATTTATAGACGCAGACTCCTGAAAGCCATGCTGTCACATTAAGCTAGAGTAGAGGGGAGACAAATTGTCATTAAGAAGCAAATACCTGTCACTTTCCCTGATTGATAAGTTATTCTTGCGGATTATGTGTCTCTACGCTGCATCCAGGTGAAGTTTGTATCTCACTGGTAGAGACTCTGGGCTCTTTCACACTGACAGCTCAAAGCAGCTCTCATCCTTTTATCCATAGTTTCTTGTTTTGTCTGATTTTATCCTTAATAGGAAGTTTGCTTTGTGCGTGAGATATTGAAAAAGCATCTCTGTAGGACATAATAGAGCATTTCTTGGTAGAAATAGATGCATGATGGAAAGAAGTCTTCTCCCCCATTTCCCTTAGGGAGGGTTACCAGTGACTATAAATAATTTATCAATGTAGCCAGCACATCAAGTAAAAAATACAATCTGTGCTATCTTTCTGTTATTTACCCTGTTTGTGTACATTTAAGGGATGCTATAGTCATCAGAAACACTACAACTTAAAGGGACACATTAATTAGTTTTGGGATATAGATCATGCTCCTGCAGTCACGATGAGCCATAGGTCTTGACAATGGCCATAAGTAGTATATTTAAAGAAACACTTTAGTTGCCAAAACAACTTTAGTTTAATGGAGTGCTTTTGGTGTATAGATCATGCCCCTGCAGTCTTATTGCTCAATTATCTGCCGTTTAGGAGTAAAGTCACATTGTGTATACAGCCCTAGGCACACCTCCCTGCATGTGACTTACACAGCCTTCCTAAACACTTCATGTAAAGAGTATTTTAATCTTTACACTTCCTTTACTGCAAATTTGGTTAAATTTAACATTTCTTATCTTCTGCTCTATTAATAGCTTGCTAGACCCTACATGAGCCTCCTGTATGTAATTAAAGTTCAAACCACAGAGCAGGAGATTAAAAAAACAAAACTTTAAAGTATGTTAACATCTGATTGAAAAATAAGTATTTTTTTCATGCAGTCTGTCAGTCACAGCCAGGGGAGGTATGGCTAGGGCTGCATAAACAGAAACAAAATTGATGTAACTCCTAAATGTCAGTTAATTGAGTAGTAAAACTTCAGAGGCATGATTCATAAACCAACACTGCTTCATTAAGCTAAAGTTGTTTTGGTGACTATATTTTCCATTAATGTAGTGGTTCTGAGCAAACAGAGTCTGTCCCTGCAGCCTGTCTCTGCAGCCTGAGCAGTGTAGGTGCTGCCTAAGCCACCTCTAGTGGTTTTCACTTGGACAGTCACTGGATGGCAGGGCCGGATTAACATAGGGGCTGATGGAGCTGCAGCTCCAGGCCCAGGCCCAGGCCCATGGAATAGGCCCATTGATTCACACTACTCTTAGGGATTCCACCTGGCTTTTATTTTATTGGCATAGCCAGTATTTGAGGCTGCCTGGCTGGTGCCAATATTACAGTGATACTGGCAATACAAATGCTGGTATTTTTCTCAGTATAAACAAGAGATTACTATGCAATACCAGCACTGGCCAGTAGGGGTCGCTGTATGTGGAGACAGGCAGGGATAGGAAGTTCCATATCCCTCCCTGCCTATCTATACTCACTGATCTACAGAGAGTCCAGACAGCAACTACCACCCTGCAGAGACAGCCTACAGCTCAGGGAAGTAAGGGATGGGGGAAAGGCTGCAAGGAGACATGGGGACACTGAGACACTAAGGGACATTGGGAGACATTATGACACAGACACATGGGGGCACAGTGTCCCCATGTCTCCCAGTCAGTGTCCCTGGTGTTTCAGTGCCCCCTAGTCTTCCAGTGCCCCCAGTCTGCCAGTGTCTCACTGTCCCCATGTCTCCCAGTGCCTCCATGTCTCCCAGTGCCTCAAGTGTCTCAATGTCCCCATGTCTCCAAGCTAGTGTCCCTAGTGTCTGTGGCCCTGGTGTCTCCCAGTGCCCCCATGTCTCAATGTCCCCATGTCCCCCAGCCAGTGTCTCTAGTGTCTGTGTCCTTGGTGTCTGTGTCCCCATGTCTTCAAGTGTCCCCTATTTTCCTAGTGTCCCCATGCGTCCCAGCTCGAGTCCCCTAGTCTCCCAGTGTCCCTGGTGTCTCCGTGTCCCTAGGTCTCCCCGTGTCCCCAGGTCTTCCTGTCTTCCTAGTGACATGGGGACCCTGGGATACATGGGGACACAGGGAGACATGGGGCATTGAGACACTGTGATACATAGGATCACTGGGAGACCTTGGGACACGACACTAGGGGACACGGGGAGACATGGGGCACTGAGACACTGATACATAGGAACACGGAGACCTGGAGTAATCGACACATGGGGGCACTGGGAGACATGGGGCCACTGGGAGGAATCCATCTATACAGCAAAATCAAACTAAGTAGTTTTTTGGTGATTTTACAGCATTTGTTCTTATGTCACTCCTTGTGATTTACATCATGTGATGTCACCCATACATATTTAATTATGCAAATTAGCAAGGCCGGTATGTTTTTCCAAGAAAGGTGGCAACCCTAACTACTTTTCACATACTTTTACTTAAGTATGGAAAATTAAGAGGGATGTATGGGAACAAAACTTGTGTGGACTGGCTGACAATGAATATAGTTAAAGGGACACTAGAGTCACCAGAACAACTACAGCTTAATGGATTTGTTCTGGTGAGCAGAATCATTACCGTCAGGCTTTTTTCTGTAAACACTGTCTTTTCAGAGAAAATGCAGTCTTTACATTACAGCCTAGTGATAGCCCGCTGGCCACTCCTTAGATGGCTGTTAGAGATTCTTCCTGGGTCATGGCTGCCTAAAATGCATCCAAACATTCAGTGTCTCCTCCCTCTGCATGCAGACACTTAACTTTCCTCATAGAGATTCATTGATTCAATTCATCTCTATGAGGAGATGCTGATTGGCCAGGGCTGTGTTTGAATCATGCTGGCTCTGACCCTGATCTGTCTCTTTGTCAGTCTCAGCCAATCCTATGGGGAAGCACTGTGATTGGATCAGGCCACCACTTCTAATGATGTCAGCAGACTGCTTGTTTTTATGAGTCTAACAGCATGCCGAGTTACAGCTTCAGGCTTGAATATAGATTTTGCTATATTTATGGAAGCATGAGGGGTCCAGGGGGGGCTAGATGGTGGTGTTAACACTATAGGGTCATGAATTCATGTTTGTGTTCCTGACCCTATAGTGATCCTTTAAGGTAATGCTGACTTTGGTCTCTCTAACACTGTGGCATGTTCCCTTTCTTCTACACTCACTACATACAGCTTTTCTCTGTCCCAGACTATATACCAGGAGCTTCTGCCTGCTAGTAAGAAGGTAAGGAGACAAGTGGACCAGCGAGTGCTAGGGGACAGTCCTTAGAAAGCGTTGAGCGAGCGCATCATTAGATGCATTTATGCCAAGCTCAGGGTGCTGTCTGCATAGTATGCCCTTAATTGGCCAGCTGCATGATTGGCAGGCAGCCTGACATGCATTCATACTAGGCTGGCCTTCTAATTCTTTGGGCAGACATATCCTCTTTTTGGGCATGTTCGCCCCTTTTGGCAGGTTACGTGATTTGTGTCAGTGGCACACCCTTTTACCGTGCCCATTGACTTCTTGCTTGACTGGACACTGCTGTTAGGGGTTATGGATTTACTTGAAAGATGAAAACATAAATTAGTGAGAGATTAGCCCAGGGTATGTGTTTTCTTATAGCTGATGTTTTCTTTCTCTCCAGCACCATCTCCATCAGATACATGACGCTTGGGAGTGTTTTACTGTTTTTGGTCGATATGATTCTGTAATTAGGCCCGTCATAATTGTCAGCACCAGGCCCACTGGGCTCTTAATCTGGCCCTGCTGGATGGGCTTCCTGGGTTCGGTTCTGCAAAGATTGCAGGATCAACATTAAGCATTTGCAGTGGCGCAGTGGCAACATTGGCGCAGTGAAGCAATTTGCGCTCATGCACACTAGCCTCATGAAGCTCCCCTTTAATCAACTCACACACACACTGCACTATAGTGTGACTTTCACATTACCAATACTGTGAGGGGGCAGGGCTGCTGGCATCTGATGGGTCCCTCTATGTGTATCAATCCTCTTGAAAATGGTTTGACACAGATCCAGGAGATGACATCAGAACCATAATGACTTTAGTGGGCCGTAGTAGTTATGGTACTTACTCTGCTCATTTAAATAGCTTGATTTTAAAAAGAGCTTTATTCACATATGAAAGTTTAACGGTTTTCAAATGTATTCTGTTTACAAAGTATTAGAGTAAACATGTTAATCTATTGGTATTAAGGATACTACCAACAACAAATAAGTATTTCTTAACCATGAAGGGATTTGTGTCATAGATTCTATGTATATGTAACTTATTCCCCTTTACCACTGCCTTTCCCTTCTCCTTCTTGATTGCTGAGATTCCTTCTTAATCATTTCAGTCATTTTCCAATCCCAGTTGTATTCCCTTCTGTCATTGATCATTTTCTCTCCAACTCCAGCCTTTACTTATAGCTTAATTTCCTTTTTCCTATCAGCTCCTCAATGCTATTAAATTCTTTCAATACTGTTTAAAGTATCATTAGGAGTATCTAAGCATCTTTGTGCTATGATCAGAAAACACATTAACGGTCATTTAGATAAGTGTTTTCACTGCACCAGTTACATATTCCTTTAACCCCTTCCCAACACATCATATACCGCATTTAAAAAATAAATATTTGTTATTATGTAATGATGTATGTAATAAGCATTTACAAAAAGGCTTATGGCAATTTATGTCCCCCCATCTCCCCTCCCCCCACCCCCCACTCCTCCCCAGCAGTGTAAGGGTTAAGATATCCATACTGTGCTTACCCGATTCAAGGGCTGATCTCCCATGGTGTGGACCCCTCCCCCCTGCATTGTCACCCGACAGGGGGCGCCACAAGTGTATTAGGCTTCCCCATAGGAAAGCATGGCTGCAGTGCTTTCTTATGGGGTTTAACTGACGCTGGATGTTCTCATGCAAAACATGAAGACGTTCAACATCAGTTAGGCGACCAAAAGTTGCTAGCAAGCAGTAAGTGCCTCTAGTGGCTGTCTGACATCCATTAGAGACAGTCTTAGCCCCGCAATTTAATTATTGTAGTTTCACCACAATAGTTAACATTGCAGAGATAAGGGGACAGGTTCACTGCACGCAGACCACTTTAATGAGCTGAAGTGGCCTGGGTGGCCTGGGTGCCTATAGTGCTGAATTGTATCAATGCATCTTTATGGGGAAAGTTCAGTGTCTCCATGCAGAGCGTGGAGGCACTGACCATCTGATCTAGGAAGCGCCTCTAGTGGCAATTTAAGGAGTGACTAGAGGTGTTTCAAGGCTGTAATATAAATACGTCTGTTTCTCTGAAATGGCAGTATTTACATTAAAAAGCCTGCAGGAACAGGCTGTACTCACCAGAACAACTACAATAAGCTGTAGTTGTTCTGGTGACTATAGTTTCCCTTTAAGTGGTTATGTAGGTGGGTATGTTCCCCTAAGGAGGGAATTTTAAATCATCCAAAAATAAATCTTAAGAGGATGCTTGAAAATAATATAAGCCATACAGTTTTCACATAGAATACATGGCTGGATATAATGAAGTTTGTTAACTTGAGTTGGTAAAGTGAATCAAGGTCATTTTGAGCAAGCCAAGGTAAGAAGATATTTAGAATTCTGGGAAACTCTGAAATGACAATCAAAGCTGGTGATGTTCTGGAAATGTCAATAAATCAAGCAGACATCATATCTGCTAAAATTAGGATGCAGGTATCATATAGCTTACAGCAGACGTAGGGACCATTGCAAAGGCCATGACCCATAGGATGTACTGGCTATACAAAGCCTGGAGAGATACAAGAATACTAGATTGCTGATTGATATTATTTTCAGATATTCTCTCCACAGTCAATAGCTCACAGGAGCAACACTCAGAGAAAAAGGATAAAATCATATAAATTGGTGTTTCAGTATGTGTATGAGTGTGAAAGTGACTTGTTATTAACGTGTATGTGTCTAGATAGCCAAATTTATGAGAATTCTTTGTGGATATTCCATTTTTTCTCTTTTTTAAGAAATTGTGTTATTTTACTACATATGTCACAATTTACATATATATATGTAAATATAGTGAATATGAAAATTCTGCTTCTTTTGAGGACTATTTGTATGCTTAACCACCACTACTGCACTCTGTTCGACACAGAGTACTGTGTCCTGTGGTGTAGCATGGAAGTCTGTGGCTTAATAGTACCTTTTATTAAACTCATTTACGCAGGAGTTTACAAGAATCATGTTTTATTTACTTTACAGGTTTTTCTAATGGTGTTTTCAAGGTTTTACCCCACCCCCGATTTTTCTATATATAATCTAGAACAGGCTTCCCCAAACTCCAGCCCTCCAATTGTTGCTGAACTCCAACTCCCATGATTCTCATCCTATCTAGTTCATTCATGGAATCATGGGCATTTTAGTCTGGAGGGCTGGAGTTTGGGCAAGCGTGATCTATAATATGATTATTTTGTGCCTGTGTTATATCTAAATGTTAAACCGTTTGACACTTTGTATGAGATGTCTGCATTAGAGATGTGGCGAACTGTCCGCCGAACTGTTCGCGAACTGTCCGCCGGCGAACAATAGCGTGTTCGCGTTGGGCGAACATATCCGATTTCCGGTCCGCCCCCTATACGTCATCATTGAGTAAACTTTGACCCGGAACCTCACAGCCAGCAGACACATCCCACCCAATCAGCAGCAGACCCTCCCTCCCTCTCAGGAAGTGTCTGCTGACTGTGAGGTTCGGGTCAAAGTTTACTCAATGATGACGTATAGGGGGCGGACCGGAAATCGGATATGTTCGCCCAACGCGAACACGCTATTGTTCGCCGGCGGACAGTTCGCGAACAGTTCGGCGGACAGTTCACGACATCTCTAGTCTGCATGTTCTATCTTCATAAACTCTCTTTTTGTTCCTGCAGTTATCCTGGTGGTGGTTTTCGGAATCTGCTGGGCCCCCTTTCACACAGAGCGGCTATTGTGGAGCTTTACTGAAAACTGGACAAGCTATATGCATCAGGTATTCTCTTTTGTGCATGTGATCTCTGGGGTGTTATTTTACCTCAGCTCTGCCGTTAACCCCATCCTCTACAACCTCTTATCTACACGATTCCGCGAGATGTTCAAAGAAGTCATGTGCCACGGAAGAGCAAAGAGGCTGGGTTCTAGACGATCTTCTCCTAGCGTCACACGTGTGACGACACGAAGCACAGTCTCTGAGCATATACCCGAAAATGGGCTTCCTTTCAATGATGTGGATGAATGTGATGTTTATCTGGAGTGCAATAATGTGACAAAAACTTCTTTTCACTGAACGCCTTTGGAATATTTTCCTACGTGCAGCTATTCCTTCTGGCTGCACCAGACCACTATCTTCATTCCACTAGATACTCTGATCAAGGCCAAATTTTGTGCTTTCCCATGCTTCCCTTAGTTGACAAGTACTATGGCTAAGGTTGCCAGGTCCACCATGTTTCCCCGGACCATATAGAATCTAAATGGTAAATGGCAACACTTGAAAAATGCTACCCTGTAAGACGTAACATTCATAAGCTATAGGAGGGCTTTGGTAAATGAAACAACCATTTGGTTTGGAATTCCTCTTTGATTGCAGCATTGAAATCCTTCATGTCCAAAATGAACTCTACATACTGAGTAGGTCTTTCCATGTGCTCACCAAGTATACAGATGTTGAATCTGCCAACTCCACCTTCAGCTGCTGTTAGATTGTGCTCCCATAATGCTCAGCGACACAAAATAACCACTGCAGGTGCACAAAATAAGTACTATCACTTGCATTATGGAGCCAGCAGTGCAGAAGATGCTTGACAGTCCTATTTTGTCATGTTGAGACCTCTAATAAGCTCATTTAATTGGCAGACAAACATCATATTTTAAAGCTGCAGAGACTTGTTTTTGCAAACTATTTCGCAAGCAGAGTAAACATGAATTCATTATTTTTGTTGAATCTGCCAACTCCACCTTCAGCTGCTGTTAGATTGTGCTCCCATAATGCTCAGCGACACAAAATAACCACTGCAGGTGCACAAAATAAGTACTATCACTTGCATTATGGAGCCAGCAGTGCAGAAGATGCTTGACAGTCCTATTTTGTCATGTTGAGACCTCTAATAAGCTCATTTAATTGGCAGACAAACATCATATTTTAAAGCTGCAGAGACTTGTTTTTGCAAACTATTTCGCAAGCAGAGTAAACATGAATTCATTATTTTTAAAAGGCAGTTTCTTCCTTCCTGAATATTAAAATGCAGGTAAAACAACAGAACCAGCCATGCACATAACACAAGATTGTCCTTCAAGCATCGCATAACAGTTGTATTCATTTGGCGATGTTATATATAGAAACGGTGGAATGAGGGAGGCCGTGTTAACACAAAGATTTACTGCCAATTCTTCCAAACTTCTTTTCTTGGAAGTGTTCAGTTCTGTATTATTTCTTGCTGCATTATGTCAGGAGAAGAAAATAAAGCCAGGTTGTACATTCCAGAAAGAAAGTAAAAAGGATCATTTACATGTTAAAATAATGTAGGTACCTCATTTTTATTTGCTATTCTTCTAAACACACTATATATATTCAAAGAAAATAATCTACCGTGAATCTGTACGTTCCTGAACATTACACACACCATTTCAAGACGCTGCATATATATGATTCAAGGTTATTTACAACATTAAATGTTAGCTAATTAAATCTGAATTGTAAAATGCATGCTAAAATATCCAAGTGGTAACTAGAGATGACTTTGAATTTTTTTTTCAGATCAGCTAGTTTGAGCAAAAATGTGCATTTTGGATGGTAACATTTTGAAGTTTACTGACCAGACCTGCTACAACCAAAACTATACAATTGCCATGATCCAAAGCACAGGATACAATATGAATAATTTTCCCAGGCTGCTGGTTTTCGGAAATATCACAGGCAATTTGTCATGGATCACTCAAGGCAGAACTACGGCATACTATAGTGTTAGGAAAACAAAGTTGTATTTGTAGCACTATGGCACCCCTGATCCACCCCTCCATTGCGGTCCCCCAGCACATAAAGGGTTAAAAAAAACTTGATTTACACACCTGATTTCTGCGCCCACCTCCCTCGGCGCTGGATTGGCATTCCTCCTCCTCCCACGTCATCTGATCAATACTTTCCTATGGGGATTTTACTGACTGGATGTCCTCATGCAGAGCGTGAGGATGTCCAAGCGTCATTTAAGGTACCCAGAGTCCGGTAAACTCCCTGAAATGCCGCTAGTGGCTGGCTTAATCCTGCAATGTAAACATGGCAGTTTCTCAAAAGCTGCAATGCTTTATATTGCAGGACAAAGATGGATAGGGACACGGCACCCAGACCACTTTAATGGGCCAAAGTGGTCTGGGTGCCTATAGTGTCCCTTTAAGAAAGTTATACCAAGCAGTTCTTTTTCAGTTTGGGTTTGGGTGAAATAAAACATTGACTCATCACTGATGAGAAGAACTGTGCTGTTTAATAACTGAAACATAAGAGGATTCTCAAAAATCATCTTTTAAAAATGTTTTTCATTTGACAGTTCTTATATAGCGCTCTAATCCTGAGCACTTTACAAATCAATTTAAAAAATAATACTGGTAATCATACAAACCAGGGATAAAAAAATTAGAGAAACAAAATGAGGACAGAAGTTGCCTGTGAGCTTAATGTTATCTGAATTAGTATGGTTTCTGTATTTTTCAGACACTTACATGAATTCATGCTTTTGCACTTTTTTTTTTTTTTAGAATGTAATTAAATATTGTTATTACCAACAGGTCATATGAGGATCATATTTACTTCTCTTGAAGATTTTATTTCTGTGGGACTCATGCTTACAGACTTTTTTTTCTGTGCAGACCACCCCTTTTTTCACCCCACTGGGGATATTCCTTGTTCAGATGAGCATATGATTTCAACTGCCGAAATCACTGAATCCGTCACAAATTAAGCAGCTAAGCTCTGGAGTTATTTTATGGCAGAGCAATGATGAGAGAAAAAAAAATCAGTGAATATCAGGTTGGGAAATTAGCACTGCCCAGCGTTGCCAAGCTGAAAGCCATAGCATTTAATTACACTTGGATTTTCAGCAGAACATGTTGATTTGCACTTAATGTTAAATATTTTTCTATTTAACTTGCCAACATTTTCACTCCTGAGAGATTCTGCCAAGTTCACTTTTAAAACTCCAAAAAAAGACATATTTAGTGTATGCTCCAGTTGGTAATTGTTTGAACATCTACAAGATGTCTAAGTCTTCTATTTACCAGCTTGGGGCGAATTTTACAGCCAATGGTGAATAGACAAAAACACTCAGTGGTCTCAGCAGAATACTGCGCCTTTTACAAACAGCAGGAAAATTGACTCTAGATAAAAATCTAGCTACAGATCTGCTATTTATATATATATATAGAGAGAGAGTGATAGAGAGAGAGAGAGAAAGAGAGAGAGAAAGAGAGAGAAGAATTTAGTCAGTTTATCCAATTAAGACATTTTGTCAATTTCCCTCAGATTTCTTGAGAACCAAAAAATAGTAAATATAAATTTAACTTCAAATAGACAATTGTATTTTTTTTAATTTTTTTTTTTTTTAGACAGACTGGATACTCTACGCAGCTTTAACAGTGTAAGTGTTTTAGTGTTACTGTGTCAGATAACATTCCGAATCAGTTCAATAAAATGTGGAAACAGGCTAATTTGCAGCTGTAAGCATTGGCATACTTTGGTAGTGGTGATCTGAGGTTAGCTGGAAAATACAAAAATAACAAATTAGCCAGCAGGGTTATTCACTAACGTGTGGATATAAAGTGAATTCCAAAAGAATATTAAATTTAAGGCCAGAGTAGCCAAATTGAAAGCATACCTGGTTTAGAGAATTTTTCCAGTTCGGCTATATTGACCTTAAATTTGAAATTCACTTGAGTCAATATCCCTGTAAGTGTTTTTAGATTAAACACTTGCAAGAATCCGTGTTTTTCAAACTTTTGTAAGTATATGGTGAAGTATATCATGTTACTTGTAATAGCACCTGTAATACACTAAGGATGTATTAATGAAAAATACATCTCACACTTTGTACTTGCTCTAGGCACTTTAAAAAAGTGATGCTAAAAATAAATGGCGCAATTGCCCATTCATATTCATCATCATTGCAAAGACCTCAGTACCATGGGGCACTTCAGCTATCAGTGTGGGTTATTTCTCTGTACGGTACACAACATTTGAAAGATGGCATGAATTTATATTCCAATTCATTCACAGCTCCTTGACTAATATCAATGTAATGTATCAATATCAACCATCAATTTAGAACATAGTTATTAGAACAAGTGTCAAAGTTCTTAATTTATAGGAAACAGGATCTGCAAAACTGATATACATCAGGTTGCAGACAGGTGTATACATGTGTAATCTTTGTACATTAAACACATAATATTCGAAAAGCAAACATAATTATCTAATTACAATGTTGTTTTCGCAACCAGACAAGAGAAAGGAAAAGGAGACACAAACAGGAAAATAAAAGGAAAATTTATTATAGGGATAAAAATATTACACTCCAAGGAATATTAACGTTAAAAGCCCATACCATTTAAATTGCAATTTGAAATCATTTTGTTCGGTATTACTGTCAACATGGTTTTGTGTGTATATTGGCATGAAGATGTACTATAATATTAATTTTCATACGCAGACACTGTATGGTGCCAACATATCTCTTGGCAAGATCTAGTGGGGCAGATAATGTCTCTACTAGTCACAATGTAAATAAACGTTATTCTCTTGATTGTTTTGTGGTTTCCTGTACATAAATAAAAATGTTTGAAATGCAGTTCGAAAGAAAAGTAGCTTTTAAAATCCACTAATAGACAAATTCATCTGGTCATAAGGAGGCTTCTGGTCCCCTGTGGTGTCATCTCCATTTTCATTAAATGGTATGTATAAGAATGTTTTTCTACCATAAGACCAAACAATTTTAGAGGAACGACCTGAAATATCTCAAAAGTTTTTTGTCTAGAAATGGATTTGATGTTTTATTTGACATCCTTGGATTAAATATACTATTCTGTGTAAAGTTATAATTGTTGTGATTATCAATTATTATGTACTAAAAAGCTTCCTTTCTTATCAACACATTACGACCTTCAACAGATTGTTAATGACAGTGTGTAAAAATGTAAAATATAGTGATAGTATAACTAAAAGTTCATATCTGCAGAACTGCATGTATTTTAATGCTGGCAGATAGTTCTGTGTCTATACCATTCACAAATATGTACTATAATTCAGTCGGGTAACTTGCTATCTCCAAGCAGGTGTTGGTGTATCACTGGGTCTTGTAGTCCAGGTTTGCCCCGTGCTCACTTCTCATGGTAGCTTATACTTGTGAGGTTGATTTAACATTGAGTTATGTTAAGAAAGTTACTGTCAAAGACCTCTCTTACAAGTAGTGTGTGTGACATCCAGATATTTTGGATCAATGCTAAATGGTTGAACACAGTCATCCTGAAATCCAACGACATTTATGTATTACCTTATTTGTTACTTGATAGCTTGAAAGCTTCTCCTAAAACGAAATATATCCACCTATTGTAGAGGTGGTCTGTCCCTTTTGATTAGTCCTATCCCCATCCTTCCACTATATTCCATGACAAGAAGACCATAGAAGTTTCCAGGTATGTGCAAGTATGATTGAACTCATAGGCATTTGGGTGTGCTGGGTGTGACTTGGCTAAATAGCTTGGTCATTCACAATTATGTGAAGGAGGTCTGGCCAGCCATGTTTCCAGCATTCTCAGTCCATTCCTGACACATGATAGCCATGATTGAAGTTAAGGACCAGACACTATGTTGATTTTGTCATACAGACTTGACCAATCAAACCAAGAGAGAGGGTGTATATAAAAAATAAATTTACGAGGGTTAACAGAAACCATCACAAATCAAGGTAGCGTCAATATTCTAAGCAGATTATAAAACAACAGTATAAACCCTATATTTCGTGTGGTTTGGATGCCATATATTAGATTACGTTTTGAACATTCTTGATATACGCTTCTAAACTACATATAGTTTATCAAAATGTAAATGTTTACTGTGAATACAAATATCTGTAATTTTGATCTCTATGTGCAAGCTTTATGCACTTGCTATATGCATGCTCTTATTCTTGGCCACCTCTAAAGAAATAGGTGAGTGAGTCACAAATTGCACCACTCACTCACTAACATTTTTAGCCCTTCTCTTTTATCTTATCTTTTCCTTACATTTTTTATCTGATTGCATTGGCAGTGTGGTAACACTACCATCTGCCTTTCCACCTGGAAAATATTAAGGCACTTATTTTACACACTGAAGGACTGAAGGTGTGGTATTTGTGTGTGAAACATTTGAGTAGGTCGCTAGCTGAACAATCAGCCTTTAAAAAAAAATAAAACATTGCCATGATTGATGGGCTAGAGTTTCCCTCTGGTGTGTTTCATATGTCTACAGGTGCTATAGAAGTGGACTGTCTGCTCTGGGTTGAGAGCCAGTGGGCCATCAATTGCCCAATCTTTCTCTGCTGTTTGTTTTCCTCAAGGCAATTTAAAATGGCATGGTGGCAACTACTGCAATAATCCATTGCTGCAACCATAAAAATGCAAGGGTAATGCTGTCCCACACTGGAGGGTAGGTTCTGGTTGTGGGCTGAAGGTGTATAATGACATTACATTCCAGGTGAAACAGGTCAGTAGGTCACCAATCCCCCCTCATCACTTTTTTATTAACAAAAAAGCTCACAATTTAAATTAACATTCTGCTTCGAGTGTGTGTTGTAAAAAGTCCACTATATATACACATATTACACGGAGCACATCTACCCATCCAGCCATTGTAAATCCGCTCCTGCCAGTCAACAGTTAACCACAAACTAAAACAAAATCACACATAAACACATGCAATGCACAACTAAATCGGAGAGATCGATATTCAATACTATTATTCACTCAAACATACACAATATTAAAAAAAACTCTGTAAACAAGTCAAACAGAAACAGCCTACACTTGCAGAAAAACGAATAGAACAGAGTGACCTGACCAGCTATCTGATAACCAACTTTATTCCACTAGAAAAAAAACATTGATCAGGATCGCAGGAAGAAGAAAAATACTGAAGATGATGAGTTGAGGACGAGTAGAGAAGGCCTGACCAATGTACTGACCCAAATCTACATTTGCTGCTGCTTCTGTGGCTGCTGCTGCTCAAAAGCATGTATTTATCTTCCTGTGTCTTCTGTCCTTTTAAAAAAAAAAGTATTATTTTTTTATTCGTTTTTTATTTTTTTTAATTTAGGTGTTACTTCATTAGCAGCAGAATGGGAGTTAATGTATTGGACTGCAGCAAATAGGCTAGGCCAGTGATGGGGAACATATTTGAGCCTGAGTACCCAAACCGCAATACAAACCAACTTTTTTTCCCTCAAAGTGCCAACACAGCAATTAAACACGCCAATTATACACACTGACACTCACAGATACACAGACACTCACAGATACACACATACTCACAGATACACAGACACTCACAGATATGCAGACACCCTCAGTGTTCTCCCTTCCCCTTCTGTCCTTAGTGCTCTCCCTTCCCCTCCTGTCCTTAGTGCTCTCCCATCCCCTCCTGTCCCTTAGTTCTCTCCCCTGTCACCCTGTAATCTCCCCTGTCCCACTGTCCCTTAGTGTTCTCCCCTACCCCTCTGTCCCTTAGTGCTCTCCCCCCCCCTCCCTTAGAGCTGTCTCCTCCATCCTTAGATCTCTCCCCTGCCACCTGTCCCTTAGTGGTCTCTCCACTCCCCTCCCCTCTTAGTGGTCTCTCCCCCATTAGTGGTCCTCTCCCCTTTTAGTGGTTCTTTCTTCTCCCCTCCTTTAGTGGTCTCTTCCCCCCCCCCTCCCTCTTAGTGGTTCTCTCCTCTCGCTCCCCCTTAAGTGGTCACTCCTCTCCCTCCACCCCCTTAGTGGTCTCTCCTCCCACCCCTTAAGTGGTCCCACAATGCCGCCGGGTGCGAGGCCCCTCCAGTCAGTCTACCCTGAGGGAGCGCGAGCCTTCAGTCTGCAGCTCCGCCGGGAGTGAGTTGCAGACTGAGGTGTCTCGCGATCTCCAGCCTGTCAGAGCGTTGCCGCAGGAGCTTCAGACTGAAGAGAGAGGGTGCCCACTGGACCACCAGGGAAGGTGGTCCAGTGGGAATATATTACCAACCCTACCTCATGTCACTGCCCCCTTACCCCCTGTCACTGGCCCTCCACCCCCCTAACCCCTGTCACTGCTCCTACTACCCCCTGTCCCTGCCCCTCCCCCCCACACCATCACTGCTTTTCCACCCCCTCACTGCCCTCCATCCCCCAACCCGTCATTGCCCATCCACCTAGTGTCACTGACCCTCCACCCCTGTCTCTGCCCCTCCACCCTAACCCCTGTCACTGCCCATCTACCCAGTGTCATTTGCCCTCTACCCGTGTCATTTGCCCTCCAGCCCTAACCCCTGTCACAGCCCCTCCCACCCCACTGCCCCTCAGCCCCTCCAACCCCCTAACCCCTGTCACTGCCCCTCCACCCCTACCCCCATGTCACTGCTCCTCCAACCCCTACCCCCTGTTACTGCCACCCACCCCTGTCACTGCTCCCCTCCACCCCCTGTCACTGCTCCTCCACACCCACTGTCACAGCCCCTCCACCCCCCAGTCACAGCCACTCCCCACCCCACCCTGTCACATCCCTCCTCCACACACCCTGTCACCCCCACTAACACCCTGCCATCCCCAAGGGCACACCCTGTCACATTCCCCCTCCACATATCCCGTCACCCCCACCCACACCCTGTCATCCCCACGGACACATCCTGTCACATCCACCCTCCACATTCCCAAACACTTACAGACCCACACAGTAACGCTCGATTTCATGTGGTGCCTAGACTCGCGAGAAGAGCCTTCACCTGGCGGAGCTGCAGAGGTGAAGGTTAAGAGCCCCTACAGTGCCACCGGACCACCAGGGAATATGCTGACCTCCCCTCCTCCCTGGATGCAGGTAAGAAACAAGGAGGGGGAGGGGGGTTAAACACTTAAAAAAATATATTAAAATAAGTATAATGAAATTAAAAAGTTGCTCCCCTCTCAGACCCCTATCCTAGCCTGCAAAGATCTCACACTACAACCCACCCCTCACAATCACACACACTGCACCCCTCATAATCTTACACACTGTACCCAACACACACTGCACCCCTCACAATCACACACACACACTGTACCCCTCACAATTACGCACACACTGTACCCTTCACAATTACACACACATTGAACCCCTCACAAACACACACACTACACCCCTCACAATCACACACACTGCACCTATGTATATTTGTATTTGTATATATGTTTGTATGTATGTATGTATATATATATATGTATGTGTGTATGTATATATAAAATACATATACACACGGCGTGTGTGTTTGTGCTTTAGGGTGCATGCCTATGGTTGTTAGTATTATGAGTCTTTACAATACAGGAATTCAAGTAAGTATCAGTTTTTTCAAATCCATAATTACTTTGTGGAGTTTCAGAGGCAAGTATTTTATGTAAAACCATTAGCTACAGTAGGTGGACATAGGTATGTAGGTACGAGATAGGTTAATATGGCCTTGGGTTGACAAGTTATATATGGTCTTGGTATCACGGAGGCTTACTTTGTTATCAAACCCTTGGTATTTTTTTAATCTAGCAATTCACATACATATCCAAGATATCAATGGGACAAAATCATTTTTTGACTGTTTAATTCACTCCAGTAAGATGCACCCAAAAAACACAACAGCTTCAGTTCTGTAAAAAACTATGTCTGAATTGTCTTAATT